GGTTTCTGTCCCTACTCACCTGGCTCCAAGAAAGGGTGGCATGGAATGTGGGTATCACAGAGAAGAGACAGTCCACCGCAGTGTAGATGGGAACAGGCAAGCAGCAACTCTGCTTTCCCCTTTTGTCTCACCCAGGCTACAAATCTTTTGGGCTGCCAGACACACCTAGACCAGGGCTTCTGTGTTCAGTAGATCCATTCAGCCACACCCAGAGTTCTGCTAATTCCAGTCAGGGTACTTAGTTTAGTACTACCCACTATTTATCCCAAGCCACACACCCTGGATCCAGCCAGATGCAAAAAGCTGCACCTATGAGTGCATGAGGTGATCCAGCCACAATAAGGTCCTTTTAAGTGTTCAAGCTCAGAGAAATGAAGTGACTTCTTAGTGTTAGTAATGGAGCTAGGCTTAGATCCTAGGAGAGTCAGACTCTGAATTCAGTGCTTATAGTTACTGTGCTTCAAGGCACACGAAAGGCATGAAATGAATGAGACAAGAACCACTTATCTGATGGCTCCTTTGTGTAATATTGGTCATATAATAATGGCTAATTCAGTCTCTGTTAAATTTGAAACTTGTGTACCTTGTAGTTAGTTATGCTTATGACTGACTATACTATAGTTTTATTTCTTGGTTCTGCCATTTTGAACTAACTTGCATGAGGAAACTTTTCAGTGAGCTATATTATCTCTGCAAAGAACCCTAAATGTTACTAGTTGTTGCGTGTCTTCCCCCCTACTACACTGGTCTGGTCTTCATTGGTCCTTATCTGGTGGAGCCTCAGATACTAATTTTCTTGTGGTATTTTAGAAAACTAGTTGGAGAATAGAACTAGAATGACTCATTCTATTTCATGATCTTTGAAGGAGTTCAAGTGAGCTATTTAAACAAACAAAAAGCTTAGTAAATAAAATGTTTCATCCAACTGATTGAGATAGGTGTCCCGCAGACTTAGCTCTTACCCTAACTTTGCCCAGGGCAAGTTAGCACAGCCCCATTAAAGCTAAAAGAGAAATAAGATAATAAGATAATGTCTTTAAAGTAGCTGACTCCAGGGCTCGTTCACCTTTTGCTGTTTTTGACCTGTCCCCTGGAACCTAGAGTACTTTCTTCCCTTAAATCAGTTCAAGTCAACTAATATTTACAGATTTTATTATGTGGCAAAAACTGTGCTCAGTACTGAACATGCTACAAAGATAGACAAGAATTTACAGTCACCATAGATTTGCATTCTTTTGCTGATGGTGCAGTGTAAATGGGGTTCTTGACTCTGGCCAGCCTATTTATGTAACTTTTGGAAAAGTCATTTACCTAGTCATTCCTTATCACTAAAGTGAGAGGATAATCCCTAATTTACCCATGTCTAAAATAAGATAGGTGTAGAGGCATCTTATTATTGTGAAAGATCCGTGCAAGTCTCGGGTTCTTTAAATCAGTAACTGAAAAGCATAGTCCCTGCCCCAAGCGTTCTTAAACAGGAAGACAGATATGTGTATAAAGCCCTCACTATGTGCTAGGCAGCATTTTGAGTCCTTTGTGTACATTTTATATCATTTGCTGTTTATCACAGTTGTGCATATAAGAACTAAGAGGATTTTTACAGGTGAACAGGCTGAGGCTGATGGGATTAGGCAGCTTGCCACTGACATACAATAGGTCTTAGCAGAGCTGTGACTCGAGCTCTTAGTAACAGGCTGTGCCATCTCACCCACCACATCAGCAGCCACTGTTACTTCTTCCCCATCTTTATGTCCCTTGACATTGTTGCCTATTCCAGAAGTATCTCCAGTGTAAGTAATACATATTTTAAGACAGCACAAAGTGAGAAGAACAAATTGAATTTGTTCTTCTATCAAAATATCAGTGGAATATACTAAATCTGCATCTTTTAATTCTGAGTTTCTTAACTCGGGACCATGGGTGCACCTGAGAGGGCCTGAGAGGGCCCGTGAGCCTTCTGAAATAGTGTATCAATAGTCTACTGTGGGGGAAAAGGAGAAGTTGACTTTTATTCTCTTCAAAAGGGGAAGAGCCATGTGTCTAGGAGACTTTCAAAGTTAATCTCATTTGAGGGCAGAAATGCCTCTGTGTGGGAAGCTGTGATTTCCAAAACCTTCTGATAGGAATCAGCAAGTCTGAATCCATAGCATCTCCTGCTTCCTGAATTCAGTAAAAGGTTATTTTTATAAGTAGAGAAAGAATGAATCTTGGGCATGTAAGAGTAGAGACTATTATCTCCGTTCACTCAGTATTTTCATATTTACTGTATGACAGGCATTAGGAATTTCATAATGAATAGAGTTTACAGCTCTCATGGAATTTATATTTTGAGATGTAGATATATCTTTGTATCACTAACACTTAGCAAAGAACACAACACATAGTAATGTTTAATTATTGGGCAATTAAATGTCCCTACTGCATCCTTATTAGGTTAAAAAAAAGACTTTCATTTTGATTTGTTCAGCATTTGATTATTGAGTCTCAATTATGTCTCAAGCCTTGAGCAAGGCACTGAGAATATATGGTAAGCAAGACCGATGTGATCTGTTCCCTACTGGGAATATAATCAGTGAAGTACTAAGCACCTAAGTAACTAGATGAGGATGGGTGCCTTGAGGGAATTAAATTGATGTTCGCGGCATATGTAACTGAAAGACCTAGCCAGGGAGGGAAGGCAGATGAGGGAAAGGCTCTCGAAAGAACTGGTGCCGGAGATATGGCCTGAAAGAACAGGAATGAGCTCGGTAAAGGGTTTGCCAAGCAGAAGGAGCAAATTTGTTCTTGGGTCTACTTGGGTTACCATTTCTATTCAAAAGAAAGCCGTGCAGGGGAGAGAGGGTCTTCCCTCAGTAATGCATCCAGCGTTCCAGGACATGCTCTGTGTGTATGTGGCAGGGTGCTGTGACAGGCAAGACAGGTCCAACCTGAAGACTGTATGACAGGAGGTGACTGTCTCAGGGGTGCCTGTCTGTCCTGGGAACAGCCACTGAGGAGGCTGGAAGCTTGAATCATTGCTTCTAGTGCTCCCACCTCCTGGTTCTTTCATTCAGCTGTCAGGCAGCCATCTTTTTCCCGTGGGGTCCTTAGAGGCAGCCTGAACTGGTGGCTGTGGCACGTGGCGATGCATGCTCCCAGTCAGCATCGGCTGGGCAGCCATAGTATTTTCATTTGTGCTGTATTTGTGGTGGGAAGGGGTTGAGGCATTTCAAGGAGAAAGAAGGAAACTAAGAACGAGGGAAGCTGAAGTGTGGAAAGAAACTGATCTGGGGAAGAGGTCAGAACTCTGGAGCAGCAAGCTCTGGGGAAGACTGGAGAGCTTTGTGTGTCCAGTCTTAAGGGATGGCACCTGGGGACTGATTGAGAAGCAAGGGGACACCATCATTAGAGAAATGGCAGAACTGTCTTAGCGTAGAACATCTGTGAGAAATTTAGAAATAGTATTTTAATGTTTTCCTTAATTATAAAAATAATTCATGCTATATTAAAAATAATTTATGCTCAGTGCAAAAAACCTGGAAAACATAATAAAAGCAAAAAGAAATGTAACCTGCTGTCATGAAAATTTAGAAACCAAACAAAATGCTGTGTGAAGTGACCAGCGTTTATCAGGTACTGATCGTCCAGCAGTAGTTGAGGGAGATTTGATCCTCCTCCTGTGAGAATGAGGGAGCTTTTAATCCAGCAGCTCACGTAAGACAGGGAGCAGCAGAACAGGGAACGGGGATGCCAGCACCAACAGGCTACAAACATGGGCCTGTCTCCTCACCTTTTGACTCTGGTATAAAATAACTTTGGGCTAGATTAGCTCTACAAGTTCTGGATATCTGAACCTGTAGCCAGATAAGCAAATTGGCTAACTAGCAGTTAAGTGCTGATTATTGAAAGTTGAAGAAGGAATGAACATTAATTTTACAAGTATCTGTTATACTCCTTTTCAGTTATATCTAATTTTTAAAACACTGTAACTTAAAATACACCAGAGGAAATTGGCTATCACTTTTAAAAAGAAGGAATCAAGTAAAAGAGAGCTGCATCTTGGAGGTGGGCTTTAGCCATGACCTCCACTGCTGAATGAGAAATGGCCAGCCACCAAAGAGGGACACACCGGACAGAGAGGAGAAGCAAGAAAGGGAGAGAAAATCTTCTGAGGGCAGGAGATTGGTCATGGTAAAGTACAAAACTCAAGGAATCTTGAAATCTAGCTGGAGAGAGGTGGGACCCTGAGGATGCACGGGAAAAGAATCACTGGTGTCTTTTCTTTAGAGCTGTTAGGGCAAAAGTCTGACTTAGAGAGATTAGAGAGGGAGGACCCACTAAGCAGTGGAGGTGCGAGGCGGAGGCCTGTGGATTACAGTGGTTGGTAAGAAAAGGCGTGGGAGAAATAGGATAGTAGTTTGGGGCAAAAATGCATCTCAGTGGGTTACTTAGCAGATCTGTCTTTCTAAAGGTAGAAAGAATCATGACTAAGAGCAGCACAGAATGAACTGTAGGAGGGAAAGGGGATAGAAGGGTAGTAAAAGAGGGAGGAACTGTAGTTTGGATTTTGAATGAAATACAACAGCCTGGCTCAAATCCGAGATCTGCCAGTCCTGTGCTGAGTGACCTTGGTCAAGTTACATAACCTCCTTCTACTTGAATTGCTTCCCATAAAGGATCATAGCATTGAACCCCATGAAGGGGGGTACCCATGTGAAGCACTTAGCAGCGGTGCTGGTGTGTCCCAAATAAAACAATTCATTATTTATTACAAGGGACACATAGGACCCAGAGCACAGGCAGAAGGGGTCATCTGTAGAGTGCTTATTCAAACACTGGCAGTAATAATCTTGGGAACCGACTATCCCAGCTGCACTAGCGTTTATTCATGGGTATAATGATTGCATCCCAGCATCCTCCATAGTGACTGGAGTAGTCAGGCTCAGCAGAAGTCATGGTCTTCAACATAGGCATCACCACATTCTGATTCTTCTTAAATTGTCCTGTGCTTTATTGTGCAGATTAGTCAGAAGAAGCTGAAAAAATATGAAAAAGAATATCACACCATGAGGGAACAGCAGGCCCAGCAAGAAGACCCCATTGAGCGATTTGAGGTTTGTTTGCTTATTGCCTGGAAGATGCAAGGAGCTTTCTGCCTTTCATTTCACGTAATTTTGCCTATAACCAGTTTTACTGAATTCTCTGTAAAGTTCACCACCACTGTTTCTAGACTTCAGCTTTCATTACCTGTTCAGCTCCAAACCAACTGTTTGATAGAGTTCAGTGGCCTTTCATCACAGTTAATAAGTAGCCGCTGGACAAAGCCACTGGAGTCAGTTAAGTTTTTCTTTGTGGATTTAGGAAATAAGAAATTGTTTCTTTGGAAACACATTAGAAGTAGCCGTATCTCTTTATCGTTTCCATAGGGCTGAAGTAGAGCCATGTGTGTGTGTATACATGTGTCTATAACTGGTTTCTGTCTGCCCTTCAGCGGGAGAATAGGCGTCTCCAAGAAGCTAACATGAGGTTGGAACAGGAAAATGATGACTTAGCTCATGAGCTGGTGACCAGCAAGATCGCCCTGCGGAAGGACCTGGATAACGTAAGTGTGAGGGTCTAAGGGAGGCTCATAAGGAGACGCTGACTGTTCCCCCAGCTAGGGAGATGTTTGAGGCTTAGTAAGGACTGTTCTGGAGCTGCAGAGTGGCCCTCTTAGGCTGCCGCCTGCCTGGCAAGAGTGCTTTGCTCCTTCCCTCAAGGCCATTGTTGTGTGCACATTCTCTGTGCACATAGCTCCTCAGCTTCTTTCTCAGACATCATTGGATTGAAAGACCTTTTGACTAATTCTTAAGTTGTCATAAATGGCGACATTTAATCGTTGTATGTTCCTTCACTTGTCCTGAAGACATCTGAGGGGATTTCGATTTTCTGCGTATTCATGCTGTTCGAGAGCTGATTGGAACACAGCTCAGTGCCTGGACAGTATGCAGTGTCATCAGTAGTTCTGTCAGCAGATGTTCCATTTTCCTTTGCTGCTTCTAATCTTAATTAGAATTTTGTGACGACAACTTTGCTGGCAGGGCTGCTTTTCTATTTTCTATACTGTGAGCATCCCTTAGAGGAAATGGAGTCATTTATGGCTTAGGTCAGGGTTGGCACAGTTTTTCAGATTTTTGGTTTTTTTTTCCTTTTGCAAAGCATAGATAGTAACTATTTAAATTTCTGCAGACCATCTGTTCCCTGTTGACAATACTTCATAATACCCTTGGTGCAAAGCAGCAATGTACAAGAAACAAATGAAAATGGTGCTTTTCTAAAAAAGTTTATTTATAAGATAGGCAGTGTGGGCCGCACTGATTTGGCCCATGCCTGCCCCTGACTTAGATGTCCTCACCTGGCTGCCAGGCTACTTTCTACTTAGGAGTTTCCTAAGGCCCTAGAGATAGGCTCAGACTCCTGAAGGTTACGTATATTGAACTGCACAGAATTCACAAACTTCGGGAGCTCTGACATCTATCAAAAGTGAAGATTTTGTGTATTAGGGTATTTTTTTTTGCAAGACCATGCTTTCATTAGGTTCTCAAAATAATTCACATATGAGAGAGAGATGACAGTATCTATTAGCTCTTGCCACTTTTCTTTAGAAACAGAATAATGGAGTGGAAAATTCTGGACAGTACCCACTCGGCATTTACACCCAGCTTGGATACCCTAACGTGTGGCAAGGGAGGGTAGTGGCTGAGTCACAGTATATGGTGAGATTAGATGATTTGGTGGAATGACAGAAGGTACCACCAGAAAGCAGAAGACCAGCAGCACAAGCAGAATGTGTTCCCTCCATTCGTCCATCAGCTGAAAGCCACTGCGTGTAACTGGGAAGGTCCCGTCTCCTAGTTTCTGGGGGTAGAGTGTCTCAGGGTCACTGGTTTTCTTCAGGGACCAGAGTCTGAGATCTCACTGTCTTCCCAGCACAGTATGTGTGTGTCAGAGGGGGGTCTCTTCATCCTTTGTGGAGACCCCACCCTGGACCTTCTCACTGGAAGGGCATTTTGCCTGGTGAGTGAAGGGAGGCAGCTGGACATGGAGCAGTGACTGGGGTCAGAGCCTCCTTCACAGCAGCTGTGCGCCGTGCAAGAAGGAGGTAAGAAAAACGAATGGCAGTGAGAGTGAAAGAGCGAAATTTCTGTCCTTACCTCAGCCTGGTAAGGGTAAGATGAACCCCATTGGTGCGTGAGAATTTTTTTACCCATTATGAAACATGAGTTTCAGTGAGGTAAAGGCACTGGAGTGCCCACGCTCTTTCTGTGATGCCACAGTATCTTTGCACCTAGTATGGAACAGGACACAATGGTTCGATGTCATAACTTCACCCAAAGCAAGAGCTGCAGGAGACTGGTGATCCTCACACATAGCTGTTAACGTTTGTGAGCACCTAGAAGCGCTCGGCACTGTTCCCAGTGCTTTGTGCGCAGTTTTTACTGAATCTTCACAACAACCTGTGTTGGAGAAGAAACAGTAACTGTTTCATGAACTTGAAGAAGCTCTGGTCTCTACCAAAAGTATATGAAGATTTTGTGTGCCCATTTCATTCCCCACTTTCTTGATGAGGAAACTGAGGCTTAAAAAAAAAGTGGTTAAATATCTACAGGTCACCCAGGTTGTCAGAGCCAGGCGCTTGTGAAGGAAACCAGTTGACTCATTCCAGAGCATACATTGCTCCACAAGCTCAAGAGCTAAGCCCTGTCAGGGCTCGGGTATCTTCTAGCACCTCAGTTTTGTTTTTTGGGTTTGTTGTGGTTATGGTTGTTGTTGTTTGGTTTTTCTTCTTGCTGTATAGTTCAGGCTGGCCTTGAACTCTCGGTGATCCTTCTGCCTCAGCCTCCTGAGTGCGGAGATTACTGGCCTGCACTACCACGCCTGGCTGCAGTTTCTTTTGAATCACAAATAAAAATTGCTGTGTTCCTCCTCTCATCTTTTTCTCAAAGAACTTAGGTGTTTTATTTGTTGTTTTGGGAGGACAGTATCTTACTGTGCAATTTAGGCTAGAATGGACTTACCACATACTCCAGGCTGGGCGGGAACCCATAGCTCTGCGATGATGGGCGTGTGCCACCATGGTTGGCAAGATCTCCAATTTTTAAGTCTCCAATTTTTAAAAGAACTTTATTGCTTTCAGTACCCTCTTTTCTGCATCCCAGAAAAAGTTCTAATGTGAAGATTACATAGTTCCCAGAATCCTCTTTGTATTCCCAGTGATTTTATATAGCTTTTGTTACTCATCACCTGTCACTTTCACTACTCTTCCAACAGCAGCTCCGGAGAAATTCCAAGTCAGCCATCCCTGGGGACGCCAGGCAGGCTTCCCCCTGTGAAACGAGAGGCCCGCCAAGGGCGGAGGGGTCTGTGGCAGGGTGCTGGTGCCGTGGCAGCAGAATACCCGAGTGCAGTGAGGCAGCGTGGTAGGATGGCAAGGGGACCAGCGCAGCAGGCACCTGCTAGGATCTGCTAGCGCCGTGAGCCTGAGTGCTCGCTAAGCTTTCTCCCTGACCCGTGCCCCCTGTACCCAAAACCCAGTGATTCTAAATCTTAAATGTGGCCACGTGAGTCCTCCAACTTTGGTGTTCCTTTTAAACTCACTTGACCACATTTAAGTCTTTCACATTTGCAACATAAATGTTAGAATACACAAATTCCGAGAAATAAAAACCCTCTGAGGTTTGAGGTTTCACTGAACCTGTGAATCAATTCAGCGAGAGTTGGTATTTAACGATTGAGCCATCCAGCCCATGAATGTGATACAAGTTTTACTTAGCTGATATTTTTCAGTTTCTGTCTGCAGTGCTTTTTAATTTTCAGTTTGTAAGATTTGCACATTTTCACCTGTTAGAAAAGGTATTGTTTTCTTTATTGCTTTAGGTGTGGCATTTTGTCAGCTGCTTTCCTATACCTGTTAAGACAAATCACTTGCTTTTTTTTTTTATCAGTACTGGGATTGAACTCACGACCATGTACTTGCAAAGCAGGCGCTTATGCTGCTGAGCTAAATCCCCAGCAAACATATTACTCAGACCTCTGCATCTTTAAGAATCATGAGAGGTCATAAATTTTTTTCTTTTTTTTTTTAAATCGCTATCAGCGATCGAACTCACGACTGCCTGCTTGCAAGGCAGGTGCTTATGCTGCTGAGCTAAATCCCCAGCCCCTATTTTTTCTTTAAACAACCTTGCATTCCTGTATTAAACCCATCTGATATTTCTTCTTATTAAAGATTTTAATTTTTATGTTCATGAGCAGTCTTTGTCTGGAGTTTTCTTCGGTGCTTTTGTCTGATTATGCTATCAGGGTAACACTAGTCTCAGAATGAACTGGGAAGTGTTCCTTTATATTTTCTTAAGAACTCTATATAGGATTATTTGTGGATTAAATCTTTAATTCTCTAATGAAGTTAATGCAGGCCTGGAATTTTCTTTGCAAGAAATTGTGAATTAATTTCCTTCTAGATAGTAGAGCTATACAAATTTTGTAATTCTTTATGTGATCCCATTTTTATATTTTGTATCTTTCAAGTAATTTGTCCGTTTCATCATAGTTCTCAGATGGATCCATATAATGTTGATATTGCTTTTTTATGTTTATAGGTAACAGTGCCCTCTCTGACACTCTTCATATTGAGTAATCTGTGTCTTTTTTTTTTTTTTTCTTAATCTAAATAGAAGTTTATCAGCTGGTCAATCTTTTCAAAAGTTAGCTTGTAGTTTTATTGATTTTGCTCCAACATTTGTGTTATTTTTTTGGTTTCTACTTATTTTCTCCTACCTTCTTTGGGATTAATTTCTACTTTTTCTAACTTCTTAAACAGGTAGTTTAAGGGGCTGGGGATTTAGCTCAGCAGCATAAGCACCTGCCTTGCAAGCAGGCGGTCGTGAGTTCGATCCCTGGTACGGATCAAAAACAAAAAGACAAAAAAAAAAAAAAAAAAAAAAGAGTTAGGTTGAAAATTGATTTGGGACCCTTTCTAAAATAAACATTTACAGTTAAACAAGTATCTATGTAAGTACCATTTTTATCTGTACCCCCACATTCTAATAATGCTGCTGTTCTTATTCGGTTCTTGTGTTTTTTTATCTTCAACTTGTGTAATTTCCAAGTTTTTTTTTTTTTTTCTTTTTTTGAGACAGTGTAGTGAAATTGGTACAGAACTTCACAGCGGGTTACCGGGATAACAGTAATAGGTATCACACTATATCTTGTTATCTTCACAATTGTTGTTTTTTCAATAACGTATAATAAAATAAAAAGAAATACAGAACATTATAGAACTTATCAAAACAGAATATTGAATGGAACAGTACCATTAATCAGAATAAAGCAAAAGAGTAGTAAAAATATTTGCCTTCAAAGAGATGGTAGAAGAAAATCCCCCTTATTTGCTAAGGTCAACCTCCCAAGAGATGCTCAGATCTCTGGTTCCCATTTGCTAACAGGGGGCAGGGGAAATGGGATGTTTGACTCTCAGCCCGTGCACCGGTAGGCTCACTATTGCTTAGCAGGGAGGCAGGCTCGTTGCTTGGTTTCCCAGAGCCCTAAGTTCCAACATGGCGTGGATCTCAGGAGACGTTGGTGGTTCTCCCCTCCACCCCCCCACCCCGGGATGGCTGCAGCCTGCCATACAACAGCTGTTTACCAGGGAGGTGAGCCAATTGCTTGGTTTCCCAGCATCCTCTAATTTCCAAGTATTAAGGATTTTCCTGAAATTTTGCTTGTTGGGGACTGGTTTAATTCTCCTGTAGCTCCGCACACTCTATGCGGAGTCTGTGCATGTTGCTGTCCTGGGCCAGACAGGTGTGTCAGGGCAGACTGGTTGAGAGTGTGCCAGTCTTCTGCAGACTCAGGGATTTTCTCTCCACATGACTGTCACTAGGAGCCATACAGAAGTTTCCACTCTCTAATTAGTGCTTTTTTTTGGCACTAGGAATCGCACTCACGACCTCGCATTTTCTAGGAAGGCACTTGTGCCACTGGACTGTATCCCTAGCACTTCTAATTAGCATTTACAAGTTCTCTTTTCAGTTATATGAGGTTTCATTTCACATAATTTGAATGCATGCATGCATTTCTGGTGTTCTCCACCTTTGTGAAGTGACTCTTACATTGTTTGAAATGGGCATCTTTGTCCTTGCCAGTATTCTCCATTCTGAAATCTCCATCTAGTGCTTATATAACCACTCCTAACGTTCATGGTATGTGTGTGTCTTTTTCTCCATCCCTCTGCTTGCATCTTTATATTTAAAAATGAGTGGCCAGGAATGGTGGAACACTCCTGTTATCCCAGTACCCTGGAGGCTGAGGCAGGAGGATCCCCATGAGTTTGAGGCAGCCTGGACTACATAGTGAGCGGAAGGCCAGCCAGAATTACAGAGTGAGACCTTGTCTGGGAAAAGAAAAGAAGAAAGAGAAAAAAGAAAAATAAATTTAAAAGGAGTTTTTGTTTTGTTCAAATGGGAATTTATTTCCTGTTTGTCTTGCTTTTTCCCTTTCCACATTATCTGATGTAATTGGAATTTTGCGTGATCTTATTTCTGCTGTTGCCTTGTTAGCTGTTCCCGGGCTCCCTTTGTTCCAGCATTCTGCCCACCTCTTCCAGCCACCTCACCCTGCCCCCAGCTACCCTTAACTTTTGAGGTTTCTCTTCAGAGAAACCAGGTAATGGGAGAGTGCAGGTGTTTGTCAATTGGTTGGTTTTTCTCTCAAGAACCAGAGTTGTGCATTTATTGTTTGCACTATCTGAAGACAATAGTTTGTACAGTTTTGTGTTCACAGTGGGAGCTTAAATCTGGCCTTAATCTTTATGACTGGACATAGAAGTCTGGCTTTATGCTTGTTGTCTCCACAGTTCTCCCCTCATTTGTTGCTGTGAATCGAAGGGTTGTGCAGCGAGCTCGGTGCCCTCACAGGCCCAAGCGAGGTTAGTCTAGTAGCTTCTAGTAGTGCATGTTTCCGTTGGTTAGATGCAGAGTCAGCTCTGGAAGTGGTGGACAAGTGCAGGCTTAGGATTGCATTCCAGCTGTGGGCATGGGCCGTGAGAGCTCACGGCATCTGCTTCACCCTCGTTTTTTGTCAGTCAGGTAGACGAGGCTCTTGAGTTAGAAGGCCCAGCACAGCACCAAGAGCCTGCACCTGCAACAGCTCTGACGGCTAAGGGAGAACGCAGTGTGTGTATGTGGGGCGGGGGTGCCACTGCGTGCACAAGAGATGTTACTTGAGTTCAAGGCAGAAATCATAGGTTCCGTTATTCAGATCTTTGGACAGGACTTCTCCTCCTTACGGGTTGTTTCCCAGTTGATGTTTGGCTTGGGGCTGAAAGAGGGAATGATCGTCGCACTCCTGGAAGGACAGCCCTAACTGTAGGCTCCTATCTGATTGTGCGCCTCTTGGATGTGGATAGCTTACTACCCCTGTCCCAGCAGTGTTCCTCCCAAGAAGATGCGTAAGAGGAAGTGGTGGGAGTGGAGTGCTCCGTGTCTGGCTGCCATCCACGGCCAGGGCAGTTGCCTCTGCAGAGCCCAGCCAGCCCATCTTGTCCTTGATATTCTCCATCTTGAGCTATCAGCAGGAGATCTGTGTCAGGAAGGCAAATGCTAGACACTGGGTGTCAGTTTCGGGGGACTCACAGCATGCCCCCAGCCACTGGCAGAACCACTGAAGGTGAATTTCACACAGCTCCAGGAAGGGGATAGCTGCCTTCATCAGTCAGGGCAACATGCAGGACTTGTTGGGTGAAGCAGAGGAAAAGCCAAGTGAAAACTAGGGCTTACTCTTACTATTAAAAGTAGTGACTGCTGGCTCATTACTGAGTGTTTACTGTATTCTAAGGCACTGTGCTGAATGCTTTTTGTGCTGTGTCCCTCAAATGAAGAGCCTGAAGCTTAGAAAAGGCCTCATTGACTTGTGGAAGTGGCAGTGGGCAGTGCACATGGGAGAGGAGCCAGCTGGTCTGATGCCCAGGGCAGGGCTCCCGAGTGCTGCCCATGCTGCCGCTGTGCCCCGGGCGCACTGCGCCAGGCACTGTACCCTCTCACTCAGTCAGTTTCCCCTCAGTCTTGTCCTGACCCTGTGCATTACATTTTTCAGGCTGAGGAAAAGGCGGATGCACTAAATAAGGAGCTGCTGATGACCAAACAGAAGTTGATTGATGCAGAAGAAGAGAAGAGACGACTGGAAGAAGAATCTGCGCAGGTGAGGGATTCTTGAGCCCTCCCGCACCCCGTGCCCTGCAAGCGTAAAGGTAGGGAGTTAGCTGCATGTGTCACAGGAGAACCTGGAAACCTCTGGCTTGCTTCTCTCCAACAGCCTGTTTTATTTATAACAGTTCTTAATAATTAAAGCCTAGGAGGAGACTGCGGCTTGAAGCCCCATCTTCTTCGGGGCAGGAGTTTCTGGGATCACTATCAGAGCGTAACAGAGGAGGGTTATCTGCATTTCCCTAACTGAGCGCCCGGCTTCAGGGCCCAGCTCTTGCCTCGCATGGCTCCCGTGGAGCACACTGTGGGTAGAACTATCTCCTGCCACCCAGCCTCCAGCATGCATGTCACGCCTGCCAGTCCAGGGCTGGGGGGCGGGGTGAAGCACGTTTTGGTTACTGTGAAGTGCAGTCGCCCATGAGTCTGGGTCGTGCTGCCTCCTCAGCCAAGGCTATAGCTTAAATGGGGGCACTGGCAGGGAGAGTGCCGCACAAGGTCCAGGAGGTGGGGCCTGATGCTACTGGAAGTTTGAACTCTGTCCCTCTATTGGCATGAGGAACACGGGATCAGTGATGTTGTGGGCTGAGGAAAAAGGTTGGGGACAGAGCCCTTCCAGAGTCCAGGGAGGCCTGCATTAGTAAGTTAGTGACAGACCTCCCTGTATTAAAGCATTCACTCTTGCTTCTGTGTGTGTGCAGCTGAAGGAAATGTGCCGCCGAGAACTTGACAAGGCAGAATCTGAGATTAAAAAAAACAGTTCTATCATCGGTGACTATAAGCAGGTGGGTCCCTGCACTTGGGGCTGGGCTTTGTCCCTGTGGGTGAGATGTGTGCCTTCCAGACCCAGAGGCTGGCACACTTTGGCCTCAAACTCTGACTGTCCCCTTACTGTCAGTTGAAAATAAGGAAAATAATCCTGTCTGGAAGCTTTGTTGTAAGGATTCAGAAAGACACACAGAGTACCTGGCCTGGTGCCCAGCATGGAGTATGGACTTAATAAGTGAAAGCCATGGCGTGTTTCAGGCCATTTCAGGTTCTGAATTATGGACTTATGTAAGTGTAAACCAGTTCTCTCCATGGATGGTTGGGCCTGGAGAACATAACTGGATGACCCTGCTCCTTTCTGGGCAGGGTCTCACGATGCTTACAAACCTGGCAGTGTTCAGAAAACACTGGCTGTTGGGTTGGCCCCTTCTGGGGGTGGATGCAGCGGTGCTCGGCCTGGGGCCCTTCTGCACCTGTGCAGCCTCACACTCGCCGCACAGCTGCAGCCTGTTTGGTGCTGTGTTGATTCTGTTCAGCATATTCTGCTAGAATTTCAGGCCAAATTATGCAGATTAGCGCATTGCTCAAGAGACGGTGGCTTTCTGTTTGTTTTAGATTTGTTCTCAGTTGAGTGAAAGACTGGAGAAGCAGCAGACGGCTAACAAAGTGGAAATTGAAAAGATTCGGGTAAGATGTCCTTTACAGAGAGACTTTATGCCACCTGCTTCGTTTGATGGCTACATTCAGTGTTGCTGGCTTTAGGAGGGGTGTTGATTTCAAAAGGGCAAGAAGCTGGGAATTCTGAGGTGCCCATCACAGGCCCTGTTGTCTCTAGGAGGAAGAGTTCTGGCCGTAGAGTTCAGAGTCCCAGGACTTGCCAGCATCACGCAGCAGGCAGGCAGGCAGTGGATGGCCAGAGCACAGAGCACAGAGCCAAGGGGCAATCCCGCCAGCGGGGCGGGGAGCAGGGACCGGCGTGCTGCGCCATCCCGCTTTCTCCAGAGTCTGCGCCGCAGCTCATTTCTCCTCTTGACACGTCCAAGTAGAAGGCCTTGAATTGGGCAGCATTTTTCGACCATTTGGGGTCCACTGTAACTTGGCATTGCCTTATGTCGTCCCTGTGTTAGGGTCCTTGTCACACTTTGCGAGAGGAGTGATCTACTGGAAGATGCTTTACCAATTATTCACAGCTTAGTGGCCAGCGTGCAGGACAGCTGTGTACCCACAGCTGTGTTTACACAGAAGCCCTCAGTTTTAAAATAATTTGTTTCCCGGCTCTAAAACTTATTGTAAGAATGCTTTTACATAAGTTTTAGGACATAAGTAGGAAAACCTTTATAATACCATTACCCACAGAAGACTCCCCGCTTCTTTCTTTTGTCTTTCTTTTCTTTTTCCTCCCTGCCTTCCATATTTTGGTGCTGGAAACTGAACCTTGGGCCTTACAGTCTACTAGTGAGCTAAAACCCCAGCCTAAACATCATCTTTAAATAAGCCCGGCATGGTGGCTCAAACCTGTAATCCTAGCACTCCAGAGGCTGAGGCAGGAAGTTTGATGTGAGTTCAAGGCCAGCCTGGGCAACACTGCGTGAGACCTTATGTCAAAATATCCAAATCAGAATAAACTTAACAGCTGGGTATGTGTTCTCTCAGTGTCGGCTCTACATTAACTGTAACATACAAAGTTTCTGTCAAAGATTCGCTTTTTCTCAAGTATCCCTAAAGTTGGGATGTTACAATGGCTTTTTGGGCTTTAATTGAATGTTTTCTTAGAGAAATATAATGTTTCTCATAGGGCGTGGCATCTTAGGTTTGATGAAATGTGAAATTGTATTTTGTGTAATTTTTGTGTCCTGTTTCTTTCAGCTAGCATTTAATCATCTTCCTGTGTTATGAAAAGTTTCTCATAAGCCCATTAGAGGCTCCAGACATCCTTAAGGAAACAGCTAGATATTTCATTGCTCCCAATAGCAATTACATAGTTATCCTCATGGCCCTCATTCTGAAATGGAGATACTGTTCATTTCTCACAGTGTCATTTTCCTGGAAAGGCAGTTACTAACCCAGACAAGGACATCCTTACTGCCCTTGGGGCATTAAACCAAGTAGTAGCTTTCCTAGGAGACTGTCTGCCAGTTTCCAAAGAGGGCCAGGGCTCAGATTTCAGGGTTCAACAAAATCTCAAGGACCATTTCTCTTTTTTACCTTTCTCCTGTGACAATTTAAGCAAAAAGTAGATGACTGTGAACGCTGCCGGGAGTTTTTCAACAAAGAAGGCCGTGTGAAGGGCATCACCTCAGCCAAGGAGGTTTTGGATGAGGACACTGATGAAGAAAAGGAGACGCTCAAGAACCAGCTGAGGGAGATGGAACTGGAGCTGGCACAAACCAAGCTCCAATTGGTGGAGGCTGAGTGCAAGATACAGGTATGGGTAAGGGCTCGGGCCCGCCCTGAGCTAGACTCCTCGTGGGACTGTAACTCCAGCCTCAGCCTTTCTCATTTAGGGTTTTTTTCCTTGTCTCCTCCTATTTTAAACAGTAATAATCCTCATAGGAGAAGCCCAGTACTCGTCACTGAGCAGTGCTGTTTAATGAGGGTTGGGCTCTCCCTAAGAATGTGCATTTAGTAATGTGAGCCATCTAGCGGCACAGCTGAGATCTTTTTAGTGGGAAGTTCTTGAGAACACGTGCTTTAAAGTCCCAGCTCCACCACCAAACTCTTGGACCATGAGTTAGTGACCTTCCCGCATGTCAAGGTAACCACCTAGTGGAGAATGGAGTGGTGGGAGTCCTAGTCCTCTGTTGGGCTGTTTTAAGAACATGAGAGAAACGTATAGAAAAGGCTCTGCACAGTGATGGATGCTGCACAAATATGAGCTTTTATTGACTTTGGGCATATTTCCCTGATGGACCTACGCGCCTTCCTGATGGAGAAATTAAGGTTATTTTGGTCACCCTCAGATTGTACTGCTATTCTCACCAGCGCAACACTGAGCCCAGGATATGCGTGAAGCGCTGTTTGTGAAACCCAGCTTGTCTCAGAAGCTTGAGGCCATCTCCTGCACTGCATGTGTTCACGGGGCACCTGCTTTGCTGGGCCCTGTCCTAGCTGTTGGGAATGTAACAAGACACAGCCCTGGGCCACTCAATGTCACCACAGCAGCAGTGTCTGAGCCTTGACCAAGGATAGAGAGGGTGCCAGGTGCAGTGGTGCACCTCTGTGATCCCTGCATTCAGGAGGCTGAGGCAGAAGGACTGCCATGAGTTCAAGGCTAGCCTGAACTACATAGCAAGACCCTGTCTCAAATAAAGAACAGACAGGGTTTGTAGCTGCACAAGAGCAAAAACCACGCGTGTCTGAGATGGAGAGAGTGGAGGGCCTGTGGTGAGCTTCAGTGTCTTGCTTTGTGGAGGGCAGAGGTGGTGCCAAAGGCTGGCAGAGAGTACGTGGGCCCAGCTGCGAAGCACCTCAAATGCCGTGCTGGGGAGCCTGCACTTCAAAGATTTGAAAATTGGTGATATAATCAGAGCTGGAGCATCAGCTATCTGTCTGGTGTGCAGGAGGACAGGATACGGATACCAAATTTAGGAGGCTGTTTTTAGTAGACAGAGCACCAAGGATGGTCTTACCTAGGAAAGCCACCAAATCTATGGGCGTTGTAGAATTTCCTCTGCCAGTCTGAGACGGGGAGTTTCTAGAGGTCTCACAAGAGTAATTGGGCCGGCTTATGTCTTAGCCTCCCTGTGAGGAGGCAGAGCCGGTGGTGCTGGAGCCAAGAACCTCATCGCTTTGTTCCTCTTGCAGGACCTGGAGCATCATTTAGGCCTTGCCCTCAGTGAAGTCCAGGCGGCCAAGAAGACCTGGTTTAACCGGACGCTGAGCTCCATCAAGACAGCCACGGGGGTACAGGGGAAGGAGACTTGCTGAAAACAGTTGCTGCTTCCAGACACCGTCAGAAAACACCACCTTGTGTTGCCTTCTTTGGCCAGATGTGTGATTCTGTGACATGTCCCAGGACCAGAACGTACCAGGTTGGATCTGTAGATGCCCGTTGTAGGCTGTTGGGCCGGGGCTCCTGCAGCAGGTAGCCTCTGGGCCAGGCACTCCTCACTACTGACACACCGGGCCTGCAGCTCTGCGGATGCTCTGGACACATCCCGGAAATCGCTCCTCAGTGTGACCTCCCAGGCTGCCTCCCGTGCAGGTCAACACTTCGCCCAGCCTCAACGCTGAGTCTACATGATCAGAGTTTGGGGATCCTTAAGTGTGTTGATTTTTTTTCTAAACCTTTAATTTTTTAAAACATATACATACTCTATATACTGGGAATAGGGGATCAGAAATTAAAATAATTCTTATCTGTAAGTGCCAGCAGAAGGTCCCCAAGTAGACATGGAAAAGCACTTTGTTTTAAGTCCTAAGGTTTCATAGTCATAGCTGAAGCCACCTACTTTTGTGAAACTGTATGATGCACAAGTTTTGGGTTTGGCATTATTCACACGTTTCTGATCAATTCTATGCAACTCTCATAGTTCCTGTTATTCTTAGCATTTGCTGCCAAAACAATTTCACAAAGCTAGAGTGGGTGATGTAACTGTGAGACTATTAATCAGAACATGGACAGATCTTATTTTGCGTAATGTGTCGTGTGTGTGTGTATACATATATATATATATATATATATGCATACACACACATATCTTTCCTAATACACCAAGTTGACAGTGTTTCAGTCCGACTCGGACTGCTGATCTGCACAACTTAACTGCCGCGGTTCTTGGGCACTTGATTTTACTCACGGGTTCTTGGGCTCTGCTCTCCTCCGCGCCGTCATGGGACTGAAGAGGCCCCTCCCTCCAAAGTTCCTAGTGTGTTTGCACAACAGGTTGCACAAGTGAGAAAGACTCTGCTGTGTGTCTGTAGAAATGTGTGTGTGTGCCTGAGGTCCCTGTCCTCCTGGCTTGGTCGCTCCCTGGCTGTCGGGGCCGAGAGTGTGGCCCACTCAGAGTGCGGCCAAGTGTGAGTGCACGTCCACATGGGCTGCAGACCCTACCGCAAAGCTGGGGAAATGGAGGCTTAGCACCTTTTTCATTGAAACACTTTGACAGGCCATCTCACAAGTGAGTCGTCTTCTCTGCGCTCCATGTGGAGGTGGCTGGCTAAGAGGCACTGGTTTGTATATAGAGAGACTCGGGTCGTTCTGTATCTCTGTCCCTGTTGGCTGTACTAATGCTTGCTACCAAGGTCATCTGTGATAAGGGAGACAAGTGGCAATCCCTCCCCCAGTCGTCCCCTCCACTGCATTCTGTGTCTTTCTTGTTCAGTTACCAAAACCACTATAGCCCATCTAATACTAGGTGCGTGACATTGTGCTAGGGTAGTTTGTGTCAACTTTCCAAACTGAAATATAAACCAGTAAAACTGTACTACTATTTCTTTTGTTGGTTTTATTGTAACAACATACTCATTAAATATTTTGGTACAAACAGCCTTGCTTTGTAAAACCCAGTTTTGTCATTTTGTGCTTCGCTTCATCCCCGCAGAGTGCAGGGAGGGACTGGCTATCAGCTGTCCTGGAGGTGAGGGTCAGGCCCGTTTCCACAGGCGCATTTCCAAGCACAGTGGCTGACACACGCCCTGTTGAGGTATGTCAGGACGGTGGGAGAAGACACGGCCTGATGCCTCTGCAGTCACTGAGCTTGTGCCTCCTAGAAAAGTACAGCGCTGTGACAGTTGTGAGACCCCCTTGGTGTGTCTGATGTGCAGGGAGCTCTTACACAAGGGAAGGGTGGCCTTAGACCTGGAAAAACAAACATCTCACTGGCCAGAGACAGGAAGGCAGAGGGCCGCATGGGAGTGTACAGGCCAAACAGCCGAAGGCCAGAAAGGCAGAGTACCTGGAGCCCATGTGCTCTGCCAAGGGTTAGAAGTGGTGACACAGACAGATACACCTTTGAGAAGTTTCCAGCCAGGCGTAGCATGCACACCTGTAATCCTAGCACGCGAGCGGCTGAGCCAGGAGGATCTCCAGCCTGAACTACATAGCACACCCTGTTTCAAAAACAAGGGAAAGTCCTTTCTCTTCACAGTGGTCCTTGCAGGCCGCTGGTACAGGATGAAGTGACGCTTCCACAACTGTGTGGCTCTAGCCACTTGAGCATCTTCTAGGACACAGTTGGGATCCCTTTGATGTGTACAGGTTGGAGCACAGATCAGGTCCACCTTGCTGGGCAGCCTGCTCCCTGCTTTCCTACTCCTGGGGGTGCACATGCGGCAGAACTCTCACTGTGGGGAGACACACAGCCAGCCTTAGCGCCAGGCCTGAAGAACTCCCGGAGCACCGCTGGCTGATGCTGGGGGAGAGGAACTGTGGCGTCATGCTGTACTGTACAGCTGTGCGAGACATGGTGGGACGTAGAGTGTGGCTTTGCAGGAAAGACAGAAGGACAGGGCCAGCCATGACACTGCACTGGGGATCAGAGGCCTTTAACACCTAGAGAAGACATGCCCGATGTGGGAGAGACAGTGGTTCATCTGATAACCTACTTGAGGCAGCAGGTAGTTAGGCTGGAGCCAGGCCAGGGAGGCTGAAAGTGTTGAACCACTGGAGAATTGAAGCCAGCACACATCCATGGGATTGTTCCCTGCCAACCCGTCAGGAGGAGAAATTGAAATCAGTCTCAACAGAAGCAATAAAAGAGTATGGAGAAAGAACGGAGTTGGTAGAACTTGGATGAGAGGACACAGAGAAGATGCATTCAGGTTTGAGACAGCCTGGGAATTGGGGGTAGGGAGGCCTCGAGTCCAAGGTGCCATGGAGCTGGTGTGGCATCTGTGACGCAGGGCTTCCGCACTTCAGCTCCATGGGTGTCCTGGGCATCTCTGCAGCTAGAGGTGACGTGTGGACAGGAGCAGAGCCGGCCTTGGGTGAGCAGCACTGCTCTAGCCTGGTAGGTGAGCCAGAGGAATGAGGAGACCGCCCACAGGGGGCACGGATCAAGCAAGGGCTGCAGAGGCCTGGAAGAGCCCATGAGAGCAGAGCTGAGCAGATGACTCGGGGTAGAAGGGGGAGAAAGCAGGCAGAGCCGAGTGAGCAAGGGAGCTCAAGAAGGGTGGTCAGCAAGGGCAGGCACTGAGGACTGGCGGGCAGTGCTGGTTCTGACCCTGGGCAGAGCCTTGTAATTCTGAATGGCCAGCAGCACACCCTGAAGCCTCCACCTCTGTTCTCAATTCCAAATCTCAGGAGCAGGGATGAGTGGCACACACACTGCCCGTTCACATCTGGCAGTGAGTGCGGAGAATGACACTGGGCTCCTGTGGCCCAGCAGTGGCCAAAACAGAGTGCAGAGGCCGTCGGATCCAGACACTCCAGCGGTGCATGCTGCCACCAATACCGGGTTAAATCCTCTACTAAGATTCACAGGGAGGGGGAGATGCAGAGGAGACGGAGCTGCCACACACGGTGACAACTCCACAAAAGGACAAAGGTGCTCCAAGAACAGCAGGAGCACTAAGCTTCACCCTCCTATTGCAGGTGGAGAACTTGGGCTCAGAGCAGGTCCTGGCCAAAGCCACACAGCAGGGCAGCGGGTAGAGTAGGAACTGTCACTGCTCTTCACACAACAATGTACCTGGAAACTCAGGTCCAAGACTAGGCCATCACCTTGCATGCACATCTCAATCTTTCTGGGTCATTGTCCATGTCCTTGAAGGGAGCCCCACATCTGTCTGATAGGGGTTGTCAGGCTGCTGTGGGGCTTTTCATCTTGTCATCCATTCCCTGTGAGCTATGCTTGGGTGTGTGCCCAGATGTGTGTCAATCAGAAAGGAGAAAGCTGGCCACTGCAATGGTGCTGTAAGCACACACAATGGTGCTGTAAGCACAACCCCCCTGGCCACTGTGATCTTTGTCCTAATTCTGCAGGATCCAGGGATTCCTCACTGGTGTGGCTCAGCAGCAGGAACCCTGCGGGGCAAGGCTGGCTGCACTAGCGGGGAGCTCAGCTTTGGAGCCTGCCTGTTGCTGCCTCCCAGAAACTCCTCACGTTGGGGCAAAGGGTCACATCAGTCTGGCTCCTGATCCTGCAGTGTCTGGGTCCTGCCAATCCCTGGGTGAGCATGAGAGCAGTGTGAAAGCGCACTGTATGCCCCCCATGAGACTTCTGCACACTGAGCCAGACTGCCAGCTTGGAGCTTCACAGAGAAGGCATATGAAGGACCCATTCCCCATGGCCCAAGCCCCTGGCATGAAAGGAAGAACTGAGGGGCACAGAGCCGGTCTTGGGGCCCAGCAGAGGGGGGCTGCACTTGACCTCACCACAGCTGGTACCTTCATTTCTCCAGTGTGAATCCGGCACAGAATACTTCAGCCACTGCTGTTCAACACAGAAGCATTTATTTTGATTCATCCAGATAGAGAAAATGCAACATGTCAGAGCATTAAAGACACACTGCAGCAGCCAGACAAGAGGGTCAGTCCACGGTAGAGTCCAGTGTGCACAGTGCACGGAGCCACCGTGTGCGCACTGCCGCAGAAGCCGGGCAGCAGGGTCCTTGGGAAGAAGGCCAGGCATCTCCGGGTGAGGCGCCGCTGACAGTCCACACATGCAGGCTGCTGCTTCTGCCACACAGACGCTTACACCAGAGTCCTACATGTAACTGCTCCCCAGAGGGGCAGGACAGTCCACAATGGTTGTAATTTCCAATGATTGTTAACATAGTACATAACAAAAAAGTAATTGCCAAGGACTTTGCACTGCAAATTATACTATTTACACTTGTGTATTCAGGAAAACACAGTAAATACAGATCTTTTTAAAAAAAAGATTCTAAAAACTAGTGGCATCACCAGACCAGAATGAGCTACAGCCAGGAGTCCAATGTCATGTGTGCAACCATGCAGTGGGCAAAGGCTTTCTACCCTGACTACAATCAGCTGCTTCTGCCCGAGCCCCCACCCTGGGGCTGGGGAAGGGCTAGGATGAGCAGGTTCACCTCGCTCCTGCGGGGTGATAACCCAGGGCTTTGGATCTACAATGGCTGCACAGCCCACACAGGTTCGCTCGGGTGGGTGAAAAGCAGGTCACTACATACACGGGCCAGGCCACGCCCGTGGTATCTGGCTATGGGCTCAATAGTTTGAGGTTGGGCTCCTTTCCCATAACCTTCTGCCAAAAGCCCCAGGTTCAGCGGCATTGGCCTCTGTTCCTGTAGCAACTCTCTAATTAGCCCCCCCCCCCGCCCCGACCTGCCCCCAAAGCTCTCAGAGCCAAAGCTCCTCAGTGCAACTGGCCTGACGGATTCCTCAGGAGAAACAGGGTAAACACTATGAGGAGCCAAGTGTTATGTCTGCTGAAGGGTGGGCCACCACCACCAAGAGGTTCCCACCTGTGCCAAGCACTCACTGCCTGCTTGGGCCCTGGGGGTGCTGAGGAAGATTCCTGTGTGGACACAGCTCAGCAGCCAGCTTCACCCTAGATGCCTGGGAGACAAGGAGACCACAAGCCCTGCCCCAGCCCTGAGGATGCCTGCAGCCAAGGGCCCACAAATGAGCCACTTCTTCAGAAAGGGCCTGGTGACGCGCCTTCGACACAACCACAGCAGGTCCCACGGCCGAAGCCCTGCAACAGGTGTTGGGGGCAAAGTCGACCTTTACCCGACTGCACAGGAAGGACAACCAGGGGAGGGAGAGACGCCTGTGACACAGACTCATAGACTGCCAGCACTACCCAGGCAATCAAGGGCTGCAGCCAGAGTTGAACGTGGGTCCCAAGAAGCTCAGAAGTAGCATGAGTGTGGTAAGGAGACCAGTGTCACTTGCTGCTCACCTGGCCACGCCAAGGGATCTAGGCAGAGCAGCACTGGGCCCAGAAAGCTAGGAAGCATGGGCCACCAGAAGAGGATAGAGCTGGAAACAGGAAATGTCACTAAGTTATAAGGTAGAAAAGAAGTTTCTGAAACACAAGCTACCTAGCTACCTAAAACTCCTACCCTTACTCGTGCTTCCTTTCTTTAAATAATGAAAAAATATTCTGACTCCCAGAGCAGCAAAAACATTTAGGTTAATGTTTACAAAGACAAGCGTCTAATCATATTTGCACTGTGCCGGACAGTGCTGGGTGGCACTGAGCCTGTGCTGAGGGCTGACATGGCGCTGGGTGTGGCTCAGGCTCTGGGGGACTCGCGGTGCTGTCAGACAAAAGCTCCCCGGGAGGCTGGAGCACAGCACAGGACTTGGTGCTAGGGCAAAGGCCACAGCCACAGACAGAGGCCACTTTCTATCTATGCCAGGCTCAAGTTTCCTACAAATCCAAAAATTTCTCTAGAAAAATGCAGGATGGGTCGCTCCTTCCAGGAGATGAAAAAGTACACAGTTACTGTCAGGGCCTCGGGGCACACACAGCCCCAGGTGACCACCAGGCAGCAAGACCCCAGGGAAGCCCCTCCTGGAGACAGCAGCCATGCACCTCACAAAACAACTTCTCAAGGACACATCCAGAATCCTTCATCTGATTTGCAGAGATTACAAACCACCTCCTGGAAAGCATGTGGCACCCACTCCTGTCACCCTGCCTGGAAGCTACCCAGTGAGGGACTCTGCAGAGCTGGAAGCCCGTTAGTCTCTCTTGGCCATTCCTGTGCCACCTGAAGCCCAGCCATGCACTTAGTGGCACCTGTCTCTGCCTCCACTTCATCCCAGCCAGTGGCACCAAAGGATATGATTCTCAAGCAAGAGGGACAGGTCTGTCACTTTACCCTCACACAAGACTCTAGGCCAGAATTGAACTGGAGATAAATGTTTCCCCAAGGTTACATTCACTGGCCCACTACAGCTGCCCGCTAAAAAACCCTCCGGCTCCTTGGGACTTGCTTTCCCGCCCTAGCCAGCACTAGGAGTTCCTGTCCCTTGGTGGCAAAATCCAGCCTAAACCAAGAGGCATAATTTTAAATTACAGACATAGTCTATAATTTCCAAGTTCTTATCCACAAACAGCTGTTTCTAAAGGTGCTGATGATGACTTTAACCCCAAGCACAACACAACACCCGCTGCCACCCACCACCTGCCCCAGTTGACATCGTGTGGCCGCACACAGGTCCTCACTGTGATGCTGTCTCCCGCCACCTGGGCCTGTTCCTTTGGGAGGAAGCTTCACCTCTTCTGTCTGTTCTGGGAGCCCAGAAGAGGCAGGCAAGTGGGGAGTGCCTGCTGCACTGTATTTCACTCTTTAGCCACCTGTCCTCCCCCTTCAGTGTCCTGTCACTCAAAACTGAGGTCTGCTTTGGGCAGCAGGGATTCTGACAGCAGAAAAGATGGAGGTTTCCTGACGCAAGTAAGACAAGGTTAAGGAACCTGAAGGGTTGGCAAGGTGAGGCCCACAGTCTGTGAAAACCAAGTCAGAGGACAGTGTTGTACACTGCCTGGGGCTGCTTTTGTGCTACAATGAATAGTGAGCGGCTGCAGCAGAGACCAAGAAGCCCAGCTGGAATGCTTGCTGTAGCGTCCGGTCCTATCTCTGGGGGACAGCTGTGGACGCGGGCTCAGGGGCTGCCCCATACACCTCTACATCCTAATGCAAGAATTCTGGCTGCCAGAAAAGGTGTGAAAGTGTCTCAGTACACTTTTTTTTTTTTTTCTTTTTATCGGTACCGGGGATCGAACTCACGACCGCCTGCTTGCAAGGCAGGTGCTTATGCCGCTGAGCTAAATCCCCAGCCCCCTCAGTACACCTTTAACCCTTCCAAAGCTCTGAGCGAAGGCTGCAACCTCCAACTGTTCTGAGTTATTGTCCTAAGAATAGCTGCAGAAATATACAGGTGCAGGACCCATCCCTGCTTCCCTGGGGTGGTCCCTCTGTGGTGGTCTTGCCTAACACAGCTCTGTCATTTCAAAAACATAAAGTGGGCACTCACCAAAGCCAGTGGGTTCAGCACCAGAAAGAAGGGAAGAAGGTAAGTCCCCCCCTGAGCCATCCAGTCTCCCACTGCCTTGCCTACCAAGATGAAGTGGAGGTGGCAAACAGGCTGACACCCAAAGCAAATGCTTCACTAACCTCAGTTTCAGTTTTTTCCTTCCTTAAATAACTGTAAAGAATGCCTGCACCTTCCAGTTGGCTAATGACCATGTCTCACGATGCCATACCCAGTGGGACTCACTGCCAGCCTTGGCACAGTTTAAAATACAATTGCCAGGTGTGGTGGCATACACCTGTAGTCCCAGCACTCTGGAGGCTAAGGCAGGAGCATCACTGAGTTCAAGGCCAGCCTAAGCTACATGGTGAGCCTGCCAAGACTACACAGCAAGACCCTGCATGGGAAACAACACAAAACCAAAAGAGTTAGTTGTTTTGGGGGAAGATCGACCTCACACTTGCCAGGCGTTTATGCCACTGAGTTCAATCCATAGACCAACAAAAAAAGTTTTCAAAATGGTTTTTAAAAGCAAAACGTCTCAGTATAAAGAACAAACAGTACCTGTCAGTGCCCAGGCTCCCAGAAACAGAGGAGGAATAAAGATTCTGGCTGACTGGCCGGCACCTGTTTGCTCAGTGCCAGGAGCGAAGCTTCCTGCCACAGCCCTGCCTGTAGCTCAGCGCAGAGACGGAGATGCCCCAACACCTAGGCAGGCACCCTTCTCCCTCCCACACCTTGGTCAGATAGCACTGCAGGCCCCAGGGCCCCTGGAGCAGTGCCCTGGGAGAAGAGCTCTGCAGGCCTCCAGTCCCAGTGGGCACTGTCATTCCTGGCCTAGGGCTGGGTACCTGGGCCATGCACAGACCTTGCTCCTGCCTCCATCCCTGCCATGGCAAGGTCAGCCCTTTCATCCTCACCTGGGTATCAACACCGTTTCTCCTCATCGGTCCTCACCCTGATCGAGGGCTGCTCAAAATGGCCCTCCAGAATTCTAGCCCCGATGGATGATGGGGATACCAGGCCTGAGTCATGCATTGCACCGGCTACCTCCCCCGGCTAACAAGCCCAAGTCCTGCGATGACACTGCACGCTGCCCAGGGCACTGAGCCTCTGTGCACAAGGACCTACAATGCTGAGGTCCCCTGCGCAGCTCATGCCACCTACTTTGAAGACTGGGCCACATGGATCTGAGCTGCTGGAAATGTAAGTGACTCAGCTCTAATCCCCTCTTATTCTGCACTTCATCTTGTGAGCCTGGCTCCTCTTCTGCAGGGCGGGGAGACCTGGCAAGGGACCCAGGTTAGGATGCAACATCCCTGACCCCATGAGCAAAGCTGCTGACGTGGCTCTCACCACAAATGATTCAGAACGCCTTCTCCCTTCCTCTACCCTCTCTTCTCTTCAGGTCCTGAAGCTCAAAATCTCATCATCTCCCCCAAATGCTACTTAGCCTGTGACACAGAGGCAGGCAGAAAGCAGCAGGTAACACTGAGCATTTTCTCCATCCATTTATCCAAGAAGGGAGGAGTGGTCCTGATATCTGCAGCCAATCAGAGGCCAACCCAAGCGGAAGGACTTTCAGTATGCCACCCAGACCACGGCACTCCCCTGAACGCAAGCAGCAACCTGCAGCTCACTTTGCACCCACCCTGCTTAGCCCCAGTTGTTTCACCTACTCCCAGGAGGGGCACATTCCAGGTCAAATGCCCAGCTCACTGCCGGTAACTCTTTACCCTTCTGGAACGACAGACACTAAGTAAATATAACCCTTTACTGTATCTAACAGGAGTAGCCAGGCTCGCCCCAAGTTTGCCCTTCACTAGCCTCAATACCCTGACCCTCTGTTCTCACTTTGAGACTGCTTCAGATGTCCTGAATTCCTTGGGTGCCAACATGCACAGGTTTTCACCTTGTGAATGATGCCCTCTATCGTCCCCTTCATGTGGTTTCCAAGGTCATGAGGGGTTTTAGGAAGCGCGCAATTTCTGAGATGATGTATGTGACACACAAATCCAAGAAAAGCATGCATCTAACTAGTCTGGAAAGGATGTCACTGTCAGGGTGACCCTCTGACAAAGGCCTATCTCAAGACCTAACCAGGATGGGCCAAAATGAAATGCAAGGGAGGCTGACCCTAAAAACTGGGCCCCCATCACGTCCCCAGCCTCTCCAGTCTAAGTAGCTCTTCAAGTAGCACTGACTGAATTTGGGCATTATCACTGCAGGGTCAATTATCGTGACACTTTCCACAAAGCTATGGAAACAAGACCTCCACCTGCTGCCTTCCCACACTAGGCTGCCACCCCTGGCGGACCAGCCAGTCACTCTGTCCTGGAGCAAGCAAACCGACTGTTCTTCCAAAGGAACTCAGAGAACAAGCCCAGGGAGTTTGAATTTTTGGCAGAGAGAAGTTCAGGGAAAGGTGGGCAGCTTTTGCTCCTTTTCAGTCATGCAGGATAAAGTCTGAGGAAGAGATGAGCAGCACGCAGCTGAAAGAGGAGACAGCTGCTCCTGGATAACAATGCACAGTGGCGGTGCCAAACACAGCGCTATCACCGCACATGGGCTCTGCAGGCGAGAGCTGTGTGACCGAGGCAGGTCACTTCACCCAAGCCTCGTTTCCTCATCTACGAAAGGAAAAAACTCAGAACCCACAGCTGCAGAGTTCAAAATAATCTCTAAGAAAGGGCTCTGTTAACCCTCAAAGCACCACATGACATGTTATTTCCTCTCTGTGGTTAAAAACTCACTAATTAGGAGCCACAAATAAGCGGAGTGGTTTGGAGAGAGTATGCCTGGCTTCAATTTCCCTGTCTGAAGAGCGAGACCAGCAGACCTCACACTGCCCCTGCCCAGAGCTTCACCGGCAGAGCAGGGGACGGAGCCAGGTATGGAAAGGGCTCTGCAGAGTGCTGCGTCCTACCTGGCCATGTCAAGGCTCACACACCCTCGCTCTCAGAGCTCTCAAACTTGGCTTAGAGCAGCTTCCTTCCTCCTGTTCTCCAGAAAGACTGCCAACTGTCAAAGACAGTAATTTAGGCTGGGTGAGGAACAAACAGATTTCCTTGAAAATGATTCTGTGTTTATCTGCACCCAAGCTGGCCCTAAGCACAGACCCTGCTAGTCTTAATCGGCCAAGGAGCTGGAATGTGGTCTGCAGAGACTACAGAGCTCTCCAAGCCGGCCTTGCCATGCACGGGGTCCCACATAAGGAAGTCTTGCGCTCCAGGCTGGGCAGCCTGCCCTGAAGCCACCCTAAGCAAAGCTCTGCCATGGAGGACAGGCCTTACAATCTTCCATTGTCCCAGGCTCACTTAATACCTGCCTAGGGTCAGCCCCAAGCCTGGGCCACAGCCTGACTGGCCTCCCTTCAGAGCCAGGCTCACATCTTTGAAGACATCCCCAAACCCCTTCTCAGCCAGGCAGAGTACACGCTCCCAGAAACCTACAAACACATGCCTCCTTGTGGCCAATCAAGGTGTAAATACCCAAAGGGCGGGTTCACACAGTGCCACTGCACTCTTTTGCTTCATCTTTCAGAGCTGGTCTAAAAACATCCCTGTTCTAGGTCTGAGCATCTGGTCAGCAGCACCCAAGGGTCAGAGGCCCAGGTTCCAGCACAGCCTCCTCAGCCCAGCCTGTGATCTGCAGTATGGTGCAGCAAAAAGCTTTGGAACAAGCTGGTTTCTTTCCTGGCTCTAGCTCACCACTTCTCCTGTCAGGCTTTTCCTCTGTAAAACAGGAATAATGCCACCTCCAAGAAGACTGTTCGAGAATTAAGAAGACTGTCCAGGTGCCTGCCACACACAAGCTGCCTAATCTAGCTTATTTCTTTCCTTTCTCCCATTCCTGCTTCTTTAAAGGAACAGCTGCTGCAACTACCAGTGGGCGACACTTGCAGGCAGAGGCCCCACATCCACAGGATTCGACAAGGTCAAGTGCGGAGAGCCTGAAAGAGTGAAGAGGGAGAATGGCTCCCGCAATGCTGAGACGATGTCTCCAGAGCAGCCACGCCGGGCCTACTCTCCCGTGCTGGCCACCAGCGGCACAAAAACAGCCAGGCACTGACATCTCCAGAGGCCCACGCTGCAGCCTGGGTCACTGAGGTCAGTCTCCACCCTGTGCACTCAGGGGCATCCCAGTTCCCTTGCACAACAGCAAACTTCTGAACAACCAGACCATGGTACTTCTTGGAATAAGAAATTAAGGTGTTAAGAACTAATTGGTTGGGAGGAGGAAAAAAGTCCCTCCTCCCCAATGTTGGCTGAATGAGGCAAAAATTCTATCAACAGCCTCAGGTGTAAGAAATGAATGCAAAAACTTCTGTCATGGCGTTAGTTATACAACTATCTCTTTACTTTATGAGCACACCTGGCGACTCCCAAGGCAAATCTATCCTATTGGGCCACAGAAGGTAACACTTAGCACTGTTTCAGAGTTTTTACAAACTTAGAGCATCCCAGGGATCAAGCTGTACTTCCCACTTAGCTAACACGCCAACATCAAGGGACACCACTTCCCCCTTTCCACCAGAGGCTGCTGAAGTCTTATGAGTATATTCAAACCAGGAACACGGCACCAGCAGTAGTGTCACCCTCTGCCTGCTTTTCCTCTTGTCAAACAGAAATGTCCCAAGTGTGTCTAGACCAGATAGGGAAGTGGACACATGGGCAGAGACACCGATCCTTTGATAATGCTTCTTGTAAGACACAAGGGAGGCTATGCATGCTGATGAAGGCAAATTTTTCCTCCCAAAGTGTCCAAACAATCTACTGAAGACAAGCTGCAGGACCCTTCGAAGGGTAAATCCATAGTCTTCTCATCATACCGACTAGGGTCCTCCATCCCTTTCTGTGGTTTATAATAACTTACTCTCCACTACCAGTCACCGTGAGCCCTGAAGGCTGGATTCTGGCAGTGGCTATAATCAAACACTGGCTTTTATTGTTAATGCACTGTAACTTAGAATCAGCAGGTAGACTGACAATCTAAGCTCAGCCCTTGTTAAATTCTAAGCACCCTTAAATCCCAAACCAAGTATTTACAAACCCTGGGCAGCAGATTGGCTGGTGATTTAGTTTCCACAGCAGAAATGTGGGCTTTGGTTTGTGTTCCCTGTCAAACTTCTGGAGCTCCGAGGCCTCTCCCTAAGCCTGGGAGCAGACCCAACCCGTCAGCACGATGGGCAAACATAGCTCTGCCCCACAGGCCAAGTCCCTGCTTCACAGCCACCTGTTGGCACAGCCTCCCCTTCCTCACACACCTCGGGCCACCAGAGACACCTTCACAGCACTTCCTGTGTATCAACTCACTAGGTCCCCAAGCCCCAGGGGAGAGCACTGGAGTGAAATGCCCTGAGCCCCATTCCTTCAAGGTTTCTACTTCCTATTTCTAGCCATGCTGTAAAGCTTACATAATCTAATTTGCATTACAGTACTATTTTTAAAAACCTCCAAAGATCAAAGCTTCAAACATCAATGGAAGCTGTTAGCTCCTAACTGGAATGACAATGTGGGAGGGATATCTATTCTTACAACTAATTCAAATTGAATTCTTCACTTAGAAGTCTTTCTGGAAGATGCTGTTGGGAAAGCAGGGCCCTTCTTATATAAGACACTCCATGCCCTGAAAGTGCTAGCAAGATACACAGGATACTAAAACTCACCTTGGCAGCAGTTTCTCGGCTCTGCTGTTCCTCACTTGCCACTGTCTCCCGTCCAGGCTGCCTACTCACACTGAGAAACCTGTGGCGACTGTCAGCCTGCTATCAGGCTGCTCCCAGACAGAGAGAGACCACGGCACCTTCCTTGTTGTGGGTGACTCCAAAGATGCCCGCGCTGCCCTCAGAAGGCATTGGCACTGGAAGGGCAGGCACTGCAGGAAGGCCGTTCACAGAGCACTGCTCTGCCACCTCTCCCTGGGCTTTTAAGGCCCTTAATTACTACAATTCCTAGAGGGAAAAACAATTTTCTTAGCTCTTTTCTGTCTGCTCAGCTGAGTATTAATTAGTAAATGAGCACTAATTATTGATGAAATCTAACAAACAGGGAAATTACAGTGAATGATTATAATGGTAAAACTATGCTATTGTCATTAATAAAAATCCTGAGCTCAGGGTTGAAATTAACAGTGTTATTCTTCGCTACACTATAAAAACTGTGGGATATTTGTCATTCATTTCACATAGTTCACATACTTGGACCTCAGAGGCCCGGGAACAAAAGGACCAGAAGTTCATTCAATGAATGAATTTCCATGTGATGCCAGTGACAATGATGCCAGAGAGCCTACATTATCCTATAGCTTACAATTAAACTATTAACTAAATTAATACTCTCCTGCCACTGCTTAAACACTATTTGTCTCCCAAAGTAACATATGTACAGTAGGGTCAATTCCACCACCAAGGAGACTCTCGGATTTAAAATGCTTCCACTGGACAGACCGTCCGGACTCAGACTAGGAAAAAGGGCCTGGCACACAGTAGGCACTGGGCTGCTACGCAGCACTGGACTGCACTTGGAACCAGTCAACTCTACCTCGCTGTTAACACTTCACAGCTGCCAAAGCCTCGGGAAATGTACACCCAGATTCTGTGAGGGGGGCAAAAAAGTTGTTTGGGCAACATTTAAATTAGTAATAAACAGAAACTGCCACTTAGAAAAACAAATACAAAACATGAATTCCATTTTAAATTTGTGTGTGTGTGTGTGTGTGTGTGTGTGTAGCAAATGTAGCCTTAGCACAGAACATCTAATACATAGTGAAATGCATTTATGGGACTCACTAAACAAAGCAAGTCTTGATTAAAATATTTGGTCTAATCCTTACATCTTTGAAATAAACTCCATGATGGTTGAATATGGTAAGAAATACTCTGGCTACTTAACTGGAAAAGAGACCAAATTGGTCTCTGCAGACTTGGTATTCACCTTTCTAAGTCTTACTAAAGTCAATTCTGCAAATAAGTAGGTTAACTCTCAATTACATTTTTTCCCATAGTTACCTTAATAGTTTTGGTTTTTTTCATTTTCTATTGCTTTTTTTTTTATGGCTTCTTGCTGTTGTACTAGAGCATACAACACAGATCAGAGATTTTATTTCTCAGAGAAGTGTCTCTCTTTGAGAAATTGGCACTTTGATCCTCAGCTTATATAACAGCTACATATATGGATCCCACCAGCACTGTCTCCAATCTCGCCGCTTCTAAAACTCCAGCACTTTGGACAAAAAAGAGTGCCCTGCCATTAACTGCATCTTAGGTGAATCATTCCTACCACTTCTAAATTTAAACGATTATCTGTGTGTGTGACTTATATACATATTATAGCCTAAGTTTCTACACACATATACACGTTTAACTTAGTGAACGTGAACTATCTCTCTTGAATAAAAAGCATTTACAAGAGTAGTAAAACAAATGTTGAAAATAACTATTTTACATTTAGACCATAAAATTTTTCAAGATAATGTGATGACATAAGACCTAAGAGATCAAATACATCATATATGATTGTCATATATCCAAGTTGTGTAAATTGCTTATTTTTCTCTTTAATCAGAAAATAAAAGAGCTTACCTTTGTATACTGAGATCACAGCTTACAGTCACTATATCTCAGCCTATTTTATACAAGTGATATGGCTACGAAGGTCCGAGGAGAACGAGAATAAAGTGAGATAAACGTGCTGAAAACTGCTTAAAAGTATTAACCTGAAATACACAGAGGGTCCAACACCAGTTTTAAAAAATACATTAACGAGGTCATCCCAACTCTTCAATTACTATTGGTGACTGACTCATAACTTTCAAACATTCACCCAAATTTAAAAAAAAAAAAGAAAAGAAAAGGCTAACACCAGCAAAACTGACCAGTGGTTTGCTCCCAGGTTAACAATCAGAGAAAGATTACCAATAGGGTCGGCAACTAGGTAAATCCCGCTCCTTGCTTCCCCTCCAAGTGCGCTCCACCTCGTCAATGTGAGGTATGTGGGAGAGAGATCTATGGGACCATTACCTGGCTCAAGGGCCGGGACACTGCTGCAGCCCGGAGACACACAGGCTGCCAGCCACAGCCCTGGTGAGGCACCAGCCCCCACCAAAAGATATGGCTTCAAGGAGGACCCCTAACTCAGAGAAATTATAATAGTGCTACTGACGAAGTCAGGAATGTAACTATTCAATTTATGTGCTAAAAAAGTTTAAAAAGTGTCAGAAGGTAGCACACCTTGCACGCGAATTCTGGGTTCTATGTTGGTCTATAAACTCCCTGACAAGAGCTACACTAAAGAGGTTAAGTACAGATATTGCTAGGTTTCTAAAGGAAAAGTTGTACAACAGACACCGTGGCTTTAGACAAAATATTGCTCTTCTTTAAAATGCTTGGTCAATGCTTTCAAAGAAAAGGGGTCAGAGTGGTGTATCTGAAAGCTGGAAAGCCTCAGGGTGTCACATTGCTTTTAAGACCAAGACATAGAAATTGCCATTTCAAGCCAGACAACCTGATGGTTCTAGAAGTCAGAGAAGAAATCTTGAGGGCCCAAGTGAATAATAAATGGTGCGACGCTCAGAGGCTGGCAATAGGGGCTGTCAATGAAAAAACCACCTACAGCGGAGAAAAGAGCAGAGAAGCAAAACCTTACATTAATTTCATACGATTTGGTGAAGCCAAGAGCTTCATTTATATTTCTCTGCTCTTTCAGCTGTAAGTGGAATTTTCATTACAAAATGGAGGGGTGGGAAGGGCAAAAGGTGGGGGACACTTAATTCATTACAGAATTTAAACAGTTGAACTTGCATGGTTACCACTTCTAACAAAGGACTGACAGCTCGATTATTTTAAGTAAAGCAGAGAAATGTAAAAGTTTGCAGCAACTGGGCAGGTTTACAACATGGTTAGTAACTTCCAACAAACAACAAAATTAAAAAAAATAAAAGGACTTGGTAGAAACCATTTGAAATGACTGCCATCATGTTGGAAAACAGCACAGCTCCCATTTTCTCCATCGGAGAGGGGTTTATAAGCAGAGTCAGTTACTTCCAAAGAATTTGCTCAAGAGAAATCTCCAGGGAGATTCCAACTTGGGATCCAAATTTGACAATCAATTTCAAGTAACAATAACAACTGCAGCTGCCAATTAATAGTAGACCAAAAACAAATCACTATTGTAGATATTTAAAAAGTGGACACTTCCAGCCATGCTTTTTCTTCTCAGTGATGGCTCTGTTTCATCCATAGGTCAGCAAAACGCATCAATGAAACATGAAACCCCAGCTGAGATGGGCCCCTGCTGTTTACAGCTAGCCACTAATGCACAGGATGACAATGGTAAGTTACGGCTACTTCCAGCAAGTGACAAAGGTTTTATTAAAGTGTCACCCACCACTAAGAATAGGTCAAGGAGAAGAAATGAAATGTCAGGTAATACATGTCTGAGGCATGGCACTAATATCACCCTTAATGGTCCCAAACAAATCTGGCAGGTAAACTTGCCATATTGTGTGAAGCCCACTTTCACTGATGGGCACCATGCAGTTCTGAAAAAGCTTAATTTAATGCAGAAGAACAAAGCTAGTTCGAACCAAAACCAGACATTTTTCAAGACACAGCAACTTGGCAATATGGCGGCTGCCTTCATGGTGGTGAACACCTTAATGAAACCATTTCCTCCTAGTAACATCATCAGCTTTCCAAACAGGGTGAGAGTGCGAGGGGAGACTTCAGTCTGGACCCTCTACACAACAGCACAATGTTACCGACTGATCAGTTCCCACCTGCGGAATCAGGTGTCTTAAAAACAGATGCTGACCCATGGCTGAAACCTGTCACTTTCCACAGCAGCACTCAACAAGAACTGGGACAATCGAAGAGCAAGTTTTTATGGGGACCCTGTTGCTGCTTTAGATTCTGATGTAATTGAAGAGGAAAGGAGACCCTTCAGTGAATCCCAGAAAAATCTCTAACCTTCTATCTGCATCAAAAAGCCAAGGAATGAACACAAAATCTTACAGAGTGAAGAAGGCCACAAGAACAAGAGGGTGATTGATTAATTTATTTTTTAAAACTTCAAAATTCGTAAGCTAAAATGATCACATTCATCCTTCCCCATCTCTGGGTAATGCCATCATTATAATAAGCAATGCTGGGGTAACAGAATGTAACCTTTATCGTGGGGACACCCTTGTACAACCAGAGCACAAAGGGCTTACAAAGTACGTAACCTGGCTCAAACTAACAATCGCCTTGCTTTGTTTTAGCAGTTATGCTTACAGATGAATGGGCTTCTAGTGCTAAATTATTAATAGTTTGCAATTCCTTGTAACCTAATACCAAAACATATCAAAAATAATAAGCTAAAACAATATCCAAACCCATATTTTATTGGCTTTAATTACACACTTCAGTATTTACAAATTGAAGTTTAAATGAAAAGTCTCTTTCATATTTAAAAAAAATAACTACAGCCCAAATTAAAGTGCCCTGGGGCCAGCACATCCCCAGCAGCTGAGAACCAGCGTCTGCAGCAGGAACCAGGCAGCACTCTGCGTTACGACAAAGCCGTTTATTTGTGATCAGTGTTGGAGACTCTGTACATCCTTCACAAATTTAATTTTACATAATCTGATACTCTCTTAAAACTTAAACTTTGAACTGCTAGACTTTTATAACCCTAGAACATAAGGGCTGGTATAAATTATTTTCCAGAAATGAGGTACCGTTTCACAGAACTGGTTTTTTTTTTTTTTTTTTTTTTTTTTGTCTGTTTTCAAGTTTTAGAGAACTAAATTTGCATTTGTTAAAATCAAAAAGTAGGAAAGATGTTCTTTACAAATAATTTTGATCAAGTATGTGTTCAAAGAAAGCAGGATAAAAAGGCTTTTTTCTTTAACATTCTGTATTGTACTGTACTGTTGTTCAATAGGAATGAGCTTCTGTCATTTGCTAAAAGAATGAGTAGTGGGGAACAGGATATGTTGGGAATTTCATAACGGGTAACAGAACCATTCTCTTGGGCAAACCTACAGAGAAAACAAACGGACAGGACTCCAAATAAGTTTAATATGCCAATAAAAATATCAGGTTAAAAAATCTTACACTAGGTATCATTAACCTTTTCCAGATTAGTCAGTCAACATGTTTCATTTTGAAAGAGGCCCACAAATCCCTCACGGATCTCCTGTTTTGAAATTGTTCTTATACGGCGGTAAATAATATTTCTATTCAAAACCAAGATGGTTACATCAGAGGACAAATGATATTCAGAAATGACAGCTGAGTGAACTGTCATAATTAGATTCTAAAGATCAAAAGTGATGCTATTGATTAATACTCTAAAGTGACTCTACAAATCCACATTGGCTTTCAGTTTGGCATATCACATATTCAAGGAGAAACAGGGATTGTTAAGATGCAAAGCACAGCTTTTTGTGCAGGCCTCAGCGCTCTGGAACACAGCTTCACAGCTGTGCCCAGGTGTTTGTTTATCTTCTTAATGGCTACTGCCAGTATTGGCATGGCAAATCTGGAAAGATTAATTACTTTTTTAATTTCGAAATTAATACGTTCTTGTGGCCTCACAAACTTCTGCATACTCAGGCAGGATTTGAAATCTGCTCCTATTCCTAGCTAATATTTAACGTATGGAGAAATCACAAAGCAGCAACAGCAGGTATTCAAGAGCACCAGATGATCAGAGGGAAGTTACCCCACATGCAACAGCTTTACAAAGGCCAAAAGACACGTTTACCTTACAGCCAAAATAAAGCATTGTTTTAGTAGGTTTGCATCACAGTAACATTTAAAAACCAGATCTTTTATGTGAAAAATGGGGGCATCAAACTTCACCAGCTTTGGAAGTCAGTTATATGGCACATGAAACAGAGGAGCCTCCTGAACTGAGGCTCAGAGGCCGCTGGGGGCAAGTGCAATGTTAAAGAAGAAAAGGGCAGACAAGTGTGAAAAATTAAAAGGACAGCAGGAAATAAGGATGTACCTTGGAGCCTACATCTGAACCTTACTGTGTGGCTGAAAGAATCAAAAACCTGCCTTAGGAGGCAGATGTTCTGCCGCTCACAACAGACACAACAGAGCTCGCACATCAAGTACACTGTATGTGGATAAACTGACCAGACATGGTTCAGGGCATCCACAGCTTAGCTGAAGGGCAAATGCTAATGTCCCAACTAGAAAGTATTGGTGCGAGTGAACAGGAAGGAAATCTGGGGGAAACATACGCTGCTTGAAATTAGTCCCTGAATCCCACTTGCCCGTTATGGCCGCACCTCAGAGTGCCAGGAAAGGCTGAAAGCCCAGGACGTGTCTGCCCAAGGAAAACTCACTCCAAAAGTGTGGCCCCTGGCACTTCCCTACATTTTTACAGAATAGTAACTGTCTATCCTAATGGGCAAATAGGTCAAAGTACTCACTTTCTGCTTATTTTTACAATTAGGAAGTCGCATGAAGGTTCGGCTTAGCAGTGATTTAAAGGCCCGTAACTTTTATCCAAACAAAAATAGCCAAGCTGAAGTGTGAAGGGAAAAGGCACAACATGAAGTTCTGGGGCTCATGGAGAGGGTCTGGGCCACTGACAGCAGTCTGCCTTCTGTGACTGCACGACCTGCCCAGGGACCGTGCTGACCAACACTCACGTGTACACTACGGGCACACATACCCACAGTCTCTCTCCCCTCTCCCCTTCTCTCTCCATGACAAGCATCCTGCAGATTGCTGAGTTTGTAACATGTAATCCCTGAGTTAGGAAAATGTCTGAGAACATATCACTGACTCCAAACCTACTGCCTCCATTGCCACATAAACCTCATTCAAAAGTTACCCAAAGGGCCATGGGGGTTCATTGATGCATTTGCTCTTGTTTTTTATGTTTGGGGAGAAGAGACAGGCCTATGATTTCCCAGCATACACTACTGACTTTCTGCATAAGGAACTTAAGGGACACTGTTAGTGAAGCCCCATCATCTCCTCTCTGAGACCAATGGAACCATCAACCTCCAAGCAAAATACACAGAAAAGGGTGATGGGTACACTTCCTGACTGAAACTACCTACAGTTCGCACAGTTTCAAACCAGACATTTACATTAGCTATGTGACTGGCAGGCAGTCAAGCTAGAAAATGGGTATGGCCCTTCAGTAGCCTTTGAATGGAGTGTAAGTTGGCTGTAAGAATTACTTAAAATATTTAATTTCAATATGGTCAGAAACAAGCAATTAGAACAAGCAGTCCTTCAGTCAGGCAAAGCGGAGAGAAGAGCAACTCCAACCAAACCAAGAACCACAAGGTTGTGGCATTTTCAAAGAGAATTTCAGTTGGGTCACTAGAATGATTAGGTCTGAGGTCCTCCGATTCATTTACTGAAAGCCTGGATACAAATGTGCATTGGGTTGCTGTGATAGGTTCGCTAAGAGAAGAAATCAGTAAGATGGCATACATACCATAGGCGGGGGCAGCTGTGCTGTAACCATATGGTGTTCCATAGCCTGGTGCAAAGAAAGAACAGTAGATCAGCCTGAGACCAAGGACAAGTGGCAGTGGCCCACTTTAAAAACACCACCCACTCTGCCGCCCCAGGACTGGAGAACCTCCCCCAGGGGCTGAATGGCAGGAACCGTCCCAGAGCAGTCTTGCAGTATGGCAGCTCTCGGTGCCTCTCACCACGGTCCACAAGGTTCTCCTTGACCTGCCACAATCATCTGTCACACTCACCGCCTTTCCTCACTACATTCTACCTGTCCACATTCACTACAAGAGTGCCAGAGACCTGTCTTACTCATTTTTGCATTACCTGAACCTTACCACATATATATCATTTCTTGAACAAAAGGATACACTGAACCACTGAAATCAGCAGTTTCTTAAAGATGGAAAACAGAACTTTCCTAGTCTCATTTCAGAAAGTCATAACAGAACAGGTACAGGCCTCAAATACCAAGAAAGAGGTGATATGAGCCAAAGGGCGCGGTCTAGGACTCATGGATATCTGAGGAGCATCTGGCCCAGCATGGGTTCTCCAAGTAAATGTTACTGCATTTCACACTGGCAGCTGCTGCCTCCCAGTAACACTCATCTTATTAGTAGAAATTAGTACAAAAAATACAGGTGTTTTTGAGCCAATTAGTTACGATAACGATTGCTTACATGTCTTTACTTGCACATACAATGTCTGAGCTATCATTTTCTCATCTTTAATACAGTAAACCTCTGAAGCTACTCTTCCGTGTTGAAAAAGAAATGCGAGTATCATGGCTAGAAGCTGCAATATTTTTGGAAAAATAACTTAAAAATATGTAAATATAAACTCAAGTTTTAGAACTGCTTTCTAAAATACAAGGACACAACAACCTTATAGGCCCTACACAAATCTGCACCTACATCAAAAGCTTTTGCCTATTACAGTCCTTCTTCTAGAACCATTTCTGCTGCTCAGAATGACTCTGGCTTTTCTCCTCCAGACAACCAACTGCAACCATTCTTAAGATCAGGGAGATCTCCCAAGTTTCCTGCTCACTCCTGATGCCCTTCACCTTACAGCCTCACACTGCATTGTGCTCATTCAGATGTCTGTTCCCACCCGGTGACCCTGAACCCTCACAGCCCTGTCATCCTTGCATGCCCAGCTTTCAATCTCCCATGTGAGACAAAGCATTCAGTGTATGCTAAACAAATGCACTGCTTTTCAATACCAAATCAAAACATTTCCTGCCGGATGACAGTTTATTGCCTTTTAGTCTATACTTAACTTATATATTACCTCAAGTAATACAACTCAGCTTTTGTGCTCACTAAATCACGTATTTCAAGAGGACACAATACAGCTAAAATGAGCAGTAGAACAGAAGGTGGTAGAAGAGGCCAGAAGAAAAACTAATGCTTTACAAAGAAGGTTGTACAAATCTAGTCCAGGAAATGGGGGCTGTTTTGTTATGGCTACAGTTTCAAAGGTTTTAACAAAATCTCCTTAGAGAGAGATGAAACTATAGCTAAGCTAGTCACTAATCAAGTCCCTGGGACTCTAAACCTGACTGTCTCTTCCTGGCAATATGTCTTTGAATCGTAGCCATTATTTAACCTCTCTGAGCCTCAGTGTCACATGTACCCACTGAATTGGCAAAGGACTTTAATCCATCTGCAGCAGTCCTTGGTGCACAGAACATACTCCACAAAAGGCATATTACTTACGCATAATCTAAACTGACCCAGGCTTAATCTTTTCTAGCCCATTAAAGCTTTCCTTTTTCAAAGCTTCAGGACACAGGTCTTGCAGACAGAACAAAGCAGTGACTTAAGAGAGAAACCACTGTCCTGCAAAAGAGCCTGGTAGCCAGTAGACATAAGTCCTGTAGGGACTGCCACCCATAGTCAACCACAGCAGTCTACCCCGCCCCACCAGCAGGAGGGTGCACAGCTCATGACCCTGCAATAACAGACACAAGTGAAGTGCCACTCAGTCATTTGTCCATTATCACACAATAAAACATTCCCCTTTCCAGAATGCAGTAATTTAATTTCAGTAGAGAAAGTGAGATGCACAAAAGAATCTGCTACGAAACTCACATGCTTCTTTCCTTTTAGTGTTTCCTAGCTCATTAAATAAATAGCATGATCATCCCAGTAAGTTCCTCCAAGACAACACACTTGAAACGTCATTCTTTCCCATTCTATACATTTCATCCAATGCCTTGCTTTTTACCTATTCCTTCAGTCTCTTCACACACTGCCAGTTGTTTAGTCCTCTGTATCCTCTGGCTTCCTTGGTCAGGTGCCTGAACGACTCATCTACAACCGCTTTCTAACTGGCCAATCCTTGACTCTGTAATCTATTCTCCGCAGTATCGAAGTAATCTTTTCAAATAAAGCCGATCTTGTCACTTTGCTTCATGACCTCCTACTATATTTAGTATTCAAAATCCACAAAATTCAAGCCATCGCCTCCAGGACACTTTAACAACTTAACCCTTTACTCCAAGCATCGATAAGGCAGCGTGTTTGGTTTGTATTGTCAGTATTCCAACATCACCCAGGCAGGTGGCATTTCAACCAGCTGGTGGGGGGTGGGACAGACAGGGAATCAAACTCAGAACCTCCCGCTTGCCAGGCAGGTGCTGTGCCACTGAGATGTATCCCAGGCCAACCAGTTAATTCTTGTACTAAATAAATTTGATCAAACTTATTTTTACATTTCCTGTTTAAAAATATATGCAATTTTTGGTCATTCTATATTTAAATAACTAGACTTTAGCTGGTATGTATGAAAATACATAGTAAACAATGTTCTGGATAAAAAGTTTTCTTTTTTCCTTTTGTATTTCTGCCTTTGATGATTTTCAAACACAGTTAAGCAAATGCTAACAATGCCAGGCTTTATCCTAACTAAGAAGCCTCCTAATCATTTTTCTCTCCTGGTACTTGCAACTTAGACTTCTATGTCCCCAGAGAACATAATCTGCTAAGATGTGCAAAACCCCTGCATCTGTGGAGCATCTTTTAGATTTCTCATCAGCAAAATGCCTTCCCCCAACCAAGTATAATGTTGCTTATCTGTTGTCTCCTTCCAGGAAGATTCCAGGTATTCAACAGATTCCAGGAGAAAAAGTATGACATTCTCTTCTTTTGAAGCTGTGTATGCTCATCTGACACATGTGTTATATTGCCAGTCCCAAAAGCCCTTGCAAAAATGAAGGACGTGCTGTTCCACAAAACTGAGCTCACAACAGGCAGCACTAACCTGGAGCTATGTAGCCAGGAGCAGCTGCAGCCCCAACGAAAGCTCCCCTCGTCAGAGTGCCTCTTCCTCTGCCTCGAACTGCCTGAACTGCTGCAGACACAGCAGTATTCACAACACCCTTTGCCTTTAAAAAGAAGAAAATTATATATTTTCATCATGTAAAGAAAGAACTACCAATTTAAAGAAAAAGAACAGACGAAGGCATGAAGACCAAACATGAGGACAGCAGGTCCACATCTGTGACCTCAGGAAGATCATGGAATTTTTTTTAAGCTTGTTTATTCTACTGTGCTTACATATATACCTATCCTGTATATTATTAATAAATACTACCTACCAAATTCCTTCTTGCTCTAAAATGACATAGGACATTGGTGAAGTCACACAAAAGCTCTCTCTGGCAGTCTCCCCACTAACTGTAAAATGAGGATAATGATATCCACTTTGTTTTCCTTCATGTAGAAAAAGCAACCCCCAGAAAAGAGACATGAAAACACTTCAAAAAGAACTGAAAATTTAAGAAGATAAATGATGTCTGATTTTTAATACTTAATATTTACATTTAAATATATTACAAAAATATATTTTAGTGTAAAATGCATTAAAAACTCAAACTAGAAACACTAAAATTTCCTACTATAATCAATGTACAAGGAAAGTGGTAATCAAGTCAATGGTCTTGGGAAGCTACTAGAGTCAGAGAATGCACACGCCCACCCCCCATGGAAAATCATCCTCCTTCCCTGCTCTCAGCATGGCCACTACCTCTGTTATGACTACCAGACTACACTTTCAAGGTCAAAGGTATCATGCCTAGGGACAATCATTTTTCTTTCTGCCTGAAATAAACCAACCCACATAACATTCAAAATAGACTTCTTAGCTGTTAAGTACATTGAACAAAAAAGTTTCACAGCTTCTAGTATGGAAAAATTTTAAAAAGGAGTAGACTTTTATTTTTTAAACACAGCTTAGTTGAAAGTAGTCAGGAAGCAATAATCTGGTGGCAGCAGAGTGGTTCCACACAGATATAACTCATGCTACCAGAGACAAACCTAACTACCTAATAAATACTTAAAACCAGGCTTTCTAAACTATAAAATTTACTGTCTAAATACAGGATGTAATGTAGGAGTAAAAATAAAATAAAATAAAATAGGTAAGAATGATCTTTATACTTAATCTAGTACATATTTTGCTCTATGTTTACTAAAAGGTTTTAGAAAGAGATCTTACTTGCCTCATATGTACCATTATGATTTAAAAACTTTATTTGTATTTAATGTCAGTAAAAATTAGTTTTGTTTATACTATGACTCCTAGAATTAAACAGTGCTTATTTATAGTCAATACAAGGAATTTGACTCAATATAAAACAACTGTCTAGATGGTTATAAAATACAATCGAACAGCCATGGCCTTGGGATGGAGAACATCCAGTAGACACATATCTCTTCTTAAAATGAGATCAATAAACTTTGCATGTATAAAGAATATAATGTTTAACATGGAAGTTTAGTCCAAAGTTACTTCTACTAAAGTGTTTTATTGCATGTTTCTATCACACAGTAAATTACTATTATGCCAGCATTCTCCATGAGGCAGAGAATGTCTTTACTTACATACTTCTTTTTTCTTATATAATCATGCACATGGTACATGTCAAGAAAAATATTTTGATACATAAAAATGGATAGAAGGCTCTGTATCAAAAAGCATGTAATTAGAAGACTATGTTATCCAAACTCCTGGTGAAGGCCTTCTCCCTGCCAATAACCCACAGATGCAGCACAGTGTCACCTTCTGTGCCACCCACAGAGGAAAGCCCCAAATAAACAATGCAAAAGGACACAGCGGAAAGGAAGTGGGAGAGCAGCTGCAGACTCAAAAAGTAAGCCACGGGCAGTCTAAGGCAGTCTGGCAGCTCCAAGCAACACAAAAGCTCACACCTACAGAAATCCTAGCTAGCCTCAACCTCTTACCTCATTACGAATGATCTCAACTCAATGAGTAAAGCTAACAGCTTTTATAAATATAATTTGGCCACAAACACCATAAAATAGGGACTCAAAGATCCTAATGACCTAACTAGAAGAAAAGCTACCCAATTCATGAAAACAACTAATTTCAGAAAAAGCTAAAGTAGCACTTAGGAGTTTAATTCTTACAGCATTTTCCAAAGGCATTACGCAAGTTTTGCTTAACTCATACCTGAGGAATAATCTTCTTTTTCTTGTTATTTGCGGCATTGGGTCCAGAAAACAGCTTCTCCAGAGCAGCTAAAGCTGCACTTGCCTTTGCCACTTTCTTATTTGGACCTGCGCCTCTGAATTTCTGTCCATCTACTTCTACCTGAAATCAAGAACACCACTTTACAGTCAGCCCGCGCAATTCCTCTCTGAAGTTCTAACATTCTACACCATGGCGAATGCCAGAAGTAAACCAGCTCCAAAGGAACCGAGGGAGTCTACAATGTTTTACATGTCACAGCGGGACATTCTGGCTGTGAGAGGAGCGGAGAGTGGCATGCAGCGAGACACTCACCTCCATCACAAAGCGCTTGTCATGGCTTCCACCAGTCTCTGAGATGAGTTCATATTTGAGCCCCCGTCTTTTTTCATTAAGCTCCATTACAGGATTTTTGCCACTTGCTGTGAGGATAGGGCCCTGAGTTCTTACCTGAAAGACAAAGGAAAGCTGGAAGGTCAATCACGTAAAATTTTTTTTCAATTTTTATTTTTTATAAATGCATGTCTGTAGTACACAATGATCACATTCCCAGTGAGGAGTTGGTACATATACATAACATCTTAATTTCAATGAAGTTTAATGAGAAATTTAGTGTTCCAAGATCAAGCAAGATTTTAGAATATTAAATTTCTTAACACGTTTATACTGAAAAAAAAAAAAAAGCTCAAAATTCTAATTTAAAACACTTGAGAGTTAGAATGAGTCACCCTTGTACCCTGATGGCAAAGTATTATCAAAGGTGTGAAAACTCTTCAAGGAGGAAACACTCAAATGGCCAACCTGCCTTCAAACGCAGGTCCCTACAGACCAGTATTCAGCACCACTGTAGCACTGCCACTCCATGGCCATCCAGGATCTCATCCGTCCTGTTCATGACTTAAGAACAACACTAGATGACTAACAAAGAGGACAGAGTTGGGATTCACATGATGCCTGAAGGGTCAGTTTTCCCACCTTCAGGGTTAGGAAGAATAACTAAATTTGGGATAAGGGAGGAAACATTCCTATAAACCTCTCAATCTCCCTTAAAAGATTTAAGGGCACCTAAGTAAGGTACAAAAAACAGCAGGCTATAAACTGTGGGTTTTGAAATTTAACAACAACAATAAAGTTAAGTCACTCCTTGCCTCCATACAGCTAGGGCGTACTGGGAAGGACAGGTTTTGTTTTTTTGTTTTTTTGGTTTTTTTTGGTCTTTTTCCTTTTTATCGGTACCAGGGATCGAACTCACGACTGCCTGCTTGCAAGGCAGGCACTTATGCCACTGAGCTAAATCCCCAGCCCCTAGGCCAGGTTAAATACTGTGAAACAACCATGTTATAGCACAGATGCGTGCTAAGCATAGCAAGATGGATGACAAGATGGATTCTTGTACAATCAGACAGGAAAACAGACATGCGCACCCAACCTTATAGAATGGAGTGTCACATCATCACCAGGAGAGTCAGGGGAAAGGACGTCCACACAGGTACAACAGCAATGCAAAGGCCCAGGAGAGGCAAAAACCACATTTTCGGGATATTAGACAGTTCAGCTTGACAATATAAGAAAAAAGGGAGAGGAAGATGGTGTGCTAGGGCTTCATTAGAAACATCCAGAGCAGGGCCAAATTACTATGCAACCAAACAAATAAGCCTTAACTTTATCATGGACTATGGGGAACCACTAACAGAGCTTAACATGGAAAGTAACTAGGTTAGACTTGGCTTATTAAAAAAAAAAAAAAAAAAATCACTCCATCAGTGGTACAAAGAACTGGATTGAACAAGGATAAGATTAGAAATAGAGAAAAGAAGTAATTCGTGTAGAAGTGAAGGTTCAAATGAAGAGACAAGTTAGCGCCACAAATGAATAAACAAAACCCACCAAGTACTAAAAAGCATGACAAGGGCTAGGGATTTAGCTCAGCAGCATAAGCGTCTGCCTAGAAAGTGTGAGGTTGTGATTCGATCCTGGTATCAAACAAAAAAGCATGACAAAGGAAAGGCTCAGAGATTGAGCCTTTGGGTTCAGAGATCATGTCTGTAATTCTATATAGTACTTGCTCAAAAAATGCTGAACAAACAAATGCCTAAAAGTAGTATTATGCATGAATACCTAATGGACATCAAGAATATCTTGATAACGGTGTTTTTTGGGTTGGTTTTTTTTTTTTTGGTACTAGGAATTAGACTTGAGACTTTGCACTTGCCAGGCAGGGCTGTGCCACTGAGCTATATCCCCAGCCCCTTAATATAGTGTTCTGTGGACTGAATAAACAGCTGCTGAAGTTAAACAATGGGCAATTTTCACAGAAAGTTTATTGCATATTCATGGACCTTTTGCAATAAACTCCCTTGTTGATACATTTCATAAAGTACATTGTTCAATTTCATGACAAATTTATACTCTCTCTCTTTTAAAGGTAACAAGTAATTTGTTGAAACTAGATTTATACTACTCACTCTCTGTTTTACAAAACTAATTTTATAAAAATGAGTATAGATATAAATTGGTGTGTGACATGGACATACTGAGGACTAAACCCAGGGCCCTGAGCAGGTCAGACAGGTGTTTCATCACAGAGCTGCTCCAACAGCGAGCCCCCTCCTTTTAATGTTTTTATTATTGTAAGTCAGGGTTTAACTAAGCTGTCCAGGCTAGCCTGGAACTGGCAAGCCTCCTTCTTGCCTCAGCCTCTCAAGTAGCTGAGACTGCAAGTTGATGCCAGCACATCTGAAATATTTGGATTTTGAGGCTAGAAGCAGAGTTCAGTGAGCACATGTGAAGCATGAGTGAGGTCCTGGGTTCAATCTGTAATGCCAAGAAGAAAAAACAATACTTGAATTTTAATCAGTAAACACTATTTAAATGAAAAATGAAAAGGGTTCCCCATTGTTCATTACCTCATTATACAGAAACAAGGACTACAGACAGCCACTACTAAAACCTCCACATATTTGTATTGCTGCTTCAGTGCAAGCCACACTGCTTTCTCCCTTGCTACTTACCGGCTTGACTGTCCTAATCCACAAGCCCCTTCTTCTCCTTTGCATAACACAGCTGGCAAAGCCATACCTTGCCCTGTGACCACCGCCTATGAACCAGCAGTACTGTACACAGCTGGGTGCCACATCTGTCTTCCACAGCATTCCATGGCCAGGCCAGGCTGCTTTCTCTGGCTTCAGCCGCCATCAGTCCACTCCATAGTAACCCATGTGGTGCTTCTCAAACATGTGCTTTCAACTCCAGGCCATGGTGCCTCCTGCTTTCAGCCTAGAAAGCCTTCCTTCCACCTCCCCCAACATGGTGCAACTCACCTTCTACCTGTACTACCTCTTGTTTTACAAGATTGTGGCATTTATACAACCACTTCCTCTTTCAAATTTCACTTCACTATATTTACTTTGCAACCATAAAGCTTAGCATACCACATTATCCGTTATTATAAATATCTTTTTCCCTTCTTATACTGAGAGAATCTTGACTGTGGGCACAGTGCAGTAGCTGGAGCTAAGCATGTACTAAAAGGGATTCATGGACTGAAAAGTAAGACATTTAAGGACTTAAAAAGTAAGATTATTAAGTCCCTAATAAATACTATTCTTATAAATGACTAAGTAAAACAAAAATTAATGTAGGCTCTTACTGTGACTCGAAGCCAATTTTCTTTATAAAGAATTCTGTAAACAAGAGTTCCATGAATCACCCAGTGTGCTGTGCATGCCAGGTACTTGGATTTCATCCCATTCTATTGTCTTTGGAAATAAGCTCACAGGTCAGAACTTATTCAGATGCCAAGGAACACTCTACATAAGGTTATTCCCTCCTCTCCTTTGGAGTAGAACCAACTAAATGATGGCCTAATTTTCACACGCATGCACAACCCAGTTTAGCACGCACTTGGAATAACCCCAAATTTCTTTCACTAGATATTTTAGTTTTTTTACTTTTCAGTTATTGTTGCTATCCTTGGTACATTATAGTTACAGCATAATAGAAGCAGCTTCTGTAGCTAAAAAAAGGGAAGTGCTGGTTAAATTAGGTACTGTTTATATGCTGAACAGTATACAATATCATCTTTTTTTGGATCCAAGGCCTTGCTATGCAGTTCAGGCTGGCCTTGAACTCACAGCAACCTGCCCGGCCTCAGCCTCCCAAGTGCTAGGGTTATACAGAAACAAAGAATAGACACAGCCACTACTAAAGCAATGCACCATCACACTTGGCCTTCTTGTCATTTATTTTTAGTGAAGTGAAAATAATCAAGATGTAAAACTGCAAAAAAATTCAATCGCCTTCATAAAAATATTTATGATATTTTTATCTGGACAGAAATAAGTCAAAGAATAAATGTCTACCTCTGAAATATACAAGTTTACACAATGCTTTTAATTTTTTCACCTTTTCTAAATCTTTCCAATTTTCTACACTACACATGTTCTTTTTTCTAACCAAAGAAAACGTAAGTATACCTCTAAGGTACTGGAGGTTTCAGTTGTAGAATTTCCAGTATTATTGCTTGAATTTGAAGACACTGTTTCATTTTTGCCTTCAGTATCTGATTTTTCATCGGAACTCATACATTCAATATCTGCATCAAAGCCTGTTGGGTATCCCATTGCCTGCAATACCTGTGAAAATTACATTAACATGAAATTTTATTCACATACCAGAGATCACAGAAAAGAGATGAAACCCTGAGAACAAGCATTTCAAGTTTGTAACATATGGGCTCATAAAACACCTTTCAGGAAGAGCACTGTGGTGCTAACCCTACAAACCCTTGGTTATGTAAGGTATACCTACCAGGATAATACCGCAGAGAAAGAGAAGAAATCTCAGCATAATCAGGTTTAAAATAAAAGATAACAAAAATACAAACCTGCAGTTGCTCCTATGTCATTTAATTTGGACAAATGGCACAGCCAGGTTCAACTGATGGGATGAGAGGAAAGTCAAATAGCATAATGAAAAAAGCACACTGGGCTAGAAAAGAAAAGATCCAAGAGTCTAATCCTAACATCTCTTCTCAATTTTTTTTGTCTGCAAAACAGGAAGACTAGAGCAGTTGATGTCTAACTTCTATGATGCAATCCGTGAAGGGAACGTGGTCCAGAATGGAAATTACATCTAAAGCTTTCAACCTGATTAGGCTTTCAATTTAAATCAGGGGTTCCCATTCCCCAGACCATGGACCAGGACAGATTGGTGGCCTGTTAGGGACCAAGCCTCACAGCATCAGGTAAGGGGAGCTTCACAGGAGCATATGGCTGCTCCCCATCTCTCCCTGCAGCCTGAGCTCAGCGTTGGCACTGGATTCTCACTGAAGACGAACCCAACTGTGAAATGTACATCCAAGAAATCTAGACTGTGGGTGCCATTCCTTAAGAATCTAATCCCCAAACCAACCAACCAAAACCACCACCACCCACATATGCCCGTGTGTACATCCCCACCACCCATCAGTGAAACCCGTCACTGTACCAAAGAGGTTGAGGACCACTAACTTAAATCATAATCGAGATATGGGGGGAAAAAAGAGAGATTCAATTCCTACATTTACTTTATTTGCTCATGAACTAACCACATTTTTTGGTTTGCATTTCCACCCTTCTCTCACATAGCCTGATTACCATCGGAAGGCAGGTGGGTGGGTAGGACAGAACCCAAGGCCTCTCCACACAAAGCACATGCTCAGCACTGAGCTCTAAATTAAATCCTTAATCAGAGGACATAAGGGTAAGTTCCTAAAGGACTTCCTCTATTTGTTTCAGTTTGTTTTAATTTGCTGAACTACAAAAACAACATCGTATTCCTTTATTATACCAAATGTACTCAACAGATAACTGTTAGTCACCCCAAGAATAAAAAATGTCCTCACAGATAATGGCACATGTGTCAACAATTTTGCCAATAAATAAAAGGGCATTAGTCTAAACAAAATTTTTAGGAGGCTTAAGTAGAACTCTGTAACAAAAGAACTTAAAATTAACCCACCAATTCACATATGGAGAATTCGGCTTTCTCATCATAAGTAAGTTCTTTGTATTTATTTGGGAGTAAACCCATTTTTAACATCATAAGTTCTGAAAGTACTCAGGTAGTACTTTACATTAAGTACACTAACATCATTTGGTTATATTTTCAATATTTTATAAAGAAAACACATTCTTCTCTGGTGAGTCCTACATATACATTCTCCCTGAGGATCTGATGTCAAAGAAGTAAAAAGTCCAAAATTAACCCTAGGTAACCCAGCCTGCAAATACTAAACATCACAAATAAATCTGTAAAAAGACATGCAGCATTTCTCAACATTAATTAGACATCAGAATTAGAATAATCTAATGCAAACTAACACACTTTTCTCTACCTTTTTCTCATGCAGGAGATGTCTCATCAATCATTTACTTGTTATTATAGCAACATATGCCAATACATTTAGAAATAGTTTACAAAAAGGATGGACTTCAAGGGATATAGCATTTACTTTCAACATAAATAGCTAATAACTTTTTAAAATACAATTTTTTAGCTTTAACAATGTTTATACTTTGGTCTGTTACATATTTATATTGTTATTATATTTATTAACCAGTTTACTATAATCTAGATTGCACTAAGAATGTTCACTTGAGTGTATCAAGAAATAAGAACAATAACCTTTGCCAAGCATGCTGGCATGCACCTGTAATCCCAGCACTCAGGAGGCTGAGGCAGGAGGATTACTGTGAATCTTGAGGCCAGTCTGGGGTACAAAGTGAGTTTACCGACAACCTGAACTGCATAAGGAGACTGTCTTAAAAAAGAAGAAAAAAAGAGCAATAACCCTGAGCCCCATGTGGTAGTACATGCCTATAGTCCTAGAACTCAAAGGGGTGAGGCAAGAGGATCAGCAAAAGTTCAAAACCAGCCTGAACTACACAGCAAAAACCTGTCTCAAAAAAAAAAAAAGGCCCTGAAAGTTATGGAAGAGTGGTAATTTTTCTTCCAGTTAGACCTGCCTGTACTGCTTCCTGCAGCATGATTTAAGAAGCAGTTCTGAGGGTGCAATAGCTGACAGATTTGTTTTCATTTTAGGGGAGGGGTTTGGCAGTATAAGGGCCTTCATACTGAGCTACACCCTCGGCCCTTTTTATTTTAATTTTTATTAAGACAGAATCTCATTGTTTGCTTGTTTTGAGACAGGATCTCATTATGTAGTTCTCAGACCTCTAGAAATGACCAAATTAGACAGGAGCCTCTACTTTTTCAACAAAGCCCCATCCTTAGCCCTTGTCCTTAAAGAATGCTAATGTAGTAAGAATCCTGCTCAAGTGGCTTAGGAAAAGTCTCCCCCCTCCCTACACAGTTGACCAAATTTCCTCAGCAGGAGCTGAGGAACTTCCCTGCAGGTGGTGTCTCACCAGTCTGGCCTGCCTGCAGCAGGAGTCCTGTCTGTGTAGCCTCCCCACCAAGTTTCCTCTTAGTAACTTTCCATTTACTGATCCCTCTCCACTCCTTGGCTACCAATCCCCATGTTATATTTGGAATTGAGCCCAATTCTGTATTGAGGTCTGTCTACTGCAATAGCTTCTATTTTTATGCTATAACAACCATTTAGCACTGCTTTTTTTTCTTTGCAGAAAAAAAGTTTGTATAGAATCAATATTTGGGCCCAAAACAACACCATACCAGAAAAAAGCAAGTTTTGATGTCTGACAAACAAAATTAAACCTAATAAAAACATCAACTGAGCTTTAAAATCACAAGATAATTCATGGAAACAGGCAGGAGGCACTTCTGTTGAAGGCCAGGCCTTAAGATAAAGAGAGAATGACCAGGCTTGCATGCTTCATAACTGGTATCACATGACCAATAAAGTGTAGATAGACAATAGTCACCCACGTGGGTGACCAGAACCTCCTGGCTCATCTCTTCCAAGAGACCCTTGTTCTTTCCGTCTGCACTTCATATGATGACTTGCTCCCTGGGACCAGCACTACCTAGGTGGCTATACTTGTAATCTTACTAGCTGATCAGAGTTTTGTCCTACGTTGCTCCACCTTATGATTTTGCACATTTTTTATACTTGCTCTGGAAAGTGCGGTCCAAGGCAACACATTTTCAGGTCCCCTTCTATTCTCATAAGCAAGAAATAGTTCTACTCTTCACCTCCACTGTTCTTTAGAATTCATTCTTTGATTAGTATTTGCCTTACATCATTTGGAGGTCCTGTATCATAGCCATGCTCCTTTTTCCAGCAGGAGGGCTGTGGTTGGGAAATGTTATGACTGAAAAAGATGACACCGTTGAAACCTAGGGAGAGGGATGGGAAAATACAGTCCATGGCACTCTACCCCACAACTGTCTATTCAAAAGAATTTAACACCTATGGCTTCTGTTGGGTAGAGATCTGGTAACATTTGATACTCAGGACTAAGCAACTGTCTAAATAGAAAGCCTTCATTCCTTGTCACCTTTTAACTGAACTTTTCCCTCGAATTTCTAAGGGTCTTGAAGTGGAATGTGGCTAGTCACGCCTCTAACCTAGCGCTTTGTGAGGGCTTGCCAAGATAAAGAACCAGAAGAGGAAAGGGAAATACTAGCCACTAACTTGGATCATTTGGGGAACCTGCTGCTGAGTGGCCAGGCTCATGTGGCAGGAATATTGCTTTGTTTTGATTTGATTCTGTCTTAACAGCTACATATCCCCTGCCAAATTCTTGACTAAAGACTGAAGATTTTTATCTATGGGATTTTCATTCATAAACAAATGGAAGATGCAATTTCTTTTTTCGTAGTACCAGGGATCCAACTCACAACTGTGTGCATTGCAAGGCAGGTGCTTATGCCACTGAGCTAAATCCCCAGCCCTTAACTCATTTATAAATGGAAGCTGTGATTCGTTACAACTTTTACGGGCGATAATTTGACAATATATGCCTGGCATATAAGCATAATGCCAATATATTTTTTAAATGAACCAATGAATTATTAAAATGTGTTCTCCCTTTGGTCTAGTAATTCCGTCTCTAAAATATATGTTAAGGAATAACTGAACAAACTGAAAAAAATGCAAAGTAATAAACTGGAATCATCTAAATCTAAAATAATTATTATATGGTAGCCTGATAAAAATGTTTGTCCCTTTGTAAAACTGACTGCAATTTTCATGTTAAATATGAAACATTCATAATATATTCCACAATGAAAAAGGAAGCATGAATCTATTATAAGTACAAGTGTTTTTATACACATTATGAAACCCATAACAGAAACCTTGGATCAAGTTGTTTCAGAATTTGCAATTTTAAAAGCTAATATACTACATACAGCATATTATCATTGGGCTCTCAGGTGCTATCCCGTGTTTATGTACAGAAAAACGTACACAAACCAAATGGAAAAATAAAGACTAAAAATAGTGTCACATCAATTTAGCTTAAGTTTTGCCAGTGGGCTTGCATCAAATTTGAAAAACTATTCTTTCACAGTAGTCTTTTTAAAAAGCTTAGAAAAATACATACCAAAATAATTTACTGTAAACTAGCTATTATTTCTGGGTATTGGAATTATCAATGTCCCCTCATTTTCTAAACCTACTACTCATTTTTTAAAACCCAGATTTTACAAAAACAAATGTACCATAAAACTTCTGTAAAGACCTCAGAATGCCTATTTGCCTCAACACAGAAAGCAAATTCTGGAATACAACTACATAGTGCATAAAGCTGAGGAAGACTGCTGAAGCCCAGGAAAGTCTGCAACAGGCTATGTCTAACAGAGGACCAGCTCTGCATATCAGATTGCTTGTTAAACACATTCAGCCAAATAAAATATCAAAGGTGAGATTTTCCAACCTTCAGAGCTGATTCACCTGATAATTTATTCCACATGAATGAAATCTAGTTTATCACATTTTCAAATAGCCCAAAGCTGAATTCTTCACATATTTTGGATTTATCAGTCAAGACCACATTCTACCCAAACTACAATTCAAGGTTAAGAAAAAAAAAAAAAAAATGTACAAAAGCCATCTACCTTCACACATGGGATGTGAGGCGTTACCTTTCTCAGATTCAATGCCATTCAGACTATAACTGAGACATATTCCAGATGTTTCTCACAGAATTTACAGGACCCAAATGTACAGGGCTGTCCACATTTGCCAAAGTTCAGTCGGGAAAAAAAAAATTCAGAAGTGAAGACAAAAGTATGCCTGGCCCATCCAAATTCCATTAATTATAAAAAAGTTATGAGGGGCTGGGGATTTAGCTCAGCGGCATAAGCGCCTGCCTTGAAGCAGGCAGTTGTGAGTTCGATTCCCCGGTACCGGTAAAAAGGAAAAAGACAAAAAAAAAAAAAGTTATGAATGTATCAAATGAGAAATTTGCATCTCATTCATTACATGGTAACATTTGTCACTGTATTTAAAAAGGCCTATCAATCTTACTGAATTGCAAGTTGCTGTGAGGTACTAGCTTATACCAAAGATTATTTTTAAAAAGCCACCATGACATGTACCACTTCATCACAGGTGGCTTTAAAGGTGACACCAACACCCTTATTTGTCAAGATCCACCTGAAGAGGATTCCACCCCATCTTTCTACCAAAGCAGACCCAACTTTTTATGTCACAGACAGTGGCTTATATGTTTTAAAAGTTTGTGTGTCATTTGCTACAGAATTTGTGATCTATATTTGTGATCCATTCTCAAGAGTGCGTGATAACTAACTCATTAAACTATATTTTTTACCTTTAGTCCTGGATTTAGTTTTCTCAATTGATTCTCAGTCTTTGGGCTAAGCTCAAGTGTGGATTCACTTTTCTACTCATTTTAAATTCATATTCTTTCATCATTATATCCAAGTAATGCAGAATATATAGTTTGGTACTTCTGCCACTTTGTTACTATTTGTGGACATTGTTCTAATCACTACCTGACATATTATATACTTGCTTACATAAGTATTGCCTGTATCCTTATCACACCCACAGTAGAATATAAACTGCATGGAAGTAGGTTCTTCACTTTGCTCACTGTTATGTCTCTACTATCTCGGATAGTGTTCACATCACATTAATACTTGCAACATAAAATGACTATGAAAACATCCCATGTCATAATGTTACATAATAGAATTCTTCTCAAATGATGATCTTCAGGCTGTATGATCTTTGATATTTGGCATTAGTTTTTAAGAAGTCAAATGTATTTATAGAGAGATTCCATTATTTGGGAATTTTCTATAAGTCTACATGCATGACTGGCTAGCTCAATCCCAAACATTATTTCCTAAGGAAATATTCTGCAATACAAAACAGCATCAGGCACAAAAATACTAACCAAATTTATGACAGAAGAAAAACCGGAAATGGCAAAATATTCAATGATAGGAAAGGGGTTAAACATAAAAATCCACAAAATGTTTTTATCATACAGCCATGAAAATTATTCATGAAGTTTTCAATACTAAGAAAAATACTGATGAAAAACTAACTGAAAAGATTACAGGATCAAATTATATATATCTGTGAGTCCAACTTAAAAAACAAAATAGAAAAAGACTGGAAATAACATAGTGTATTTAAATATCAGTAATCTTTGCCTCAGAAATACGCAATTGACAGCTGTATTTTTACTGTATTTTACCGTATTTCCTAAGTTGGAAATAATCAATAAAGTTGGAAATAATCAATAAACATTATTTTACAACAAAATACAATTTTTTTTCATTATCATGACTATTATCACAGTAGTTTAACCTTTGTCATGCAGGGTATTATTTCTGTTTTGTTCTATTTTTCTTTCTTTACTCATACCAAGCTTTTTTGCAGAGTCCAGTTTTCTTTTATCCTTCACTTTCTTTTTAACAAAAAACAATTTTTTATGATCCGAAGGTGACGACAGTTTCCATTACTATTGCTAAAGTCTTAAAGATGCTGTTGATTTATTTTAGGGAAATAAGCACCTTATTTGGAACATAAAATAACAAACCACTGATAAGCAAAAGAAATCCCGTACCTTCACTGCTACATGAAGTTTTGCAGTTTTCTTGGATGGCCCTGAGGCTTCATATGTTGTGCCATCCACATCTACAGACATTGTGAAGACTGGAGCGTGGACAGGACCAGACTGAGACAAGAGCTTGTACTGAAGCCCAGGCCTGATCTGATTGAGCCTCATTAGTGCATTCATAAGGTCTATTGCTTTACTATCCAGGACTAGTAAAAAAAGAAGTGAGATCAGAAGTTAGGTAGAAAGCTATTTTACTTTAATCATGCATTTGTAGGTTGCTAGTGATCATTAAAAATTTACCAAGTATTAAAAAAATGAGAATTTCAAAATTTACATATAAACTTCCTATGTAGTTCTAAAATTACTCAATTATCATATTGACATAATTACAAAAATAATATGGATTACTGACTCTATCTGTACCTTAATTTCCACTTGTCAATATTAGTCTACCTTAGATAATGAAGCTTGGAAACAAAAGTTATTCAAGTATCGATTTCACAGTTAAGATTTATCCCTAAACTTCTAATTTAATTTAACCTAATTCTTCACTTCCTATTTTCTTATCTGAGGCTGTAAATATTCTCTAGTTCACAGCAAGAAGAATAAAGAATTTACACACTTTTTCTTAAGTTTCGTTTCATCTTCTTGTTGGGATCTTTATCATCCCCTAATCCATCTTCAAATGGCCGCTTTAGAGCTGAAGAACCAGCACCTAAAAAAATGAGAGCATCACTGTCGTCAAAAGAATGACTGCATTTACTCTAAAATGTCAGGTAGGAAAATCTCAGAAATCACATGCGAGGTCTTTCACTGATAATTAAACCACCCTACTTATAATCTAAAAAAGCAAAACACCGAAATGTAAATCTTCTTAAACAACATGGTATCACTTTTTATAACTATTTAATTTCCCATTCACTCATACACACACACAAATATTTGTATATATGTTATGATCTGAATGTTTCTGTCCTCCTCAAATTCCTATTTTGAAACTTAATCCCACAGAAAGCACGGCTGGGAAGAACATGTGAGATGACAGCACCTTTATAAAAGAAGTCTGGGTCTGTCTGTTACTCCATGTGAAGACACACAGCAGGTTCAGTCTGTAAAGAACAGACCCTAACCTCAACCCCAACCTTCACCAGACACCAAGACTGCTGGTACCCTGGTTTTAGAATTCCACCTTCCACAACTGGAGATAGTAAATTTATATTGTTTACAAACTACCCAGTCTAAGATATTCCATTATAGTAGCCCAGGCAGTGTAAGATAATTTATATTCATATCTGTTCGACACATGAACACAAGACATTTGAAGAGCTGGGCATAGTGGCACGTGCCTACAATTTCTTTGAAGGCTGAGGCAGAAAGATCGCAAGTTCAAGGCCAACCTGGACCACAGAATGAGTTTAAGACCACCCTCGCCAGTGGCTGACAGTGAGATGCACAGTGAGACCATCTCAAAACAAAGTAGGAAAGATAAAAAAGAATGAAAAAGAAAAGCTCTGCAAAGTTCTGGTAGGTTTTTTTAGTTAAAAAATTAACTCTGATAGAAATTATTTGCACTTATATCTTCTCAAATATTTTTCAAATTTATGCAATTTAAACGAATATTTATGGGGCTGGGGATTTAGCTCAGCGGCATAAGCGCCTGCATAGCAAGCAGGCAGTCATGAGTTCGATCCCTGGTACCGATAAAAAGGAAAAAGACAAAACAAAAAACAAAAATAAATAAATAAACGAGTATTTACATAACTACCATTTTAAAATCAATCTTATGTTTTCAGAAGCCCAATTATGAAACTATAAAATTTTAAAAATTCTTCTGCCTCTTCAAATCCTATTCAAGATTTTATTAATAGTTTCCCTTCAGCAGAAAGCCTTTCTCTCACATCAACTTTTGAACAGTGACTGTGGCATCAGAAATAGTTTGTTTTGGTTACATCTAAAATGCCCTCCGAAAGTCTCCTGGATTCAGAAGGTAACTGGATCGTGAGGGGTTGCTCAGTTCATCCCCTGATTAACCCACTGATGACTTCCCATGTTAGTGTGCTGTTAGGAGAGGGTGAGCCCCGGGGACAGGCCTTCTGAGGGCTGGAGCTTCTTGGCCACCCCAGCTTGAGTAATTTTCCACCGCCAGGTGTTTGTGCCTTGGAGCTACTTAACCCGAGACTGAAGCCGCTAAAAAGATGAGTCAGAACAAACCTCTGCTTGAGTTGGTTAGGTATTTTGTTCAGCAACAGGAAAGTGACTGACACAGACTTATATCATGGTCTCTTTCTTTTGGTACCAGGGATTGAACTCTGTGCTTGCCAGGCAGATACCTGTGTCACTGAGCTACATCCCCAGGCCTCAAGGCCTCTTTAGTAACTATCTATCTATCTATCTAGTCACTCTTCGGTGTCCTCAAACTGATCTTTGAAGGCCAAAGACATTTTCTCCTTGTCTTTTATCTTATAAAATACCTTCCCAGTGGACCTGGAAATAGTTTCATAATGGGTATGGAACTGAGGTAGCAGCTTATCAAGTTTTTTAAAAATCAGAGAAGCTTATCAAACATCCAAGTATGTTAAATAATTCCCTATCTTCGGATCAGGAAAAAGCTCAGTAGCACAGTATCTGCCTGGGAATCATGAGGTCCTGAGTTTAATTCCTTGCACAAAAAAAGAAGAAGGAGGAAGAGGAGGAGGAGGAGGAGGAGGAGGAAGAGGGGGAAGAAGAGGAGGAGAAGAAGAAGAGAGAAGGAAGAAAAAAGAAAGAAGAAAGAAGAAAAAGATTCCTATCTTCACCTTAAAAGCTGGTTGCTACATTTTGTCTAGGAAAGCTGTACTCAAGATATTAATTCCCTAAGACTTTCAGATAGTTCTAGTGAGATTTTGTGACATCACCACAATACAGCTTTCTGATCATTAAGATTATCACCCTTAGGGTAAACACTGACTTCAGCATTTGCTTGGGTCAATATTTACCACTTAGGTCAATCGCCCAATCAATTATGATGTTCTCTTCAAGAGAACGTGGTAGTATCTGCTTAGTATTATACTTCACTTGCATTACAAAAACTCTTGAGTTTGCCCTTCTCCAAGGATTTATTTAGTCCTTAAGAGATAAAGATTTAAAAAGAACAATGTTTGTTCAATTACTCTCCTACTCATTAAGTTATATTAAAAGTAGTTCCCTGGTTCACTGGAAATCACAAGCTGGTTGCACAGTTCTCTGAAACCTCCAGCTACATAAATATAGATACATGTTTTAAATTTCATTACCATCTTAGCCCCTGGAAAACGGCTTAAAAATCTGAGACTAGTAGAAGATAATGGGAAAAAAAAATGGGCTGCCTTTATACAAGCAAGGTAGTTTTAAACCTTTACAGTATCTAGTGATAAAAAGTGATCATTTCTGAGGTAAAAAAAAATTTTTAGTAATATTTACGCTGGGGCTGGGGATTTAGCTCAGCGGCATAAGCACCTGCCTTGCAAGCAGGCGGTCGTGAGTTCGATCCCCGGTACCGATAAAAATGAAAAAGACAAAAAATAATAATAATAATAATATTTATGCATTTACTATATGCTTGGCATTACTAATGCTGTACATACATGACCTTATTTAAGACTCACAAGCACCCTATGACTTTTATCATGCTCATAAAATTTCTCATGCATCCAGGACAATTGTACTGTAGTTTTCATTGTAAGTCTTTCATTTCCTTGATTTTCAGCATTTTATTTTTCTTGATGCTATTGTGAAAGTGGTTTTTTCCCCTAATTTTTCTCTTAGTGAGTTACTGGTGTACATGAATGTTATGGATTTTTGAGTGTTTACTTTGTGTCCTGCTGTGCTACTGAATTTGATAATTCTAGAAGTCTTTTGGTCGAGATTTTGGGGTCTTCAATGTAGATATAAAGCACGTCACAGGCAAACAGTGATAATTTGACTTGTTCATGTTCTATTCATATCCTTCTTCTTTCTCTTGTCGAATTGGTCTGCCTAATGTTTCAAGAGCTACACTGAACAGGAGTAGTGACAGTGGACATCCTCGGCTTATCTCGGATTTCAGCTTTCAGCTTGATGACCAATCAGAAGACTGAGTGTATAGAAGAACTGTTTCCAAGACTAGGACGGGACCACTATGGAAGAGATAGGCTGATTAGGAGACTGGGTGAAGTTTAGGTTGGTCTTAGGTTTGAGATGCAGCATTCAATCATGTGACTGTGCTGGCAGCATTCTGAGTTGAATGCCTAGAATCTCTGATGGAGGGAACACATTTCACCATACAGGAGACTAAATGAGTTAGTATAAATAAGGAGCAAAAGACTAAGACCTGGTCCTGGGACACTATCATACTCAGAAGTCAGGAAGGTAAAGAAGAATGAAGATAACTTGAGGAGATGGTAGTGGTCAAGAAAAAGTGCTAACCTGGAGGTAAAATGAAAAACAGTATTTCACGTCAGCAAAAGTGCCTGACAGATACCAAACATTGTGGTGGATAAAGGGCAAGAGCACCCATACTGTGGTGGTGGGAGATAAACTTGTATATTCAATCAATTTCTAGGTCATTTATGAACCTACAATATCTCCCAGACACATATCTCACAAACATGTATAAAAAGACTTGTAGAGGGCTGGATATTTAGTTCAGTGGCATAAGTGCCAGCCTGGCAAGCACAAGGTTGTGAGTTCAATTCCCAGTACCAAAAAAAAAAAAAAAAGACTTCTAGAAAGCCAATTAGTGGCACAAGTTTGTAAATTTCAGCACTTTGAAAGACTGAAACAGGAGGATTTAAGATTTACCCAGTCAAATTAGTAAGATATAGTCTCAACTTGGTGTGGGAGGAAAAGGCTGGTGTTATAGCTCTTTGTGAAAGCCCTAAATTCAATCCCTAGTGCTACCAAAAAATAAATTAACTAATTTAAATTAAAAAGAACGAAAATCATGACCAGGCATGGCAGCACACAATTGTAATCCCAGCACTTGGGAGGCTAAGGCAGGAGGACTGTCATGAGTTTGAGACCAGCCTAGGCTACATGAAGAGTTCAAGGCCAGCCTGGACTAATAACAAAAACCCTTCCTGCAGGGGAAAAAAAGAAGAAAAAGAAAAACAATAAAGTAATGCAACACCACCAACTAGTCCCAAACAATCCAGACAGGATGTGAGGGCCATCTGGCTGCGAAATCTGTCACCCCGTTGATTACTGCAGTTGATTTGGCTGATCTGGTTGGCCAAGAGGGTATCCTCATCCTCCCTCAATGTTCCATGTGTGTGTCCCTTCTAAAACTGTGTGCTCAACAGTCGAGGAGGATGACTGCCGTGGACAGAGGAGGACCATTTCCTCAGTCAAGGGTATAAAAAAGTACATGCACTCCCTAGCTAAAACCTCCAAACAACTCTCAAAGTCCAAAAAACCTGGAGAGAAACAAGTCAATCACAAAAAAATTAAACTCAATACAGTTCTATTTCTAGAAAGTTCTGTGAAAAACCAAACTAAATTATTTTTAAAAGCTTACACAGATATAAAAGCCATAAAATAAATCTAGGACATGACTGTCCAAAGATCAGGAATAATAGTTCATAGGGCAAGAAGATAATGGAGCAAGATAAACGGGCGGCTCCTGAAGAGCTGACATTTTTCTATCTCTTAGCCATGGTGATGTTTATATGCATTTTTAAAAATACTTTTAAACTATGTATGTGTATTACCTCATAATCAAATAAGTATGGAAGAAAAAATATTCATCTGTGGAAAACCTGTCAATATGCTGCTAAGACGAAGACTAGAAACAAACCAGAGTGTGACAGCAGAAAGATCACAAGCAGATTTCAGAACAAGACCAAGGAACAAAGCCTGATTAGAACAGATTCAAAGAGAACAGACAGTGTGAAAATAAGAAAAGAAAAGGAGGAAATAGGCCACACTTTCTAAAAGTAATACACTAAAGGGAGCCTGAGGAGAGTTTGTGGAGCTACAGAATTAAGAGTTCCCTCTGGTTTTGTTTTTCAGACGGAACATGCTACAGTGAGTTTTCCTGCTAATGAAAACAAATCAGTGGAGGGGGAGAAACTGACACTGGTGAAGAGACACAACTGCTAGAATAATGTCCATGAAAGAAGGGAGGAGACAAAGCAGACTAGTTCTTTTAAAAAGCTGGTCATTAGAGGCAGACAGTTAATCCCCAGGTGAGGGAAGGAAAGCAAAGAATATGAGCTAATGAAACCAAGGCTGGCTGACAAGAATAGTGAGACCATATAAAGTTATCTAAAATTTCTATTACTCCAAGAAAACAGAAGCAAATAAGGCCAACATATGAGAAATGAGGTAGAAGGAGACGTCATCTAGGAAAGCTGAAAAATTCTCAAACATATAGGAGAGCTATCAGAAAATACAAACAGTTCCTGGGAGGCTAGTGACAAAAGATACAAAGGGACTGCTTTTCCCAAACATGTTCAGCAACCTCATGGAAGTAGAGATGAATTTCAACCATTAAAATATTGTCAGAAACAGAAGATCAAGAAAGCACAAGTATATGCAGGGAGTGAGTGCAATGATGGGTCAGAAAACACAAGCAAGATAAAGACAGAAGTAAGACCAGGAGGAGAATGAGGGACGCAAGGGTAAAGTCAATGCAAAGTTCAAGGGATGAGTACGAAATGGAGCAGTAATGAAGAGCAAGCCAGAGAGTAAGACTCTTGAACTAGCACAAGGTCAGCCTGTGCGTGGTGGCAAACCTACGCATACCTGCTGCAGTAGGCTATTTGTTGTCTCTGAAAGCTCTGAAAGATTCACCATCACTGGCTTGGTGATACAGCTAGTAACTGACAGAGCCAAACAGGAAAAGTAGTACTCTGGTTCTATTTTCTGCTCTACTTATAAGGAGACAGACAAGGGGTTCCCAAGTACTTGAGAAAGAAAGTTTAAAATTGGAGGGGGCGGGCCGCACGGTGGCGCACATCTGAATCTCAGCACTTGGGAAACTGAGGCAAGAAGAGCACTAGGAGTTCAAGGCCAGCTTGAAGTACACAGCAAGAGACAGAGACAGACAGGAACAGAAACAGAAACAGACAGAGACACAGAGAGAGCCAACTGAATAAAAGAAAAAAAGCAAAACACAAGCGTTACTAGTGTTTGTAATAGAGAAAAGTGCTAAATTCAATCACACTGAATTTAGTGATTGAAACAAAAATTTTGTTACTAAGAATTTATATACATGCACATTGTTTTTTTGGGAAATTTTTATTCAGTCATTCAATTCACAATGCTCAATGTCATGAGGGCATGTGTATCCCTTTCATTAATTTCACTGCCAATGCCAACCATAGTGGCTCATCCCTATCATCCCAGCACTTAGGAGGCTGAGCAGGGGGATCCTTCCCAAATTCAAGACGAGCCTGAACTACTTAACAAAACCCTAAAAAACAACATTTCATTGCCAATGAGTGAAGATACACTAAAAGAAAATGGCTTTCTTCCCACACATTTTACTGAGTATTCATTTATAACAATAATATGGAAGAATCAAGCAAAGAGTTTATAGTATAGATAATGATTTAGTTCAGAACTACCTTATACTCCTAAAAAAAATTGTGCTGATTAGTAATACCTGCCAATATTTAGCATAAAAGAAATTAAAACAAAACTTGTTAAACACTAAAATATACAAAGAGACATTCCATTAGCTATTAGACCACTGATGTCATCAAATACCCTATGTGTTATGGCTTATGTCTAGATGTCTCCCCAAAGTCTCACGAGTCACAGGTGGGGTTTTTTGGAGATGGCTGAATCGAGGGTTTGTGATGCTGGGATTAAGGGTACGTGGTTAATAAATTAGTCCACTGATTGGTTTGGCATAGTTCTGGGTATGGATAATGGGACGGCCCATGCTCTGTGTGGGTGCTACCCACCTTAAGAGTATCCTGGATGGAACATAAGGGACACAAAGAGAGCTGCTGCTATCACTTGCTGCTGCTGCTGCTGCTGCTTCTGTTGTGGCTACAGGTGCTGCTTGTTGTTTTGCTGCCTTCTTCCTAGCCTGCTCTGCCATGAACTTTTTCCTCCCTGTGATGCCTGTCTGCCACAGCTGGAGCCATCCAACTGTGGACTGAAACCTCTACAAACTGTGAGGCAAATAAATCTTTTTCCTCCTTTCAATCTGACAGTGTTGGTTATTTTGAGTGTTGGGTATTTTGTCATAGCAAAGAGAAAGTAACTAACATTCTATGTTAGCCTCTTCTAAGCTGGATAATCATAAAGGAGTAGAAAAAACTGTTATGAAACAGTTTTTAATCTTATGGACTCCCTAAGTGCACCATGACAATGAATGGAATCCTGTTGACTACATAAACTGGGCAATGCCATTATGTTTGTCATACAGGAATTACTAGAAAAAGATCAATTGTGGAAGGAGATAGCACCCTAAGTGAGGAGCATCTGATATTAAGCACCCCATCTCCTAGAAACATGGGAAAAAGTAGAAAAAATGTTAAGTATTTGCTGTATTACAGTAAGGAGAGTAAGAAGATTTACATTTGAGGGTGTGCTCTATTCCAGACAATGAAACAAATTTTTAAACCTGACAAGACAGGATAGAGTAAGAAAGATACTAACAGCCCTACCAAGAAAAAGGAACTAATTGCTCAAGGCCTCAAAATCTGTTAGGTAGTAAAGCTATGCTTGAAATCCAGGTAATACTGACCCTCTTCTGCTGAAACACTAATCTGAGTTCAGACAAGTCCACACAAATGGAAGGCAGTTCACAATCTTCCAACATTATTATTCTCCTTCCACTCCCCTATAATTTTGTTCTCTCTCCTCTTATTTAACACTTCCAAACATGAGAAAGGTCATCAAACTAATCAGAAACAAGGTGCCCTCCCCCCAGATTATGATTTATCTCCTTAGGCTAGGGGTTCTCGAAGTATAGTCCTTAAACCTATATAGGGGCTACAAAATCTGGCCAACACAGACAAATGAGTCAGTCACTAAGAACAAATTTTAGCCAGTAGATGTCACCAATAGAAACAGAGCCAAGAAAAGCAGTAACTTTTCTCATAGATGACTTGAATAAACAATGAATAATTTGGGCCAGGGATTTAGCTTAGCAGTATAAGCACCTGCCTGGCAAGTGGAGAGTCACGAGTTTGATCCCCAGTACCCTCCTCCCACAAAAGAATAAATTCCTGAAGCTCTAACAAGACTATCACTGCCAACACTCAACCTTAATAAAAAATTTTTAAGAAACTTTCATGCTCACCTTCTTTATCAGTAATTGACCAGGAATACTTCTGAAAGGGCTTACTAGATGGAAGAGGGTCCATCTCCAACACTTTATAAATCTGGCCAAAGGCTGATAGTCTGAGTGCATGCTAAGGAATAAAACATTATATTCGATCAAATAGCCATGCATAAATCACTTCTATCTATCTAAAATGACATTCATTAAATGCACCTATTATGATAGTAAGTTTCTAACAGCATGCAAAAAAAAGGTGTTAAAATAGAATAGTTCATGAAATAAGGCCCAGTCTGCTACCTGTGCGCTGTGGGTGATGTCTTCCTTTTGCTGGACAGTCATATAGTTTAGAGCATCTGTTGGGTCTCGCTCACAAGGATCATGGAGACCTGGACCCCCTTTGGCAAAGGCAAAGGAAAAACACAAATATCATTTATAACTGAGTTTACAATTCAATAAACTAACAGAAAGAGAAAAAAGAAAAAAACTGAAGAACTAAGTCTGCTCAATTAAGTATTTAGGGACACTTTTATGGTGAATATACTAGTACTTAACTGCCCTTACTTTATACTAAAAGTCACTTGTGCAGCTAATACCAAAACTGAGTCTTACTCTGAGAATGTAGAAACAGCAAATAAGTCATTCCAAATTTTTAAAGAGATTATAAATGAAAAATAACACCAAATTTAACTTATTCCAAATTTAACAAACTATAACAATGAATTTCATACATTTTAAATAGACATCTGCATTTTCAAAATCAGACTTCTACAGAAACGTAATTCATAGCAAAGTATCTTATTAGTAACCCTTTATGTTAGTACATATAAAACACAAATTATTGAAAAAGTTTTAATAGCACTTTTCCAATACATAAACATCCTAGTTTCTAAAATTCCAAGCAAAATAACTCTTAAACATTATTTTCCTGTGCAGGGGACAATTTAGTATATATTTAGAAAAATTAAACTAAAATAAGACTTTTCTGATTCTTCTGCCTCCAGAGTTTGAAACCCTTACCAGGAAGTAGTATTCCAGATGCCAAACACTCCATTACTCGTCTCAAGGCCTCCCCAGCGCCCAAAGGTCTATTACAAGTACCTATAGACTTTTCACATATAAGCTCTAGTGGCTAGAAGATATTAAATTACAAATTAGTACATGCACCAAGTGTTAAAAAGGAATCCAGTTAAATGTGAGCTCACATTTCTATCTACAAGGGAAGCCAAAAATGAGTCAATTTAACAATTAGGGTCCACTTAACTCCTTCCCATGATTATCAGGGAGTTTTCTGCCCAACCCCAACCAGTTTTTAAAATCATGCATTTCTCACAAAAGATTTTGCTTTGTTTTGCTGCGAGACAGGCTGTCACTATGCACTTCAGGCTGGCCTGAACTCACTATATAGCCCAGGTAGCCTCAAACTCGTATGGATCCTCCTCAGATTCCTAAGTACTAGGATTACAGGTGTGTGCCGCCACACCTGGCTAAACCAAGTATTTCTGAAATATTCTCAGAAGACGTTTTTTAACACAAACTTTTTAGTTTTTATTTTTCCTGAATCACCCTAAGAAACTACAGTGATCTAATTCATTTAACAAAATTTAACAAGCCTTCATACCAGTTAGTAATAGCTAATAACTAGCAAATATATGAACCCAGCCCACACATATCTCACTTAACATATTAAAGAAACATTCAAATCATAATTATCTCAATACAAGAATAAGACTTCATTTCAGATAGTTTGCCCCAAGTACTGCAATTAGAATAAACACAGGACCAAGTCTCTATATTTAACAAACTGAAAACTTGATACTATGTAGCAATTGTTAGTTTCTAATTTATAAATTATTCTTCATGGTTTTACTTGAATTGTGTTACACTGTTCTTATGGCATTATCTTGATTGAGTGAGGCATAGTAATTTTTAAAGTAAGTCAATGCTACTATATACATCATAAATTAGATCCATAAGAGGTTTTAAGTGTATTGTGTACTTGACTTGAATTACCAACAAGAACTTATTTAAAAATGTCTCCTCTTGAAAAGCTACAGAAGGTATAAGATCCTTATACAAGTCATACAAGTAATTTCCACTGTGACAAAAAAGGCACTTTAAGAAAAATGGGCCAGACAAAAAAGCTTTTATAGGCAGCATGGACAAATGAGTAAGCAATCAAACATCAGTGTAAGGCTGAGGGCAAGAAAACATTTACTTTGTGTGTTGTGTTGTACTGTGCTGTGTTGTGTTGTACTTTGTTGGTTTTTCTGAGACTAGATCCCACTATATAGTTCAGGCTGTAGCCCAGGATGGCCTACAACTCAACAGCAACCCTCTTACCTCAGCTTCCCAAGTGCTGCGATTACAAGCATGGGTTATCACACCCAACTATTTTGTTTTGTTTGTTGAAACAGGGTCTCAAGATGTAGCATACAAATCAGGCTCTAACTGAAGATCTACTGTCTCAGCATCTTAGTGCTAGACTACAGGTGTGTGCCAACACACCAAACTAGACAATTACTACTAAATGATACAAAACCTTTTTATCAGAAAAAAAAATCAGAATCTATAACATGAATAGGATGAGACAGAAGAGATGCTATAAAAAAAGAAATACATATAAAAATGCTGTATTTTTTTCCAGGACAAAAACAACTACACACTCAGCTAGCTCAGAGGGTAATTACTTTATAGCACCAAGTCACTACTACAGCATTTCATCTGTTGTAGCTTCAAAACTTCAAGCTTAGTTTTAACCATATTTAAGTACTTACCCATCCTTTTAATGGTGCCCATGTAGGGACTCTGTTGCATAAATCACGTAGAATCCGAAGAACAATTACACATGATTTTAATCCATTTGCCCTTGCCTAAAACAAACAAAATGATTCCAACATCCCCGTTGAAATTCATTCTTCATTTTAAGCACACTGATCATGGATCAGTTCTCTAAAATAAATACTAATTAGCAAGTCATTTATCAGTTTGAGACATACCAAACAACCAAGTTATTAAAAGTAGCAAACTGTGGTTCCAAAAAGCAGATGTCAATTAATGTAAAAGGAGCATAATTAATTAAAATTCCTTTCATAGCATCACAGCAACTCCATTCCGCCTACTGCTTTCTTACTTAGCATTTTTTTTGCCTTTGTCCATACTTTATAAGCCATCATTTAAAATCTTTACTATTACACTAAAAAGAATTATATGACAACAGAACATCATTAACTATGTAACAGAAGCTATTCTAGGTACTTCACCCCAATACCCTCATGCTAGTACCCCCAATTTTACATTCTGTACAGAAACTAGTAAATGTCAGGTGTTCCAAATGAAGGCTACCCAAGAACAGAAGAACAGTAAGACAGTAACAAAGAGCCAACCTGAAACCATTTGGCATGTCGGAGAGACGCCAAGGCGTTCAGGCATTTCTGCCTGTCCAGTAAGTCCGGAGGATCTTTCATCGCAACATTTTCTGATAGTAAAATGGGATAAAGAGAGACAGACACAGTTTGACCAAAGGGTTCCTGTCAATTACCAAACCGCAAAAAATAAAAAGAATGGCAGTATTTGAGTAAAGTAGTAAGACTCCCAGAAAATTTCATAATCTGACTCTGCAGATTCTTTTTTAAATTATGTACACAATTATTTAAATAAAAAATCCTGAGAGTGGGATCCGTGCAGAAGTACAATGGAATACAAAGGGATTCGTTAAGTAAACAACTTAGTAACTATGGCTCCCTGCAATCTGGGGTCTTACTAAGAAGCATGTATAAAAACAGGGCACAAAATCAGTACACAGCACATTTCCCTTCTGCAGGGTACAAAGAAGGGAAATCTGGGAACAATCACAACTTTTTTTAATACAAGAAATTTTGGTCACAGATCAGTTTTATAGAAAACCTTAAAAAAAAAATCCCAAAGTGTTACACAGAAATACTCTCATTATGTCTTTTCTGAATCAAACTACTGAAACTGTAAACATAATAAAAAATTAAAATACATTTCAAGTTTTACATATGTTTTTTAAAATGTAGTTCAAACACTGTATCTAACTAATTACAGTTGTCTAACTTGCCTCAACATTTTAAAGTTGGTTTAAATAACCCACAGCTGCAAAAGTAAAAAAATCTAAACAGAAGGGGGGTTAATGAAAATTACCTGTACTTGATACCACATGACCTAAATCCTAGTTTATATAGTCAAAATTATTCCCCCTAAGCTACTAAAAAAAGGTTGGATTTTTAAAAAATTTTGACAGTTTGATACATCATTTAAAATACAACTATTTCTTGGGGAGTGATACTTCATCCAATCCAATTAAGTCAGATTTACTATTCCATCATTAAAATGCTCTTAAAATGTAAAAGAATCCACCAACAGTTTTTCCCAGCATTCTCAAAACAGTAGCAGGGCTCAACAGTACACTTCTGTGGGCCAACTGACACAATCTAAATACTTCTAAAGGCAGCACAGGTCATTTTCAGGGACTCTTGCTGCAAATTCAACCATGTAATTCACACTTAACATGTCATTAGCTAAAACTTAAAAGTAAAATGTCAAATAGAAAACCGAAGTATTTTAAACAAAAGAATCGTGAGTTCTCTCTACTGATTTCAATATTCTAAAGGATGAAGTGTTACGCACTATTTTCTGACCAGGCGAGTTCTACAGCAGATATCTGTACTGTTTACCCTTCCAAACGTGTCACAACACAGGTTCTCATTTCATTACCTGCCTTTTACTCATAAAATGGGAAGCCTCAAAAAGAATCATTAATGCATCTTTACTTATAAACATACAAATACACTATAGGTGCTCCTAGATGAGCTACCTGCTGGAATGACTCAACTTTGTCTTTGTCTTTTTGTTTCTGAGGCAGGATCTCACTATGTAGTTCAGGTATGCAAGCCAGGCTGGCCTCAAACTCTCAGCAATCCTGCGTCAAACTTCCAAATGCTAGGATTACAGATATCACCACACTTAACAATTTTGTCTCTTCAGTGATACAAAATATACCACTAACTCATTTCGTTATTTTTGTGTCAAAATGTTTAACTGTGGTCATACAAACATCTGTGTAAAACCCATACAGCAAATCAAATAACTACTGTAAATTAATGACTAGAAGCTCTCAAAAAGTCTTCAGAGTTGGACATGATGAAGGCTGATTGGCTGCTAAATAATATAATCCTAATGTGGAATGGAAATCACTAAACTGCTTGTAGGAAAACATTGCTACTTTTGGAAACAGAACCTCAAATTTAATATTTCTAGACATAAATATACGTTTCAGTTTTATAGGGAAGAAAGCTTGTCTGATAAAAATATATCTTGGAGTTCTTAATTAGAAAAAATAGAACTGTGAGCTTTTTCCTACAGTGATCAGTGACAGATAAAGCATGGAAGGTTAGGGAGAAGTGTTGATAAAAATGCCAAAAACAAAGAAAAACAGCTTTTAAAAATTTATTACTGGCTGGGTGTGGTGGCGGATGCCTGTAATTCAAGCACTTGGAAGGTTAAGGCAAAAGGACTGCTATGAGGGTGAGGCCAGCCTGGGCTATAAAGGGAGTTCAAGGGCAACCTTAACTGCATAATGAAGCCCTGTCTCAAAAAAACCAGAAAAGAAAAAATTTACTATTCAGGCTAGATGGGATAAAGGCATGCCTGTGACCCCAGCACTCAGGAGACTGACGCAGGAGGATGGACCACTGTGAATTGCTGGCAACGCTGGGATACATAGTGAGTTCAATGCCAGCCTGAACTACATAATGAAATCTTATCTTTTTTTTTTTGGTACCGGAGATTGAATTCAGGATCTCACGTTTGCCAAGCAGGTGCTACACTGCTGAGCTAAACCCCTGGCAAAACCCTGAATCTTTAGGTAAAAATATTCATTATTCAGTAACCTGGCATCAGAGTATGAAGACACTTCCAACATTCTGAACCACAAAGCAGTGGAAAGAAGTCCATCACACCTAGCCATATTTATAAATATGGCTTAGACAATCATATCAACACTGTACAAACTGTTGGTCAGTTTCTCTCAGTGCCTACACACACACTAACTACCTTGCTTTACTAAAAAAAGCTCTGGCCTGCAGACAAGGCAGGAAAAAAACCAAACAGGACTATACTAAATAGGAGTTATGTGCCTAGAATCTGAACTTTCAAAAGCAAAGTAACTGAGCTGTGGCATCGTGACTGGCTTCTTCTCAATCTGAATGAACCTGATCTCCTGAGCTCATGCTGACAGAATTTTCCACTTAGTCTGGCAGCCCATTCTCTCTCTATTTCTTTAACATTTCAGGAAAGAAGACATTATGCCCCAAGTCACTATCCTTGTAAAATGTCAGGACATAGTAATGTAAACAGGTAAATGCAGCAATAAAGTAGAACCAGAAAGAGAGTATTCTCGTAATTTACGCTAGTAGTGTAACTCAATGTGACTTTCTTCAGTGACAGTGAGGCATTGGAAAGATAACAGCCAAAAGATAAACAATACCAAAGATATTTGGAGTGTACTCTAGCAATTTAAAATGTCAAAGGTGATTTAAAATAAGTAGTTAGATTCACTTTTTTTTTTTTTTTTTTTTTTTTTTTACGGTACTGGAAATCGAACTCATGACCTCGTGCTTGCCAGGAAGGCACTTATGTCACTGAGCTAAATCCCCAGCCCCATTAGATTCACTTCTGCACAAGTAAGACTAAAGAACAAAAATTTGATGCTTCTAATTTGCCTGAGTTCCTTGGATCTGCTGGCTCTCAACCATGCTTTTCCATTGTTTAGATATTGTTTTGTTTTTTGATTTTTGTTGAGACAAGGTCTCACTTTGCAGCTCAGGCTGGTCTTAAAATATGCAGCCCAGTTGGCCTCAAACTTGGAGCAAACCTCCTGTCTCAGCTTCCCAAATGCTGGGATTACAGTTGTGAGCCACCGAGCCCAGCTCTCCACTGTTTAGATTTTACCAAAGTATGTTGCAAATTTAAAAAAGAGAGAAATGCATGAGGTTATATTATTGTTTGGGGGCAACTCAAAGGAACTGAAGACACAATAGGAAAATGTTTCCAACAAAAAAGTAACATTTGGTATTTTTAAAACACTGAGAAAGAAGATTGAGTAGAAATTAAAAAGTGACTTCAGGGCCAGAGATATAGCTTAGTAGCATAAGCGCCTGCATGGCAAGCACAAGGTCCTGAGTTTGATACTCCGTGACCAAAAAGCAAAAAAAAAGGAGATCCATTTTTCAGTCCTAGAACTGCCTAGAACAAATCTTGCAGTACTTTCACCTCATGCATCTGCAAACAACTGCATTGCAGGATAAAGAGTACCTGCTCTGAGCAAACTAAATTGTGTAGCCAATATCTCAAATGCTCAGTGATGCTAATTTCCCAGGCCGCCAGGCACACACAAAACCGGTAACAAAGAACAAGAAGCTGTCTATGACAAAGCCCAGGTTAAACAAAATGAGTAAATTACAAAAGATCAAGTGAGTCAACAGGGCTAGAATATTAAGGACAATGGCAAAGCAAATCTTTCTGCCATTCAAAATCACAGGAAGTAACATGTACAACATTTAGTCTCAAACTGATTTCTATGTTACCTGATCTAAGATATCAGCTCATAGAGGTCTTTGGCTTCTTAGTAACTCAAATATCTTACGCAGACACTACAACTCTCCTACTTTATTACAAGTCCCATTTTACAATAAATAATGTTCCAGGAAGTGTACAATGCACTAAGAATCCATTTTCCGCTTCTCTAAAAAGAAGTTAAGGTTTCTAACGAAATAAACTAAGCTCACAGGTATCACTAAAGTTATAGCAAAAGCTCATGTAAGTACACAAAACAATTGGGAAAAGGAAGCCTGGTATTTCCTTAATAAATTCAAAGAAGTAATGGAAAGGGTGCCAACAGGTTTAAGTGAACACACAAAGATCCTAAGCTTTGGCAATTTTAGTCTATTCCTCATCTCCTTATATTCAATTGTTAATACCTAAAATGGTTGGTTTTATATTATTGGGTCAAACAAAATACAGCTTATCAGAATTAATATTTATCTTGACACATCAGAAATCAAAGTTTTGCTATTAAAAACAATTAAGCCTTTTAAGACTGATTCTTCAAAGGTATCGTAGATGCTATAAACAGTGAAGAAGCTAGGCATAAAGTGAACTATAGGCTGGGTGCACGTTGATTAAAATTAGACCTGTAAATGTATCTATTGAGTATAGTACAACTGATTTAACCGCCCCCACAATGTTGTTTAAATGATGTCTATAACTTTTAGTTTAAGAATCCTATGAAAAATGTCCACCAAAAATTTAAAACTTTAACTTTCATTATATGTGCCTTTTCTGTCCTTATCACCAACTAAAACTATTAAAATGACCAATATTTCTGAGCAAAATGATGGTATTTCAGGTAGCAGAGTCAGCAATAGACTTGTGGAATTTTAAGAGATGAAAAATAGCCACAGAGAATCCCCACTGGCCCAGATAGGCCACACTGCCTCTAAACTGTGAGGGAAAGGTGGCCAGTCAGTCAAAAGTCTGACTTAAGAAAGTATCACATGGTAAGGTTTACTGAGACATGACTGAGAAGCAGAAATATACAAAGACAAGATCAAAGAAAGAAGCACACCACACCTCTACCAGTATTTCTCAAAGCTATCTGTAACACATTTTTCACCCTACCTTTGTGCGAGTGACTACCATGTTACTACCATGTAACGATTACTACCATGTTACTACCATGGTAGTACACGAGTGACTACATGAGTGACTACCATGTTACTACCATGTAATCGTTACTACCATGTAACGATTATTTAACTTCAAAAAAAATTAGTTTAAAATATAACTTTCACATATATGGTATTCAAAATATTAACAAAGTCACAACTCCCAAAAAATTTACTAAAGAATTCACAGAAAAAAAATTAAACCCCCAATTTATATTCCTTACAGCATAAAAAAACTTCACGCGGGCAGCGAATACATAAATTTTACAAAGTAATATAGGTAAGAGTGATCTAAAGATAACTATTTTAACATGATTAATCCTTATATCTAATCACTAAGCCAAAATACTTAGAATACATTGACTGATGCAGATACAAAAGCAATACCAGACAGTAAAACAAAACATCAACTTGGTATAAAATTTAAAGTAGACTTAAGACCCACATGATACGCACAGGTTTTTAAATTAAAATTTTATACTTTGAAATCATGTACTTTTAAAAAATATACTAATAGTACATTTGATAAAGTAATTATGTAAAACTAAGCTGTGGGTGGCATAAAACAAACCAAGATTGTGACTTTGTAAATCCATAAAACACAGTTATCATGGCACTTGATATGTCTTATATGCAGAAAATAAACCAAACTTATATACATATATATATATATATGTATCTATATATGTGTACCTCCATCCTTCTTCTCCAATTCGTCCCTAATTAGAGGGGAAGTAAGTATCACCTTCAAAGTTAGCGTGGGCTCTTTTGTATTCCGAATTATAATAGATGCCTCATCTACACATTGTTCCACATGGTATTTCTCTTCTGTAAGTTTCTGAAAGTCACCAAAATTTCAAAAATACGCAATTAGATTGAAATACCTCACAAAGTGAATGCATTCATTAACTTTTTGATTATTGTTAACTACTGGAATTACTGTGCCAAAAGAAGAAACAAAATTTGTAACTAGTTCTTTAGAGATAACATCTCTCTCAATTTATAACCAAATCTCTTTCTATTCCTCAAAAAAAAAAAAAAAAAATCACAGTGTCAATCATTCACACAATTACAGATATTTAAAACCATTCTAATGGGCTGAAGATATAACTCAGTGGCACAGTGCCTGCCTGGCAAATGCGATGCCCTGAGTACGATGCCCAGTACCACCCACCCAAAAAAATAAAATAAAACCATTCTAGTATTTTAAAATAAAATGTTAGGGGCTAGGGATTTAGCTCAGTGGCATAAGCGCCTGCCTTACAAGCAGGCAGTCATGAGTTCGATTCCCGGTACTGATAAAAAAGAAAAAGACCAAAAAAATAAAAAATATAAAATAAAATGTTAACACCCTCAATATATCTGTGACAGGGTAAATTATTGTTCGTGAAACTGTTTCAGAAAGCTACTGTAAAGTAATAAATAATCAGGAGGTCTTAAACAGGACTTCTTACTTACCAAAGACTCATGACTATAAGATTATATAGATTTCTCTTTTTTAAAATTTTATTTGATTATACAGATTTCAAAAGCAAGCTGAGCAAAAATGAAACAGGATATCTGCACACTTACCAGCAAACGAAATGACAAGTCTTGTGACAGCCAAAAAAAAACTTACTTTGCTTCTTTTAACATACCATTAACATAGACTAGAGTCTTCCACAAATTAATCACTCCATCAGAATCATGTTATATTTAATATTTTATCATGCAATATATAATGTTATAGTAAGTATACACAGGGCATTTCTTGATATCAGAATTTAGTATTATCTGACATAAAAGAACTAGGTTAAATATAAACTACATTTTTACTCAACAATGTATTAAAAGAACCCAAAACATTAAAAAAAAAAGCAGCATTTTTGGGGGGTCCTTTTTGAGACAAAGTTTTGCTATGCAGTTCATGTTGGCCTTCAACTCATTTTATAGACTGGGCTGTCTCTGAACTCACAGGATCCTTCTGCTTCAGCCTCCCAAGTGCTGGGATAACAAGTACAAACATTTAACATTAAACATTTCATAAAAAGTGGGCAGTCGAATAGAAGAAGCCAAAGAAGTAAAAGTCACCCAGTGAATGGAAGAACCAGAACTAAATTAATGCAGCAGCAGAAAATCATCCACATTCATTTTACAAATCAAAGATCATTAAAGATGTCTACTGGAGAGTAATTCAAACTAAATATTTCAGTTATGCATGTATATCACAGTAAGCTACAACTAAGGTAATGAATACAGTGTAATTTTAAAATTGATCTTTAAATGATTTCTGGTTGAGGTCATCTTCTGCATCGTTTGCTTCAAACAAATTCAATATCCTAGATATGCTTAGGTTTCATTGAAGACACTTAGATAACTGGAAGTTTTGCTATGAAAAATGTTCAGGAAAAAGATTTTTAATCCATAATAAAATCATATGGGAGATTGGTGCTCTTCAGAAATAATTAAGAGAAGAGTAGAAGAGTATTATGACTTGTCTCCAGATGTTCTCCCAAAGAGTCATGTGGTCACAGGTGGAGCTTCTGAAAGGTGATTGGATCTAGACTGTGTGATGCTAGAATTAATGCTGAGACTCATTCTAGGTGCAATGTTAGGGATAAGGGTTCCTTACCCTGGGTGCTTGCTACCCATCCTAAGGTGGACACCCTGATGGAATATGGGGGACAGAAAGAGGGCTGCTGTTATCATAGTTGGTCATTTGTTTTTTACTCAGTATTTTGTAGCTTTGCTGTGCATACTGCCTTCTGCCCACCATGAACTGTTTTCACTCTGTGATACTTATCTGGATGATACTCTGCCATGGAACCAGCCAACTGTGGACTGAAACCTATACAAACTGTGAGCTGAAATCTTTCCAATTTTACTTTTTGGGGTTTGTTTTGTTTTGTTTTGGAGTTTATTTATTTACTTATGAGGGGGGAACAGAACTCAGGACTTCAGGCTTCCCGGGCAGGTTCTGTACCACTGAGCTAAATCCCCAGGTCCACCTTTCCAACTTTTAACTCTGGGAGTTCAGTATTTTATCTCAGCAATGAGAAAAGTAATTAAGACAAGAGAAGCATGTTGAAGTCACATAAAAATGATTTCCTAAAATGTTAGTAATATAATGTGTGCTAGTGTGTACAGGTGAAGGCATATGTATGATGTGCATATATGTATATAACTGAATCTAAGATAGATGGATGATTAACATCCCCATTTTTCCGGGAAATGTCAGTGGTTCTTCGATTCATGATGCTTTAGAAGCATTTGACAAAATTTTATTTTTGTTTGCAAACTCTGTGTCAGATGACAGACATAACCACTGCCATCTTTTTTGCACAAACACGAACATGGCCATCTTTTCCAGAACCATGGAACAAATTAAGTTCACGAACTTAGGTCCCACTGCCTCTTGAGCAAAAATGTACTTATGTACTACAGAAGAACTCTACTGGCTCTCTAATCTAAAAACCTCCTCTTCCCTGTAATTTGAAATGGTGCGCACAATCTATTTTCTCTTCTGAGTTCCTCACCTGAACACTTAATAGGCAACAAGAATATTTTAAAAATTATGGTGTCCAGAAAGAAAGAAACTAAGCCCCTTGGTTGTGCGCCAGCCATCACGTGGGGGCGCAGCCTAGGGAGACAAGAATAGCCCCCTCACCTCACTTCCAACGCCCCCACGAGTAACCAGCTGATTTGGAGGAACTGTATTGTTTGATTGACTTTGCAAGCCTAAAGTCACACAGCTATTTAGAGGACAACAATATGTAATATAGTAACTGGTAGATTTCCTACTGTCTTATCACTGTTTCCATTTGTTTGGTTGCTCTGTTTTATTCCCTTTAAAATTAAATTAAAATAAATTTTAAAAAGCAAACTACTGTGTCCACAGAAAAATAATGTAGAGTTCACACAGTTATGATCTACACAAAGAAAGCTCTACAAGTATAAACCAAAGCCTGGCCCAATGTATTGAATCTTCAATACTGGAGAGATGTGATATACATTCTGAATTAATAACTCTCATTTATTGTAGCAGTGGTTCTCAACCCTTTTTCTCATCCAGATACAACTGAGGATGAGAACTATGATCTCTTCTAAGAAAAGACTCAGTAAAGGGAACACAAAAGGGTAAGCCAATTGAAAAACCTCTAACTGGGGCTGAGGATCTTCTAGCTCAGCAGCAATAAGGGCCTGCCTTGCAAGCGTGAGGTCGTGAGTTCAATCCCTGGTACCAAAAAAAAAAAAAAAAAGCCTCTAATCTATTGACCTTTGGATTATTACTTTGTTATAAACATTATCAATAATGTTCACTAAAATAAACACAGATATACAGATTAAATTTTTAAAAAACAATAGAAATTTTACTAATACTACACAAAAAAGCATTTAGTCAAAAATCACTCTTGTTGAGCCTCTCATTTTACAAAGCTTTAGTGCCTTCCACATCACTCCTCAAGAGGAATCACAGAGGATAAATGAAGAAGGAAGGGAAGAAGGGAAGGAGGAAGAGCAAGGGAAAAGAAATACTATGAAAGACTATTTCTTCATCAAAATTGAATGTGGAAAAGTTAAATATTTCTTGCCACGTGTAGTAAAATATTTTAAAATTTAACAGAATACTAAATGTCTTGAAAATGAATGTAGGAGAATGTCAACCAAGTAACACAAATTTGAGTGTTAAGAACTGCAAGTAAACTGGATGTGGTATAATTCTAACAGCTGAGGATGACACAAGAGGACTGCAAGTTTAATACAAGCTTTAGGAATTTAGCAAGAATCTGTCTCAAATTTTTAACAGGGGCCAGTGACGTAGCTCAATGTGAAAGTCCTAGGTTCAATCCCCAGTACCTTGGGGGGGGGTAGATTAAAAATACCAGAAAATTTTAACTTTACTTTGGTGAATATAAAAGAAAATGATCAGGAACCAATATTGCAAAAAAAAAAAAAAAAAGTTAGTGTTCATTATTATTTAAAAAGAGAGACAGAGACCTCTTTAGAAGTAAAAGAAACCAATAAAAGGAACAGGAGCATTCAACAACTCAAAATTTGGACATATATTTGACATACAATGAAATCACCAAACAGCTATAATCTAATCAGATTGCCAATAACGCACGCCCAAACCTGAAAGATGATCACAACATTCCAGGCAGTGTTACAATTAACTGGCACTTGGGGTAGACTAACAAGAAAAGCCTCGGGGTGACTAGTGCCCCACACTTCTCGCCTTCAGCCCTAGAAGCCTCTGGCCTGGAGAAGCATCCTCAGGGAGCACACCAACATTAAAATATTCTAAATGCACCCAATGTGAGGGAGGTTTAGAAACAAGGAACAGTGACTTTCCATTAACAGAACAGGTGGGTAACTGTTACATTAGCCGAATCTTCATAAAAGTTATCATCGATAAAAGTCTCTTAATTGTCTAGGTTTTCATCTCTCAATTCTTCTCTGTATCTCCTCAACCCTTCTAACAGTTCTATAATGCCAGGAGTCCTAGTTTGAAAAATGAAACTCTTAGCAAAATACACCTGAAAAGTTTAAGACCTAACCTTAACAGCCATCTTACTTTGGTAAGTATAGCCTGTGTATTAACTACCAGAAATGTGCTTTAAATGTGGATTAGTCATTGATCCACAGTTGCAACATTCCTTTTGTTTGTACCTCCTTACTCCTTATTTACCAATTCTTGTTGTTATTAGATTCATCAAGATCACCTATTTTCATCTTTTTACAAATTCTCCTGCCGGTGCAGTTAAACTGTACTCACCTGAATCTGAATAGGAAGATTATCTTTGACTGTATTTAACAAAGTCTCTGTAGGTTTGTCTTTGCACATTAAAACCAGTTCCAAGTCCATATCATCCTTAATCAGCAAGCCTTTTGCAACCAGGCCAATCCTCATTACACCACACAATGTCCGACCACCTTGATCCCTAAAAACAAAAGTGTTTATGATTACTTCTAAAACCTATTGCCCAAAGTGTAATTTGCAATTGTGTGTTAACTTCCTGGATATTCACATGAACTGATAAGGGAACAGGTAAACCTAGACACCAAAAATCTACATAATAAGGCTCAGATGTAATGTTTATAAAGTTTCTATCTCCCCAAAGTTCCTTAGGGGTTTCAATTCTTTACCATATCTATATGTAGAAACTAAAAAACTAACAAATATTATGTCCTCTTCAACATATTTTCAAACTGTTCTTTCTAAACTTTTTTTTGTAATTAAAGGATTTACAAGAAACATGGGACACCACGATATACTGAGAAAGACTATGAAGACAGAAATCTAAGTTACATGAATTCTATCTCTGGCTCACTATCTGCAATCAAAATGGTTGCTGGCTCGATGAGCTAACATCCCTCCTAGCCGTACCACTGCAGGAATTCACAAAATTATGGGGGAAAGTGAAACGTGTAAAAAAATGTGATACAGCAAACTGAGGAAACAAAAATACTACCAAAGATAACCTGTTAACATCTGCATTCCAAGTCCAGGAAATAGCTAAAAGAGCATACGCTCATCCTCAAATGATAAAGGATGCAAAAGAAAACCATTTACCTACCTTTGATTTTAACTCTAAAAGCTTATTAATCTCTCTTAATCACAAGTGGAAATATTAAGCTTAGCAGTCATTCAACAAGCTAGTGTTTGAATACAGAAAACATTTTAAAAGGACTGCTGGTCTCTTCTGCTCCTGAGATTTACATTATGGTTAAACAACAAAAACTTATTAACAGATTAGATGCCCTGCTTAAAAAGGGAAGGGAAAGGGAAAGAGAACAAACTGCAATGCCATGTAATCTCACACGTAGCCTGCATTTGGAAGAGAAAGAACGGAAACCTTACCAAAGTTAACTGCTCAAGTTCAGAGAATAAAATGGCAAAGCCAATATTCAAAACCATGTTGGTGTGACTATGAAACTCAAGTTTTTAAAATGTAATGGTAGGTTCCAAGTTGAGAAAGAGAGAAGTTAAAATTAGAGAGGTCAAACAAGGCAACCGGAGAGTCTGAATTCAGTGCAGTCTTGATTTAGCTAGGTGAAAAAAGATCATTCCAGCAGGAAGCAAAGAATCAGCAGCTGGGCAAGTCAGTGGGGTTGAGAATCAAACAAGGGAAAGAAACAAATTGTGGCTGTGGAAACTAGACAGGAAATTACAAATAACCCAGCCAGTGATTCAGCGTCTCGAACACCTTAGAGGTTCATTTAGTCAGTGAAAAACTATAAAGGTGTCTAAGTACAAAAAGAAACGTGTGTTAACGCAAGTAACCTGAGTGTAGCCAACTATGTGATATAGTCAGGCACCTATGGTTTTTCATTTCTCTATACCTGTCTTTTCCTGCTTCTGAATCTAATATTTTATAAATTCCTCCTCCACTGCTGCCTTCAAAGCATTGCCTTCAAACCAGTTGGTTCAAGTTCTTATCACCTCTTAAGGGGACTATCTCAACAACCCCCTTTTATTGGCCTTTCAGATAACCTCTACCATCTTCAACTTGCTGCATACCTCAACAGGAATAATCCTCCCAGACCCGGCATGGATAGCACTCCATCTATTAATCCCTTGGTATCTCATTCAACACTTGGATGCTTAGCATACTGGGAGGTAAATTAAAAGGCAGAATGACTAGTTTAAATATTGTTACAGTCACTCACTGTTTAACATTGATCAAATTAGGAACACTTGGCTTCTTTTAGACTGCTTCCTTATTTGTTAAACAATGATTATTTTCTTACAGAGCGGCAATAACAGCATAATTTAATGTAAGTAATGAACTGTACCAAGCCCAATATGTACTAATAACTCAATAAATAGCTTATTTTCATTTAAAAATTTTCTATACTATCCTCACACCTGAATCTTTGCTGAGATTTTTTTTCTCTTCTACGCCTTCTCAAAACCCTACCCATATTCTATGCCTACTCCAAATGCTACCATTTCCATAAAGCTTTTTGTTTCCTGGAATCAGCAGTCCACATCTCACTGCTTCATGCATTCACAATTTATTCAAAGGAAAATGAAGCACAGATGCTAAGACAGTCAGATCCAGATTCAGACAGATCCGACCTTCACAAATCCTGGGTCCACCACACATACTCAGTTATCTCTCTAGCAAGTGAAAGTCTGTCTTGATGTTTTCAACAGCAAGTATGGAGACACAGAAATATCATGAGTAAGACAAGGTAGAAGAAGAGAAATAATAATGACTAGTCAATTTCATTATAATGTGAAAAACAACTGGGTATCCTTGATTGGCCATTTTTGAGTTCTAAATCATAATTATAGTATACTTGGTTCTATCCCAGCCATTGAAGACAGCATGACTGAGCCGAGGATATAGCTCAGCGCCATATTCAATCCCTGGTACAAAAAAAAAAAAAAGACAGCATGACTGAGCAGAGAAATTAATTCCTAAATTAATTCAAAAGTTCTGAACTTTAATAATAAATCTGAATATGACAGTTTCTGTAAAGCAACCCAAATAAAATGAACTACTTAAAATTTGAGTTCTAGTATTCCTAATAATGCAAAGGAAACTGTGCCACAGATTTGACTTTCAACTCATTTTTTAAAAGGTAGAATAAAAGAGTATAGAGAACAGTTGAGATTAATTGTGCTTGGCACTCACTAGGAAGTGCTTAATAAATCTACACTTGCCCTCACCAATGTGTCTTTAGCATACACCAATAGTATAATTTAAGTCTAGCTGAAACACAACTCTACTTTTCCTTTCTCTGGAGACAGGACTTTGCTATGTAGTTTGGACTGGTTCTGAACACACTATGTAGCCCACTCTGGCCTCACACTCACAGCAATCCTTCTGCCAAGTGCTGGGATTATATTACAGGCATGCACCACAATGTCCAGCTTGCTCTTCATTTCTATGTAGTCTTCCAATTTGTGGAATGGTCCCAAGTTGAGCGTCTGTAATTCTTCCCATGTGGTGGAACTTAAGAAGCACAGGATGATTGTTCTTATTTTGTATAAAACAAAGGCAGGCATGTCTTTGAAGAACAGAATTGCAGCCGGGGGTGCTGGCACAGGAGGTTGAGGCAAGAGGATCACTTGAGTTTGAGGCCGGCCTGGGCTACATAGTGAGTTCTATCCCAGCCTGAACTACACAATGAAACCTTCATCCAGTTAAGCAAAAGTCTACATGATACCATCTAAAATGTATCAGGCTGAAAAGGGAAAAATAAAATAAAAACATTAGAGAATATATTTAAAAGTCCTAAATTCCATTGAAATATACACTTAAAAATGATATAAAGTCCAGGTATGGTGGCACACACCTGTAAAATCCCAGCACTCAGGAGGATTGCCATAAATTCAGCATCAGCCTGCACTACATGAGTTCAAGGATAGCCAGCACTACACAGCAAATCCCTGCCTCAACCTTTCCCCTACAAAAAGAAAGAAAAGATATAAAGAAGCAAGGCATGGTAGCATATGCCTGTAATCCCATCACTCCGACAGAGATAAAGCAGGACTATAAACTTCAGTCCAGCTTGGACAATTTAGCGAGACTTTGTCTCAACATACAAAGTAGCTGCAGATATAGCTCAATACAAAAGCCCAGGTTCAATTCCCAGTACCAAAAATAATAAAAGGCAAAGATAAAAGCTCAGTTCTATTGACACAGACTAAACAGTATATATGTGTATAATTATAATTTCAAAACTTTAAAAGATGACAAACACATACCAAAATACAATCAAAATCTACATTATCTAATTTACACAGGAAATAGACAATAGAGAACCAGACATCACTGAAGAATGCCAAAGTTTCAATCACTAGATACCATGACTAGTTAACATGAACTCAGAGCTGGGCAAAACCTTTTTTTTTTTTGAACAGGATCTCACTATGTAGTTCAGGTTGGCCTTGAGTTTGGGACAATCCTGCCTAAACCTCCTGATAGCCGGGATTACCAGTGTGTGCCACTATGCCCAGCCAAAAACATTTTTTAAACCATTATAAGAAAAATGGAATCACTTTCAAGAACCTTCAAACCGATGCCAGACACAACATATAAACTACCTGTAAACAATTAAAGTGAAAAGTAAAAAAATAAAAAAAAAAAAAGCAATTTTGTCAGTAATTTCCCACTATTCTTATCCACTTATCACAATGATTTAGAATTGAAAGCTGGAGAACAAAATTCTGTTAACCTCTATCTTCCACTTACAAAAGTTGTAGCCCAAGTGATCTTTGAGCCTATTAATGTGGTATTTTCAATCAAACAATCCTCACCTTGCACGCTAAGACTCAAAAGTAAATCAGCTGCGTGCTCCAGTCACGGTGGCACTGCCCCAGAGTACCAGTTACCGCTGCAGTTTCAGCTCAATCATCACCATATATCCTGAAGACGCCTAGAACCCTGCACTGTAACTGCTGAAGGTTCTTGCTCCCATTAGCCCTTCCTGTGTTCCACAAATATACAACGAGCATTTATGATATGCAAGACACTATGCTACATTTTATGAATCAACAAGGTAGACACAATCAAAATACATTTAAAATACATTTTCCCAGTCTTCTACTCCAGGAATTTTTCACCAGGAGCAAAAACATGACTTTCAGAATCTAGGAGGCTAAACCAACACAGCAAAACAGAGGATACATCATAACCTTCAAACATTAAAAATTGAAAGGACTTTGTATACTTTCTTTATCCATCTTCTTTAGGGGGGTTTTAATCATTGTTCCTTTCTTTCTCTTCAAAGTTAACTGAAATGACTCCATATAACATTTAAGTCCTTGGTATAGTCATATGTACAAGGAAACACAAAGAACGACATATCACAAACTCAATGCAAGGAATCCTCAAGCTTTTCTGTGCTCCACAAGGGCCAATCCACACTCACTTGGAATAGTTTTCTACAGCCTCATCTTTCTTCACGTCTGTCTCGCCCTCTGTTTTTGTGCCTTTGTTTGATTCATCCAGCCAATCTGAGACATGTTTAAGAGCACACTCAACAGTAGACACCATATTTTGAACAGCTTCAAGTTCCTCTGGAGATGGATAGATGGTTGAATGTTTCACCATAACATGGCGATCATCATTGGCAAAAGATCGAATAGATCTCTGTCAGAAGGAAAAAGAAGCAATTACTTCAATAAAGGAAATGTCACCTGACAAGAATGATATACAAATATATTTTAAGTCAACCCATAATGAAGCAGTTGATATCAAAACAAAATTGCTCAGGAATGGGAACTAAAACTCATCTTAATACCACCAAATCAGAAAATCAATGGCCTTTCATTCATGTTTTGATGAAGGTTCACTTGGGTCATACTCACTGACCTCAGCAGTGTATATATGCTGAACCTATGCTTCTGAATACTCCTTCGAAAGAGGTCTTCCCAGTTGGCTTGGTTACTTTTCTGTTGTTGCTGAGACAAAATACCCAAAGCCCAAAATCAAGAAAAGAAAGTTTCACATAGCTCACTGTTTGTGGAGGTTTCATTCTGTGAACAGATGGCTCCAAGGCAGGATGGCCTGGCACAGGGGTAACATTTTAAGGCAACAGAAGACAGCAAAAGCAGCAAGAGCAATGGGGAGGGGAAATCTAGCCTCTTCTTCCCTTATATTGTAAGCAGGCTACCTCCACCCAGGGCCAGTGAAGCATTCACACCATCTCTGTGCCCTCTTCTTGCACAGATGAAGATGTTTAGGAAGTGAGGCCCTGATCCCCTGCTGAGTCCCTTATTAAAATTCTAAACTTTGCAAGTTGACACAATGTGTCAACCTCTACACTGGGCTGGGAGTAGAGCTCAGTGCCATAACATAGCACTTGCCTAGCATGTGCGAGGGTCCTGAGTCTGAACACAAGGATAGAAAAGGAAAAGAAGAGAGGGTCAAAAGAAAGGAAGGAAAAAGTTTTCCATATCACATAGTATCTGTAAGACCCATATACTTCTAGCTTGAAGGAACTCTTCAGAAATGCATGATGGTGAATCATGAAACTCCCTTTCAAACTAACAGAGGTCTTCACATTTTTAAAATGAGACTGCACAGCCAGTCAAAATACGTAATATGAAACTATGAACTACAGAAAACAGGAATAGGACTTGATGATATTTAAATCATGGGTGCAAAATTTTAGTTTTTCAAATCCAATAGCTGGAAACAGAATGGGAAAAACACTATTACAAAACAATCAACTTCCCAAACTAGTTTACACATGTACATATTTCATTCTAAATCAAAATCTCATCAAAACTGCTGAGCAGGGTTGGCACATCCCTGTAATACCAGCACTTGGAAGGCTGAGGCAGGAGGATCACTATGAGTTCAAGGCTAGCCTGGACTACATAGCATGACCCTGTTTCAAACAAACAAAACAAAAATCTCAGAACTAATCTAACCCTCAACAAAAATTGTTCTGAAGTTCATTTGGAAAAATGAATCAATGACAGAATCAAGAAATACTCTACAAGGCCGGGGATTTAGCCCCATGGCATAAGCACCTGCCTGGCAAGCACAAGGTAGTGAGTTCGATTCCCATTACCAAAAAAAAAAAAAAAAAAGAAAGAAAGAAAGAAATACTCCATAAAGATGGATTGTACCATTATATTGAAATGCTGGCCTAGAAATCAACGAAGTAGACTATGTCCAGAAATAGAATGAATTTCACAAGATTTAACAGAATAGATTCTTCATGGGTCACACCTCTAACACTTTTCACTATTTCTAAGTTTACAAATATCATGAAGACATTTATTAGTACACCAAACTGCAAAAGGCAACTCAGTATGTTTTCCATAAAGCCCAAAATATTACAAAGAGAAAGAGTAGTGATAGCATCTTTACTTACCTGCAATTACGTACTAATAGGTGATACTTTGTTTTTAAGTCTTCATCATAAAATAAAACATTCACAATTATTAATCCTAGCTCTTGTTTTTTGGTTATCAATTTTTTTTATTATTTTGAAGGTAGTAAAATACAACACAACAATACAGAACAAAGTCAATCAAGACAATGCAGTGAAATTGGTACAGAACTTCAGAGCAGGATACCAGGATAACAGTAAGGTACCATAGTATATCTCATTGTCTTCACAATAGTTGTCCATTCAATCAGGCACAGCAAAATCAAATCAAAAAGAGAACATTATAAAACCTATCAAAGCAGAATACTGAATAGAGCAAAACAATCAGAACAAAGCAAGACAGTGGAAACAATATTTGACTTCAAAGAGATTACAGAAGGAAATCCCCCATATTTGCTATATTGCATATGGTCATCCTCCCAAGAGATGCTCAGACCTCAAGCTCAAAGTTGCTAACACAGGGAGGGAAAGAGATGGGATGTTTTGATTCTCAGCCCACCACCAGTAGGCTCACGGAAGACATGGATTGGTTCTCTTCCTGGCTCATCCGCAGCTCGCTCGCGCCATGGCTGCTTAACAGCAAAGGGGTGGGGGTGCTTTCTGGCTCAGCGCCCTAAGTTTCAACATGCCCGGATCTCAGGAGACGCTGACTGGTTCCCAAAATTTATGTTTTTAATGAACTAACTGATACATCTCAGGAGTTTGATTTTTCTTCATGTCAATATTATAGCTTCATATGTTAAAACAATCACCATCAAAAATATTACAGCATCAAAGCACCAGGGAATAGAACAAAGGTATTATTAATCTCATTACATTCAGTAGCAACCATACTCCCCAGAAAAACTCCACAGATGATGAACATTCCACTCAAAGTGTTGTTACTGGTGCTTTGCCATAATTTACATTTTCTGGAGCGTTTACTATAAATTATGATTTCCTTTAGAAGACTAGTTATGGTCATGTGGTGAAGTAGGAGTTAGAGAGGAATCTCCCTCAAAGTTTCCCCTCTTCTGCTGTAGTCCTAAGTTATTGTTCTGGTAGAGGCAAGATTGACAACTATGCACTGTAAGATGACTGTTTATGTCATCTTGTTCTTACAGGATCACAAAGTTCTGTCTTCTTTCAAGGCTGTTATAAATTGTTCTGCCTTGTTTCTGTGCCCTTGATTTCCTCCAGCCTGTTTCTAAAGTCCAAGTCTCTCAACCAAATGTATAAAACTAGTGCCTTTCCTTGTTCTGGTACTCAGTCATTTGGACATCCTAAGGTCAAACTGATCCAGTGTGCATCTAAAACCCAGTAAATACTTCTTTTTTCCTTAGGTCTCTCTGATATCTTGAAACCTACAATAGTGGGATTCTGGCAATGAGAAACACAGAGAAATACGGTTTATGTTTGCTATATGTGGTTTAAAAAATACCAGTGAAGCAAATTAAGTCATTGCAATGTAAATATGAAAATTTTTATGTGAAAAAATAAAAGACAGTATTGAAAGAAAAATATGCAACATATGTACATGATACAATATACAGTGATGTTGGTAAACAAGCAGGTATCTTGTCATGTCATATGAAAAACAAAACTTGCTCATCTGCAAATTGTGTGAAAATAATTAAACTTTGTCAAAAACTCATGTTCACAAGGCTTTGAAAAAATAAATAGGAAATACAGCATCAAATTTAAAATATCATTTGTTACACAGAATATAGAAAAAACAAAAATTGAAAAGAAAAATAGTGCAAAATTCTAATAGCAAAAATTACAAAAGTAAAATTTGTAATGGCATATGCCTCCCAAAATCAAAGATAAAATAAAAACAGCACAAATATTAACTTGTAATTGAAAGTAAAAAATACATTTCGATCAACCATGCTTAATTATGACACTTGTATACTAAGCTCAGATTTCACATAAAAACATCTTATTATGGCAACTCAGTATTTTTAAACACTGCATATAAATAATCTACATATGTGATTAAAAACCACATAAGGTATGTAATTTCTGATATCTTCATCTAGGATTTGTTTTCTTTGGAACATTTGTGAAGAAACATTGATATAAACACTGTATTATTTCTACACAATTCCACTAAATGAAACATCTTCGTGGGATTTTCAAAATAGGCTTACATATATAGTTTCTTCCCAGTGATTCTTCTAGATTTGACATAAAATATATACATTCATGTATTTGACAACACATGTGCACTGAAACTTCTTCCACATTGCTTGTGGACACAGGGCTTCTCCCCAGTGAGTTTCTTAGTGTCTATGTAATGAAGACTTAGCAAATCCCTTTCTACACTGCTTGCATACATAGGGTTTTTACACTGTGGCTTCTTCCACGTATTTGATAATAATTATGTGTGCTGAAAGCTTTTCTGATTGCTTACATGTGTACAGTTTCTCTCTAGTGTAAGTCCTTTCATGTCTCTGACAATGACTGTTTCTGCTGAAAGCTTTCCCATATTGATTACACACATGTTTTCTCTGCAGCATGTTTTTCATGTCTTTGACACTGACGGCTACATTGAAAAGCTGTCCCACATTGCTTACATATATAAAGTTTCTCCCCAGTATGGATAGTTTCATGTATTTTACATCCACTGGATCTGCTGAAAACTTTCCCACACTGCTTACATACATATGGTTCTTCCCCAGTGGAAAGATGTTTATGTTTATGAATACCATCACTTGTCCTGAAGGCATTCCCACGTTGCATATATACTATGGTTTCTCACCAGTGTGAGTTCTTTCATGTGTTTGATAATGACTGTGCTGAAACCTTTCCCACATTGCTTACATACATCTCCTCCATATGAATTCTTTCATGAATTCAACAAATACTACATGTACGGAAAGCTTTCCCACATTCCTTACATATATACTTTCTCTCCAGTGTGAGTTCTTTCATGATTTTGACATTCACGGTATGTCTTGAAAGTTTTGCCACACTGCCTGCATACATATGGTTTCTCTCCAGTGTGATTTGGTTCATGTCCTTCACATGCATCAGATGTTGAACACTTTCTCATATTGTTTACATACACTAGGTTTCTCTCCAGTGTGAATTCTTTCATGCTTCTGACAAACATTATGTGTACTGAAAGCTTTCTCACATTGCTTAATTACATGAAGTTTCTCTCCAAGTGAGTTCGTTTGTCTTTTACAAACATCAGATGTATTGAAAGCTTTCCCACATTACTTGCCTACATAAGGTTTTCTCTCCAGTGTGAATTTTTTCATGCTTTTGACAAATATGTGTACTGAAAGCTTTCCCATATTGCTTACACACATACGGTTTCTCTCCAGTGTGAGTTCTTTCATGTATTTGACAATCACTGTTTCTGCTGAAACTTTCGCCACACTGCTTACATACATAAGGTTTCTCACCAGTTCTTTCATGTCTTTGATAATTACTATTTTTCCTGAAACCTCTCCCACATTACTTACATACATACTTTTTCTCCTCCATCTGAATTCATGTTGTTGACAAATACTATGTGTGCTGAAAGCTTTCCCACATTACTTACATGCAGAGGGTATACCCCTACTGTGATTCGTCTGATAGATCTGAACATGACTGGTTTTGCCGGAGGCATTCAAATTTTTCTGACATACAAAGGTCTTGTCACTAAGATGAGTTCTTTCACTAAGACCAGAGCAGGACTTCTCTCACCGATCACAGTCATATGGTTTCTTATCAGCCTCTGTCCTTGTGATTCTGAATGGATTGGAAATCATCACAGATTTTTCTATATTCATTATATTTAAACAGCTTTCCTTTAGATTCCAAATATTCATCTGGCTTCAGTGCAGTGTGAGCTCTGATGGGCACGTTTAGTGACAAATGCCCAATGAGAGGCTTTCTACAAGAAAGACTTTCAATTGCTTTTAAACTACATTGTTTCATATGAACATTAGCATCTTGAGTCTAAAGGGAACTTTCTTTATGCTAATTCCAAGCTCTATATGGATGGTGTTTCTCAACCTCTTCATTTCTTAGATTTCTGCAACAGTTATTTTACTCTTCTTCCACTTTCTGGTTATCCAGGTATCTTCCCATAGTCACCATGTTCCTAAAGGTTTCCCCCATCACATCTCTATAGAGCTGCTTTGGGACACACTCAGCAAAGTCTACTTTTATGGATGCAGTTGACAGCCACATCCTCAAAGGTCACTGATTCCATTGTGCAGCTTGAGGGTCTCCTAGGATCTTTCTTATGCAGCTTGTAGCTTGTAGAAGTCACAGAAAGCAGCCCATCCAGCTGGGGTCCTCTCCACAACATGGGGCAACTGGTTATCAATGCTTAAATGTTATCTTGGAAACTAAGCAGTTGTGACTATGGTATTGTCCGTTAAAAACTAAAGCAAACTATACTAATAATTTCAATCATCATATAAACTCAGCACTAATGTCAATCAAAAAGCTCTCCTTTTTCTCAATAAAAACCAACTGTCTGGATTTCTTTCTTGCTTGACATCCGACCAGTTTTCCAATTGGAGCCTTTTTCAACAAAGAACATTTTTAAATGAGTCATTAGATATACTTATAACCCAGAACAAGTAACAAGAAAACAAAGGAGTCACACATACCATGAGCTCATTCTAAACAAAATTACATATTGCTGCATCACACAAACATTTAAGAACATTGGGAGGAAAATATAATAATATATTAAAAATCTTCCTTCACTAAAGAATCTAAGCTAAATTTTAAAAGAATGAGAAAATAAATTCTATCAACTACAACAATATACACATAAAGCATTTCTTAAAATTATACAACTATCAAGACTATAAGAAACAAGCCACCTCAGAAGGCTGAGACAGTAAGATCACCTCGAGTTCAAAGTCAGCTTAAGCTACAGAGTGGGTTGAAGGTCAACCTGAAGTACATGTCAAGACCCTGTCTCAAGAAAAAAAGGCAAAAAAATTCACATAGAAAGAAACAAAAGACACAATGTGTTCTTTCACATTTTCCCATGAAACTAAAATGACAGAGAAAACCCCCAAGTCAACATTCATTTTCTCACTGCTCAGATCTAAGATATTAGAATTCCTTCTCTATAAAGAGTAAGGTAATATTGTGACTCTTGGCATGAATATTTTTAAAAGCATGTAGCACTTAAAAGACATACCATCAGATTTGTTAAACATATTCCAAACATATTGATGAGTATTTTGTGTTTTTTCCCCCACTTATGTCTTTTTTAAACTCTTTCTCATTACACTTAGGAAAAACATATATAACATTCTCTGATGCAAAATGCTAAAGAGACAAAATCGACAGCATTTTACCAATTCAAAATTAAGAGATAAGGACCTCATCTAACATCATAAACCCAAACCTGAACTCTCATCACATAACAAGATGCCTTCATGTTTAGCTCAGTATCCCCTACATATCACTTGACACTGATTTTTAAAACATGTGAAAAAGTGACTTTTTGAATTAAATAGATTTTACAAATTCCTGCACCATTCATACAACCAATCAAAAGACTGGTTCAGGATTCTTAATTTCATGGAAATACCTGAACTTCAGATAGAGTACTAAATAAATTAATTTCAAGTTCAAGGTCACCAGGCTATCTGTATTGGTTTGTTAATACCAGCTTTATTAGAAAACATTATTTATGAACATTCCCTCCTTTGTATTCAATAATTTATGAACTACAGCCTCATGAGGCTCCATCTTGTGGCCTAATGGCTCAGTAATAAATCTTAACTCATTTGCTACAGGGCCATCTTTATCTGACAGACCACAGCCAAAAATTAACACCACTGTTTTCCACATACCCTCACTGTCACTGCTTTTAATTTTAAACTACTACAACTATTTGTATGTAGGAAATCAAGGAAATGTAAGTAGCAACCTACCATGGTTTTCTATGGTACTTCAGCTTCTTTTTCCGATCCTTTACTCTCCTTCTTGTCGTCTTCACTTGACACTGTTTTGTGTGACAGTACCTCCTCATAAGCCTGAGTCCCCCGACAGTCACTCACCATCAAATACAGCAAAGATGTATGAAGACTTTTGCTCTGGAATACACCTGTAACAGAAGAGGAAAACTAACTTTTCAAAATGCTTAATTACAGTGAGTTTCGTATCTGAGTGTGGAACCAATATACTATTGAGAAACAGTACAGAGGAAAATTACTTCAGTTCAAACAAAATGAAGGCCCGGTACCCAGCAACCTAAGTGACATGGCCAGAAAAATGAATGTTTTTTGTAGCTACAATAGGCAACTGGCTGACTTGCACTTAAGGAGCACCACATAAAAGAGCAACACTGTTACCGAGCAGCAGTGATGCTGCAACTATGCACGCCTGAATCCCAGCGCTCAAGAGGCTGAGTGAGGAAGCAGGACCGAAGCAAGCTCAAGGCCAGCCTCGGCTGTACAGTCTAAACTACAAAGCAAGACTTTGTCTCAGAAAAACCCAAAAAATAACAATGATGCTAATGCTGATGCTAATGCTGATAACTGATTTTCAATTCAAAATTGGTATGAAGCCAGACGTATGTGAAAATTCCACAGATAAGGCACCTCAAAATATAGCAGTACTACTGGCTCAGTCAAGATATTTTTCCACTTGATATCATCATTAGACAATGCTGGTCTTTCAATTATTTTCAGGCCTAAAATTCAAAATGCTTTAGTGGTTCTGCCCCACTAACTCCAAAGAGACCCACACAGCACTAGGCCGGAATCCCAGAATCTCACTAGACTGATTTCGTTACCCCTGGATGTCCCTTGCCAAAATCCCACACCTGTATTTCTGCTCAGAAGCCATAATCATTATTTTGCTACCGACTTTAGTCACACCGTCATGAAACTGTATTTTCTTCTAGACAAGGTAAAAGTAAATTCTGGGTATTAATGTAACCCTTGTGGTATAGGCCAACCTATATAAATAAAGACTGAAATCAAAACAGAACACTCTGACATAGAAATCAGAGGAAGTAACTTACATGCCACAGACCATGTAAATTCACAAAGAAAACAGCCTCCTCTTTGTCTAAATATTTTTCCTTTAGATTAGGAAATTCCCTTAAAAGACTATCATCAGTAATGGCTTCTTAATATTACTTTCTCTGAAGAAATCTCTTTTTGGATTTTTGGACTAGGAAAGTTATGCTTGTTACATTTAGTTCTCCTTAATACTTCAAATGAAAAAACAGACCCACAACTATAGTCAAATGACACTGAACTATGATTATATGCAAACCATCTGTATCTTATAACCAACCTCCCTATTTCTGGTTTAGAAAATCCCCATTAAATACACTAAGTAAGTCTGAGTATACACACACACACTTGCACAGGTGTAATTTTCTTTAAAAACGGACTGCATTACAAGCACAAGTGCTACAATTTATGGAATGTTTCTCTACAACCAAGATAAAAAACTAAACTGCAAGCCTGTGGTAAGAAATATCAAAACAAATGCTTTTGTCACGCAAATTATACCTTCCATATTTAGCCTGTGCTACATAACCAGTTGCTGTGGCATGTGCCTGTAATCCCAGCTACTTGGGAGAATAAAGCAAGAAAATCACAAATTCATCCCAACCTGGGCGACTTAATGAGAATCTCTCTCAAAATACAATAAAAAAGGGCTGGGGTACAGCTCAGTCATAAAGCATTTTCCCAGCAAGCACAAAGCCCTGAGTTCAATCCATACACACAGGTTACACTATACAATGTAGCATCTTCAGCATCTCCCATTCCCAGACCTACTTCATTTTAAGAGATTCATTCGGTAATTAGGTGTGAATCTAGTTGCCCCAAAACAAAAGCAGTATTTCTGTGTTTTTTAATTTTATTTAAAGAGAAAAAGAAAAACAAAAACAGAAAAAGGGTACACGTAATACAGAATTTAAAAAAAAATAAACAGTAAGAAATCACTAGTTAATAGATTATATAAAAGCAGTATTTCTTTGTGGTCACTTGAGACTAAAAGTCCACAAACTTTATACAGTGCTAAAGTCAATAATCCAAACATACTAAGGAAGCAGACTGAAACCAGAAGAGAGAGCACAATGCTCAGAAAGTGCAGAAATCATGATCACCAGAGTCACTCAGCAGACAGTGGCAACCCTGTGTGTGCACTGAGAACCTCTGTGAACGCCACAGACTGGCAGCACAGCACACAAACCCACGACAAAAGCACAGCAGCTCCGAATCCCACTCTGTGGGGCTACAAAATGAATTCAGAAACCATCTACTCAACGCCATCCTCAGCTCACACATAAAACAGAATCAGATATTAAAGGTCACACAGTGAGCAGGGCAAAGGCAGGGTCTGGAACCTACACGCTAGGCCAGTGATGGCAAAACACTCAGAACCAAACTGCAATCCCAAGCCCACTTATTGATTACCAAGTGCCAATATTGCAATTAAACCCAAATCCTGAGGCTTTAAGTTTAGAAAAAACAACTCATACTCTTGGCTCACATGCTGACAGAGAGGGCTCTGTGTGCCTACTGCAGCACACATGCCACAGGCAGGCCACTACCTACTAAGCTGAAATTTTCTCCCCACTATATTAAACTGACTTTTTTTAAAACACAGTATTTCATATACTTTAAGCAGGTATAAAAAACCACAAAACACTTTTTTTTTTCAAGTTTCTCCTTTTTAAAAAATAGTCAAGTACTGGACGTGGTGACACATACTTGTAATTCCAAAACTCAGGAGGCTGAGGCAGGAGGATCACTGTGAGTACCAGACCAACTTGTACTACATAGCAAGACCTTATTTCAAAAAAAAAAAAAAAGAAAAGAAAAGAAAAGAAAAAGAAAATACTCCATTGGAACTCAGATTTTGTACAGGCACCATTCTAAAAGCTTTTCATACATTAACTCATTTAATGCTCACAACAACCTCAATCACCATCTTTACTTAACAGATACAGAAACTAAAGCATAGCCAGGGATACAGCTCAGGAGCACAGTGTCTGCCTGGCAAGTACAAGGTCATGAATTCAATTTCTAGTATAAAAAAAAAAGAAAAAAAAGAAAAGGGAAGGGGAGGGGAGGAGACGGGAGGGGAGGGAAGAAATTAAAGTATAAAGATCATTCAACCTAATTAAATCACAAAGAAAGTAAATAGAGCCAAGTCAAATCAGACAGTCTCCTTTAGTATTGTCTATAAAGGCACTGACATTCACATTAAGGGACAAATTTTAGCACTTTTATTTCAAAAAACAAATCCACAGATTTCCCAGTACTGTGTAACATACAGACTCTGGAATCAAATGCCAGCTTTGCTGCTTATCTAAGCCTGAGTTTCCTCATCACTGCAATGGGTGGCTGACTAGGCTTCACTTTAAACTAAATGAGATGACTTAGCCAAAAATATCTAATAATATCTAACAAACAGTGTACACAATTCTTTCAGAAGAAAAAACCCTGTAATTTCCTAATGTCACATAAAAAAACACTTTAAAAGTAACAGCTATCTGTACATTTCTAAGGGGAAAAAACATACCAAGCTTGGAAATACACTAACTGTGCTCCACTTAGCAAAATTACCTTTGAACAGGTGGAATATATTTATGTAAACCTACGTGTACGTATATGTATCATGTTTCCTATTGAGCATTTTTCTATATATTTACATAATTAAAGCAGTTTTAGGTCTACAGAACATGGAAAGATTCCCATATATGCCTTCTCACCATAGTTTCAGTTATTATTAATTAACATTCACAGTTTAAGTACTACTCATGTGTATTCTATGGTTTTGACAAATGGTATGCATTCTCCACTAATGCAGCTAATAGGATTATTTCACTGCTCTTTTAAAAATTCCATGTTCCACCTCTCCAAACTCCATCCCTTCCCCTCCAAACCCTTAGCAACCACTAGTCTCTTTATAGACTGTACCTTTGCCTTTTTAAGAATGTCACACAGTTGAAATCACATAGTACATAGCTATCTTAGTTCACCTTCTTTTACTTCTTTTAAGGTCTTTTTACAATCTGAGTTTTGGGGTTTTTTTATTTTGGGGGTTTTTTTTTTGGACTTTTTGAGATAGGGTCTTGTTATATATTGTTATGCCATTTATGCTGGCCTTGAGCTTACTTTGTAGCTCAGGCTGGTCTCAAACTCACAATGATCTTCTTCCCTCAGCCTCCAGAGGGCTGGGATTACAGGTGTGTACCACCATGCCTGGCTGATAGCTCTCTTTTTATTGAATAATAACTGCACCGTATCAGTGTAGCACAATTATAAAGTTGCCATAAATAGTTACTGCAGGGTTGTTTTGGGATGAGCTGGGTTTGAGACAGGATCTTGCTGTGTAATTTAGGCCAGCCTTATATAACAGGCTGATCTTGTGTAGCCCAGGCTGACCGTGAACTCACAGCAATCCTCTGCCTCAGCCTTCCAAGTGCCAAGACTACACCCACACCCAGACTTGTAGGAAGTTTACTGGGTGGACTTAAGTTTTCAACTCTTGTGGAATATGTTCCTTGGATCATACTTAAGAGTAAACGTATTTTTTTAAGAAAGTGCTAAAATATCTTAAGTGACTGTACTATTCTGCATCCAGTAAGGGAGGAGAGATCTTCTGTTATTCCACATCCTTTCCACCATTTGGCAGTGTCAATATTCTTGATTTTGGCCATTCCAATAGAGGTATAGTAGTGCTGCCTTAATTTGAAATACTCTACTGACACGTATGTTGAGCGTGTTGGCATATGCCTACTTGCCATTTATGTATCTTCTTTTAAAGTGTCTGCTCACATCTTTACCTATTGACTGGGTTGTTTTCATACTGTTTAGTATTAAGAGATCTTCATCTATTACAGGTACCAATCCTTTATCAGACATGTGTTTTGCAAAGGTTTTTGCCTGCATCTGCCACTATCATTTTTCTTTTTTAACAATGTCTTTCACAGATGTTTTTAATTTTAATGACTTCCAATTATCAATTAGAATCAATTATCAAATTTTGTCATGGCCTGAGCTTTTGAAGTGCTGTATTACTTTTTAAAAAAACTGACCCCTAAGGCCAAAAAGCCTTAAAAAGGTTACCCAAGCT